ACAACAAACAGTAAGGCATCATAAGAAAACAAATTAGGCAATAAGCCTTTCATTGGCCAAAAGTGGAATATCAATGAGACCACAGCTATGATAACATTTCAAAGCATCTAGATTAGAGGTTGGGTAGTGAAAATCTTGCTCAACAACATGAAAAGGTACCAGTATGACTCCATGGTCCCCATACACCATATCAGGTAGACATTGGGCAAGAACTCAGCTAGCGTTAATTCTATTAACTTCTGAAATGCCTTGAGCCAAAGCCCTTAATTCTGATTCATGTTGCTCCTAGAGACCACTCTTTGCTTTGACTTTTCTATGAGACTAAATTTCCCCATACAAAAACAATATCCTAACGTTGACCTCTATCCTTGTATGTTCCTGCCCAATCTGCATCTATATAAATTTCTATGGATTAAAGTTTTTGTTTCTTGAATAACAACCCTTTCCCAGGTGTTCCTTTCAAGTATCTCAAGATTCTATACACTACTTTCATGTGCCTCTCCCTAGGGTTGCACATATATTGACTTGCAATGCTTATTGCAAAAGCTATATCTAGCCAAGTGTGAGAGAGATAGATTAGTTTCCCAACTAACCTTTAGTATGTCCCTTTGTCCATTGACTCATTCTTCTCTTCTTCCTCTTCACAGTCATCTTCTTCTTCATTCAACCTCATCTTCCTTCTCTTTCCTCGGTTTCTTCCCCTTTTTCTTACCACGACAGGTTGTCTGTAGGTCTACACACCTGAACATACCTGTCTCAGTAAGCAAATCGATGATGATATGTATTCCTTTGGGACACATGGATCCCTTTTGTGACCTTGCAACAACCCCAGAAAGTACCCAGAAGTACTTCAAATTCCCAAGGTCTTCACTTCAAATTCCTCTCTAAGAGCCATCTTTATTATTCTTTTACTTCCTCCTCATGATCACCGTTGACAATTATGTCGTCAACATACACTATGAGGAAACACCTTTTTCCACTTTTCATCTTCACAAACATAGTATGATCAAACAACCCCTGTGTGTACCCTTCTGCTCTCAAAACTTCAGAAAATCTGTCAAACCAAGCACAAGGTGATTGTTTTAAAAACATACAAAATTTTTTTCAGCTTACAACCTGATTTGTTCTCCCTGCGTCAAAACCTAGGGGCAACGTCATAAAGACTTCTTCCTTAAGATCCCCATTCAATTAAGCATTTTTAATATCTAGTTGAGCAAGGGCCAATCCAGATTTACAGCTACAAAAATCAAAATTCTGATTGTATTCAGTTTGGCCACGAGAGCAAATGTTTCTTTGTAATCCAAACCATACGTTTGAGTAAAACCATTCGCTGCCAAACGTGCCTTTACCTGTCTAAATTTCCCGCAGCATCATATTTAGGGTTAAATACCCATTTACATCCCAGAACTTTCTTTCCTTTTGGAAGTTCTACTATCTCCCCACATGCCATTCTTTTCCAATGCATTCATTTCCCCAGTACAGCATTTTTCCATTGTGGAATGCTCAAAGCTTCATACACATCATTAGGAATCTTCACTTTGTCAAGTTAGTTACAAGTGCATGAAATTGTGAAGATAAGGTACAGTAACTCACAAACCTTTGAATAGGATGCTGTGTACACAATCTAGGTTGCTTTCTGAGGGCTATAAGTAAATCTAATTCTTCCACTTCCTCCATCTCAATTACCTCTCTTTGCCTCAGATTCTTGAGAGTGATTTTCACTCTCTATTCTCAGTCTCAGGAGCTCCTCTTAGTTCAGATTCTGGCTGTACTTTAGGCATAATAGTCTCCCTTTCTTGCCATTTCTTCCTCGGGTAAGTGATTGGTGTGTTTTGTAGTGCATTTTCTTCTGCATCTTCATTATGCTCTGAAAGACTTCTCACCTTAGTTTCTGGCCTCAGAGGCTGGATTCTGAGTTCGGTAAAATGAGGGACAAGAGATTCAAAATCTGTATTGTACTGAGATTGAGGATTTTTCTGGGGTTTTTTTCTGGAAACATAAAGATTTCTTTTTTCTGGGAATAACAAGACCTAAACATCCTTACAAGTCTAATGCTGAAAGTCACTCCCTCTCTCCCCCTGAATGCGAGCATTTGGTAAAAAGGTTCATCCTCACAAAGTAACATCTCAACTTACTAGAGTTTTTTAGTATAAGGATCAACACTATACTTATCCCCTTTTTGTGTTGAGGAATAACCAAGGAAGAGCCTTGACAGCTTTAGGATCCAATTTTTGGGAATGATAAAGAGTAAACATAGGTGGTGTAACCAAATATTTTAAGAGGTAGGTCAATGGCAAGTTGGAGGATGGAGTGAGATTCTTTGAGTTTCTCAATTGGTGAAATATAGGAAAGAACACGACTTGGCATGCGGTTGATTAAGTATATTGATGTAGGATGGCATCACACCACCCCAAAAATATTGGCAACATTATATGTGAATAATAAAGCACAAGCAACTTCTAAAAGATGTTTGTTTTTCCTTTTTGCAACATCATTTTGTTGAGGAGTGTTAGGATAGGTGCTTTTATGGACAATTCCATGGTCCGCTAGAAACAGATCCATGGTTTTATTGAAGTACTCGGTCCCATTATTAGTATGAAGCGCTTGGATTGTGGCATCAAACTGGTTTTTATCATAGTATAAAAATTTGGAGAAAACAGAGGATACATAAGACTTATCTTGTAATAAGTAAACCCAACATATTCTAGTGTGATCATCAATAAATGTAATGAACCATTTTGTATTAGGACAATTAGTAACACGAGTAGGACCCCACAAATCACTATAGATTATGAAAAAGGACGGGTAGACTTATATTCCACGGGTTTGAAACAGATATGTGATGTTTAGCAAGTTCACAGTCAGTACAATGAAATGAAGAATTTTTATTGGCTTGAATTTAGGAAACAAACGACATAAATACTGCAAATTTGGATGACCCATTCTCCTATGCCATAACATAATGATAGAGTTCTGCTCTAAAGTAACTAATAGAACCAAGCTTTTAATGCAAAAGAAATAAATGAGGGAAATTCTGAGGCTTTTGATATTAATGATATGAACTGAATCAGTGTTACAACAGAAACTCACTGATTCTAGCCAAAACCCTATTCCCTATAAACTGAAATTACAAACCAAATGAAAGAACACAGCAACAAGAAAAGGTCTCTTACTGGTGTTGAGAGACCAGCACTCTCCTCACTTCTGTCTAACTTCTCTAAAACATCCTTGGGTGCCAACAAAAATAATACATCCAAATAAAGCAAGCAAAAGGTGACTTCAATATCGAGACTAAATCTAAGCCACCCTACCAAAACATCATGGCATAATCCTTCTTTTCTAGACCCCCAGGATATTAATCCTAACCCAATAGGTATTTCCTTTCTACACACCCATTGCCCCCTTAATCTCCTCTTATAAGTCTGACCATATCTCACGGTCACATCACATAAGATCTTTAAAGTCTTTGTTTTCAAAGGTAGATGCAACATTGCACTGGATTCGAGACCAAAGACTACTCACGGTAGATTCTCAAGATAACAGAGACTATTATGCTCTTTAGCGCTGCCAATCATCTTCCCTGATGAGAGGTCTTGAAATATACAATGAGTAGAACAGAAATGAGCCCAACAATTTTCCTGTTTAGTCAACTTACTAATGGACAATAAACTACAAGCCAAGTACAGTACATGTAAAACATGTTCTAATTTCATAATTTCAGAAATAACAACACTTCCTATCCCTGCTATGATGAGGAAGAGCCATTTGCTGTGCTCACTGTTTCATTTCCAACACTAGGAGCATAGGTACTAAATAGCGTAGAGTTTGATGCCATATTGCCCCAGTATCAACAATCCATTTGAAGTTATTAGTAGAAGTAAGTAAGACATGATTACCTTTATGAGCCACAGATGCAGTATGGTTTTGTTTCTACCTTTTTTCATTTGCTAGAGCATATTGAGCATCTCGAGTAACTTACCGAGTTGTTCCTTATCAATCTTAGGCACCAGTAGGGTTGATTCTGGTTTATCTGGTGTACATCATGGGAAGTTTGATATCTTCGTGTCTTTCCTTTTCTCGACTTCCAATCAACTGGTTTGCCATGTATATCCCAACAAGTCTCACGAGTATGTCCTAATCTTCTTACAATGGTCACAGGTCACCTTCCCTTTTTGGGTCTTCTAATTCGTGTCATTGCTCTTACTCACAAGTGCAGCTGAGTCTAAAGTTGGTTGAGTAGAAATAGGTCTTGGAAGCATGACTTGTGCCTTGAAGCTTCACGACGCACCTCAAAAAATACTTCCTTGGTTATGGAAGCAGTATACGACTTAGAACTCGTCCCTATACATCATCCAAAGATTGGTTTAGACCAGCCAAAAACTGAAATACTCATTCGCTTTCAATCTGCTCCTTATACCGTGTTGCATCTTGGCTGATTGACCACTCCAAGTCTGTCATCAGGTCTAGTTCCTACCAAATAGCATTAAGCTCTAACCAGAAGGTCATGACATCATGCTCCCCCTGTTGCAGCGTCCATGCCTTCATTTTAAGTTCATATATGCGAGCCAAATCCTTCTTATCAGAGTATGAGTCTCGCACAGCCTTCCAGATTTCATGGGCTGAGGGAAGAACATAAACCTTTACTGGATTTCTAAAACCATGGCATTTATCAGCCAAGACGATACCGGCGAGTTTTCAATGTGCCACTGCTAGAACTCTTGCGTCTTGGATTCTTCCGGAGTTTTCGATGAACCATCAAGGTAGCCCATCTTCCCCCAACCTCTAATCGCGAGTTTCATGGCCTGTGCCCACATACAATAGTTCGCACCGTTGAGCTTCATAGAGACGAGATGTACTGAAGACCCTTCGTGGCTGGTAGTTAATCCTATGAGACCACCTCCCTTGCTCAAATCAATCTTCGAGGATCCACCATCAATCAACATCAGGACAATGTCAGCTGGGTTCAACTCGCCCTTGATACTATCTGCTTCAAAGCTCTCGGCGTCAGATATACTAGAGAGTGTTGTGGCTCTGATACCATGTAACTATTAAACCGAATAATGCTTCTATATTGATCAGAAGATATGTACAGAAATATATACATGAGGAAGAATGATCAAATCTCTGAGAATAAAGGAGATAGAATCAAAGCAGAATATCAGGGAATGAATCGCGTAAATCCCTCTATTTCAACTACCCAATATCTCTCCTAATAATAACATATATTTACATTAAATAAATACTATTTCTAACCACATTAAGAATGCTTTCGGAAGAGAGAATATCAAAGCCCATCCACAAACAATCTGCTCTGCTTAGGAAATTTAAACTTAAGAGCCTCAAAACTCCCTTAATTGCCCTAAGGTAAATTTTGATTAACAAGATTTCAACTTCTTGTATAATTCACATTAGGTCTCAAAGGACCTCCTTATATTCCCAAAATCTCTTCATCACACATCCAGTACAGAACTGGGGGGCTAGGGAGTGGGGATCAAATGCTATCACAGGCTCATGGTAATTGATAAGAGACAAAGAATACTGCAATATAAAATGATTATACAGGGCACACAGATGACCTTGATTCCATTGTATCCTAGACGCTCCCCAAGGCCCCCTGCAACAAGAATAAATGCAGCTTTTCGAGCTTCCTTTATACCTACCTCCTCAAAATAGGTGAAATTATCATCAGCAAATGTTAAATTCTCACCAGTTGGAACCTACAAAATATTAGCAAATGAACTTATGATATATTAAGCTTCTTCTTTTCTTTTTTTCCAAGAGAAGTTGTTTAATGACTCATCTTTAAAATAGTATTTCTTTAATTTTAAAATGTTTAACGAAGCTTTTTAAAACAGAAGCTGCTTGAGTAAAAGTAGAAGCAACTCTGCACAAGGATCTTGTGTCTGTATTGTGCAGAGGATTTTAATTATAAAACCTCTCAATTTAGTTTAATCTTATCTTAAAATTTTCTCAATGTAACACTGCACAACATGCATGGTAAAAAATCCAGATTCAACAACTTTTCTGTCATAACTTGGAAAGAGAGTAGAAAATTGGAGCTTTCTTTTAAAAATAAGTAAAAATAATGGATCATTTTTGCAAGACAAAAGTGCCATTTTAATAATGAGTAATTACCACTCCCTTCGCTAAAAAATGTAAGGAATTTTTAGTCTTTTAAGGTATAATCATTGTTTTTTTTTTCACAAATTCCCCCATTGAATAAGTCACTTCATATTTATTTTAGATTGAAACACCCTATTAAATAGAGATAAATATGAAAAAATAGAGTTAATTTAAAGATAAGTAACTACTTTATTAGAGGATCAGATTCAGTTAAAAATGCTTTATATTTTTGAATGAAGGGAGTATATCATTCAGTATCTTTTTTGTTACAGTTGTTTGTTTTTCTATTTTCATTTTCATCTATTCTCCTATCTTTGTATACTTATTTTGATGAATTTAGATATACATTTTTCAATTTTTTATTTTATATGTATTTATCTTGATAAAGGTTTTATATATTTGTTTGTTTTATTTCCATATTTTGATTAAATAAAAAGTAAAAAATTAATTAAAATTAAATTTTAAAATATTTATTCGTATAATATTAACTGCAAAATTAGATTTACTTATGCCCTTATTAGTAAGTTGACAGCAAAAAAGGTTTTGAAATATTTGTCGACATAATATTCAATAATATTAATAAAAAACCTAACATATCAAACAATTTCACCAAACAAAAACTGAATTGCCTTCACATGATTTCATCTTAAATGACATAGAAAATGTTTAAAATAAAAAAAAATTACCGCAATCCTATGCCTCCTAGTTATAAATATTCCAAATCCATACGAAGAATTCCAAGATCAGATGGCTCATAGAGTCAACACGGGAATATTAAATTCTTATAAGACAACATGCTATGTAATCATAAACTTTACACCAGCATATATGTTGATCACTTACAGAAGGCGTGAAGCCATCAAATGGATTCTTTCCATCTTTTGAATCAGCCAAGAGTCTTCTAGCGGTTTTAACGTATGATGCCAAACCCCCAGGATAGCTTGAATTTAGGCGAGCCACCTAGAGAAATTACTGTTAGAGGAAGAAGAGATGCAAGGAGATATGGTTCTTCAGACACGTTCAAACAGATGCCATTATACTATCACAGACATAGATTCTTAGACAAAACAAGTTGCAGTTCAAAGGCAAGACCTTCAAAAAGAACTGTAGAAGCTTGTTTCTAGGCATATTTACACAGTAACAGGAACATCTTATGCTATGCCAAATTGCCAATCGAACTAGATGATAGGATCATAAGGAACATGTATTTAATTTAATTAATTTAATATTTCATGGTAAAGAAGGAAATTTGGAAACAATCGCTATAGGCGAAAAAACCAACAAAACAACAATTAGAAGTTAAGAAGGCGGAGAGGAGTTTTAGTTTAATTCGAACGAGCACAGCGAGTTCTCTTCAGAATCAATTTCTTTAGAATACTTTAAACAGCTACCCAGAACTAAGGCAGCATAAATCGTTAACCCGCACATTGCAATCCAACCAAGCTAACAATTTTCAAAATGCAAGCTCGCATAACCCTATTGCTCGAACGAAATCATCCTGGTAAAAGACGCAAACTTGAATGATGAAATGCAAGTGCAGAGCCCCTACCTGCTCGAAAAAGCCTTTCTTTAAGTCGTCATCGACACCCGGGCCCGCCCAATGTTCAAACAAATGACTTTGCCCCATCTCCAACAGCATCTTCGCGAGCCCAACCTGGTTTCGTCATTTCCAAACCACAACAGAGCCATTTCAATTTTCACATCAACAGAGGAAACGGATGCGCGCACGCACCAAACTAAATCAATACATATGTATCGTGAGATATACCTGTTCTTGGGGCAAAAGGTTGAGATTTTTTTCAAGATTTGGGACAGAAGAAGCGAAATCATCATGGACACCAAGCTGGGACAGCGTATGGGCAGTGGAATCCACTGTGGAAGCCATGGGAGTCGGGAAAGCGAAGGAAAAGCAGAGATTTACTTTCGAGCTAGAGAACGAGAGAGAAAGAGAAAGAGTGAAGGTGATGAACGGCGATGGTAAGTAGCATTCGGAGAAGAGAGCTGTGTGTACGTGAAGAGATCGGAAACATCAGTCATCATGCGGATCTGAAAACGAAAGGTGCGGGGGAGCGATCTCATTTTAAAGTGGGCCCCCCAACCCCTGTTGCTGTTGGCATGAGTATTTTACCAAGCGTTGGGTAGATCATAGCTGACACACACACAGTTTTTTTGGGCCACCCTTGATTTATACTTTTTCTATTAAATGTGATTTAGAATTTTCGTGTCGAGCTAAGTATTCTCAATTTCTTCTTACCAAAGCCTCGTTAATATAAAACCGTGGCCTCTCTCAAGCAATTTGATAACAGAATTTCAACGAAATGAAATAAAAAGGAAAAAAAATAGTCTGAGATATTTTACATTTAAAGGATAAATTTAAAAGACGGCCACTAATTTAACCTAACGACAACACGCGATCGAAGAAATTGAAATCACTTACTTTTATTGGACTTCACACGAACACTTATATACAAACTCATTCATCCCTCACCGCTATGATAAGATTACAATTAAATTTGCGTACATTTCAAATAGAATCAAATCAACAGAAAGAAACTATCCCATGAAATCACAAGGCTTAATTTCCAGACTATTCAAGGCGGGGAGGAGGGCACCTATAAACAACCTCTCATCCTAAGCCCAGAAGGGGGGGGGGGGAATCAAGCTTATGCAAGAGGTAACCAAAAAAGAAAATAGATTAAAAACAAAAGAAAATAAAATAAAGAGAATTCAAGCAAGCAATTTTTTTATCAGTCAAAGCTGGATGAGCGGCTCCATCGACCTCTTAAGTAGTCTTCCAAGGACACATTCTGCTCAACACTGCCCATCGAGATTGAGTCATCGTCCACGTCAAGCAGTGCAGTATTGAGATGCGACTGCAGATTAGAAGGCGCGCAAGCTTCATCGTTGAGCATGCCTGGTTTCTCCAAAGCATTAGCTTCTAATCTTGCCCATTTGACCCCATCAGCATGCCCTTGAAGAAGCTTCGAAATCTGCGGTCCAAAGGAATACATTATACATGTGAAATTTGTATCTGACAACAAAGGACAATTAATATGGAGAGAAAGAGAAGTGGAGAACACTTTATGAAGCCATTTCCCATCCATTTCTATATCGCCTAGAAGATTTAGTTCGAGACGAATTCAAGTATAGATTACTTACAAGGCTCATAGGAGGCCTAGCTCTTGGATCACGTCTTATACAAAGTTTGGCTGCCAACACCATCCTCTCTATCCGCTCATTATCATAGTTATCGCCCAAACCTGGATCTAACAGCTGTGACACCTTTCCATTATTAAGAATTGGACTTGCCTGTAAAAGAGATCATCGTTGTTTATCCCCTGGTACATGTAATTGCAAAATAAGCGGTTAATGAATGGAGCACAGGATTATGGGGACATACCCACATAACGAGGCTCTCTTGACCTTTAGGGTAATCTCCACCTATGGGTTTTCTTCCAGAAAGAAGCTCAAGGACGACAACACCGAATGCGTAGACATCAATCTTAGCATTGACTTTGCCATACATGAAGTACTCTGGAGCCAAGTAACTGCATGGACGTGTGAGCTTTATATTTTAGGACCAGTCCATTTATTCTTTCTCTGATCAAATAGGATATTTATGGACAGAAACTGATGGTATGGACATGTAGAAGTTAAAAGTACAAACCCAAAAGTTCCAGCAACGACTGTGCAGGTTATATGTGAAGATGATGTTGACGCCCATTTAGCAAGACCAAAATCAGAGAGCTGGACAAATTCAAGCAAAAATAGTGTAAGGATCAAAAAGCGCAATTTGTGCAAATAAGCGTAGAAAGAATGTCAACATAGGACCTGTTTGGTAGTTGGAAATAAAAGGAATGGAATGGAATGTGTTAATAGAGAATAAAATAAACTGAAATAAGGTTTTGTATTGATAGAAAGATGAGAATTAGAGAGATGAGAGCCATGGAGTGTGATGGATGGATAAAAATGGAGATTGATGACTTTATTCATGTCAATCTCCATTCCCACTCCTCTATCACCCCATAGTTTCCATCTCTCTATTGTCCTCAACTTTTTACCAATCCATAACTTTATTTTAGTTCATTTTGTTATTCATCAGGTTATTCCATACCATTCCATTCCCCAACAACCAAATGAACCCAAAGAGACTTAGCTATTGATCGAAAAAATAGAGACTACCTGGGGCTCAAAGTCCTCAGATAATAATACATTTGATGACTTCACATCTCTGTGGATCACAGATTGAGCACCATTGTTATGCAGATAATCCAGAGCCTCAGCAACACCCACTGCCACCTTATATCTCTCGGTCCAGCCAAAAACGAGTGGATTTTTCTTATTCCCTAATTAAGCATGACACGTGATGACAATAGAAAGTTATTGAGACCGTAAGTAATCAAGTCAAGAGCAATAGCTGCTGTATGACGTGCTTTAATTTGTCTTACCATAAAGATTGTCTTCAAGGCTTCCTCTAGACAAAAAATCATAGACCATAAGAAGATTGCCATCCTCAAAGCAGAAACCCAAGAGGGAAATAATGTTTTTATGGTGCAAGGTAGTGACAATTTCTATTTCCAATAGAAACTCTTTCAAAACATCATCAGAAGGCTTTAAAATCTTAACGGCAAGCTCCTTGCCATCAGGAAGGCAACCTCTATACACCTGACTACTTCCTCCTTTTCCAATCAAATTTTCTGAAATCATACAGTTAATTCATGTTAACAATGAATCACTTTTGGAGAAAATGAACTTCACAGAAAACCATCACTGCAGAACATACCTCGCGAGAAATTTGAAGTTGCCCGTACAAGTTCTTGATATTGAAACAATCTGCACATGGATGAGTATTTCTCGTGTAGATCCTCTAATTCTTTAGGAATGCTTTTTGAATTGCGGCCTGGTGAAGAAGAATCAGTCCTTATTACAACATCAACTGGAACAATAGCACCGCTTCTGCCATCTAAGGCTATAGTTTGTTTATGATCATGATCTGTTGTGTCATATGAAAGATTCCTACAAGGCAGCTGCATTGCCCACTGGACCACAGATATCTGGCGCATCGACGATATATCATGGGACTCTCTATCTGATAAAACTGTCCGTTGTAACAATGGCCAACCAGGTTTCAGCTCAGGTAGTTCTCTGTCAGACAAGGTGGTTGCTGTTCTTGATGCTGCTTCAGTTGTATGTACAGGCACTACATCCAAAGCATCACCTGAAGCAGAATGGTGGCAGGATATGCTTGGCAGTGCTGAAATTGAGCCACTTATTGGGCAGCTTGGTTTCTTAATCAAAGATTCTTTAGACCCCAGAAAAGATTTACCATGCTTATTTTCTGTAGTGTCGTCATTTAGTACTTTAGAACTCTTATTGAATGTCCGGTGAATGGTTTCAAGCAAACCAATTTTGCTCCGACGATCAATTCCTGCAACAGGTTGATGCTTGAGTTCAAATTATATCCGTGAGACTAACAATACATTACAACAATCTTCAGAAAAACTAAAACCTTTAAAGTGAGAAGGAGTTGCTGGGGAGCCATTACTCTTGAACACTACTTTCCCATTATTAACAGCCAGAACACAGCAGTTCCTGGATAACTTTCTGGCACAGTACTTAGCTACGGAGGTGGTCGGCCGAATTGTATGGAGGGTATGGGCTATTCCTACTATAAGATGAGTTGCAGAATAAGCATTTGCTTCCCGGACTAATATTTTACGGACTAATGGACCTCTGCAAACTTTGAGCTTGAGATCCACCTGAACAATTTAAACAAAAAATCTCATGTTCGAAATGTATTCTAAATATAATTTGAAATTATTTAGTTTTACCTTACGTTTCTCAGAGGAACAGAAAAAAGACACAGAATTGAACCTGTTTTAAATTGCAGAAACCTTCATAAACAGCAAGAACAGAGTCGAATGCGTTGACAAGCGAAAGAAGGGACAATTTCCCATCTCGATCGACGATTTCTACACGAACCCATTTCACCAAAACCAGTCATCAATAGCCACTCTAACCCGCATCCTCGAATGAAAATTAGAAAGAAAAACTGAACCCAAAAATCAGCACTTACGATTGTTGCCAAGAACATTAAGAGCCACCACAACATCACCAGGCTGAGCGACTTTGACCAAAGCCCATGTGAGCAGCTCCTTGCTGGCCGAGTCCAACTTCATTGCTACCACCACCGTCCGGCCACCGGAGCTTCCGTCGTGGACATCTCGGGCCTCTCCCATTTGTAGTATTTTCATTTTGGGGATCAAATCAGAGGAGGTAGTGTTTTCCTTAGGCCTGACAACTGTAACTGATAAAAGATAATGAAGTTCATATAGCTTGAGAATGGGAGAAGGTATGGCGTCAACCGTCGTTTGGTTCGCTTTTCATGGTGGCACGCCAGAGCAGAGTACCAGACTTGAGAGAGAGAGGCTGTATCGGGAAGTTTAACGTACAGCTTGAACTAGTACTGAACACGCTGATTATATTTCGGTTTACTTTGATGAAGTCATTTCAACTTTCGCATCTTCATTGCCAACCGGCTTTTCGAGTAAGATTCTAACAAAGTTTATACCTTTAAACGCCCAAGATTTTGACCAACGGACCCTCCCGTGAAAGACGTTGGACCTAAATCCCTCTCTCATGACGCACCTTTTTTCCTCTTTAACGGAAAAGTAATAATTAAGAAATTAACATCTAATGAGATACAGACGGCCTAATATACAGACGATGAAATGGGTCGGTGCATCCATTTTTCGACTAATATGTTACATCGTTCGTATTTCATGAACAAGATGTTAAATTTAACTTACTTATTCGTTATCAAAGTTGATGAAATTGCTTCAATACGTGCATGGAACAACATGGCTTATGTAATGTGACAATAGACATAGTATTCACAATGAGACATTTATTAGTAAGTTTGAGCTATCATGTCAGTGTTAGACTTTGCGTCTATGCTTTTTGATGAGGAGAACGTCAGGTGTCGTATGCAGTATGATATTTTGATGAGGCTAGAACAGAAACCACCAAAGTGAGTGTTGATGCATTGATTGGGTCGGTGGGGATGAAAGGTAATGCAATCAGCTTTGGAGGGTTGTAACCTGTGAAGGAGGGAGCGTCCAATTAACCATCTATTGCCACCTTAACATAAACCTCACTCCTCGTTGCAGCTTTTTATGTTAGGTCCACCTATGCCAGCAGAGTACTCACAGTCGCACACGTGCACCGCAAATTCGTTTTCTTTTTTTAATATTCAGCCTTTTCATCCTTTTTTATTACTGTAATCATCAAAATAAAATGTGAGGAAGAATAACATGTAGATCCTAAAAACATTAATTAATTTAACTTAAATTTTAAGTATTAAATTTTAAAATTTTATAATTAAATTTTTTATTTTATAAATCTATTATAATAAATTTATAATTTATATTTTAAATTTTAATAAAAAATAATTTTTTTATTCTTTAATCATGCTAAAATTTTAAAAGTAAGTTAAAAATTTATTATAATGTAATTGCATAATTAAAAGATTGAATTATAAATTTTTAAAATTTAAGACTTGATACTTAATTTAAATTAATTAATTATTTTCAGGCTTATTTGTCATTCTTTCAAAATGTTAAGCATGCAGTTTTAACTTTTAATCAGGATGGCATGCAAAGACCGGGCTGCCCTATCATGATCCGATTGGGGAATGTGGACGAAGCAGCCATTCTTCGTGCATCATTTTCCAAGTCATATTCCGTCAAAACCACGTACCGATAAAAGCATCATTTTCCTAATTATGTCCCTGTCCTGCCACACAACAGACCATCCATTTGCTGTACACTTTATTTAAAGATTAGGTCTGATACAAGGGGATCAAATCTGTTTGGAGGCCTCAAATTAAATACGATTGATTTGGTCCATGTACGTAATTTTTTTTTTTCCCGGTAGTGCAAGACTGTCCAACTTCGCAGGGTTTGAGCTTTTCTAGGGTTCATTGTCAGCGCTAATGGTCTTAGCGATCATGTTGGGCAGTGACTCACTGACAAAACCTAACATCTTTTTACGATTGGGTGTGGCTCATTCCATTTTTCGATCTGTGTGATGCCCCATCATGCTTTACTTTCCACTAGATCCCTTTCTTATTTCGTACATTGTGTTTCTTTAATCGAGGAATTAAAGAAGACAAAGAATAGAGAATAGAGAAGAGATAGAAACGAAGAGAGAGAAAACACAGGGCCAAAGCAAATCCAGCTGATTAATACTTCAACAACGCTTCATTTTTAATTAATTAATCGAACCTGTGCAAAAGTTTGAAGAATTTTCTGTGGATTTGATCCATAGTGGCAAAGCTTCTCAGAATCCCTACATCATAACACGAGATTACTTCATATTTTAAAACTAGGTGTATGGATCGAATAAAGACTCGAGTAAGTTGTAGCTCACAAGAAGGAAGCAAGATTAGATCAGAAGAGGCACTTACGAGCAATTATACATCGGGTAGTTTTGATTCAGTCCGTCGCAATGAATCAAATATTAAATAATAAATGGCCATAAAAGATGAGGTTCGGAAGACCGTAACGACGGCTTCACCAAAAGATAAATAGAGTCCTAACGGCAATGGCAAACCAAATATTCTCTCGCTCCCCCCCCCCCGCCGCCCCAGAACAAAAAAAAAAAAAAAGGAGAGCCTTTTGAATGACAGTGAAACTTCGCTTGTCAGTTGGTGGGCTGGCTTGTGAGGGAAATTAAAAATTCGATCCAGCGGCAATAAATTTTATAAATCTAAGTTGTTAGGTGATTGTGTGTGTTTAACAGCTTAAAAACTTGGAAGAAATTCTCACGTGTCCAGGCCCTACTTTTCTCAGTTTCAGTGCGGTCCTTTCAAAACCAAAACAGAATACCAAAGTCAGTCAGAAAGCATTCCCGATAAGCAGATATAAAGGAAACAACAATTGCATGATTGAAGAGAAGAATCCCGAAAGCTCAGCAATAAACTTTTGAGTGGATTTGAATAAACTTTTTGCATTACATGAGCAAAATGTCACGTTTCGTCATTTTTCACAAGGTTAAAGAGGTCCGGAATGCTCCAGAACCCTCCAGAAGGCTCCCAGCTAACCTTAAGAGTGCTAGATAGTGCAAGAACATTCTAGAGAAGCCTACACAACTCTAGCCTCAATATTTTAATATTGTCTCTAGATTCTTCCATTAAAATATCTAGATATTTGTTAAGAGAATTCTAGAGAATCAATTGTAACCGTAGGATAGATTTAATCTCCACCGTCCATTAAGGAGGTGGGAACATTCTAGATCCAAGGGGAGGCCTATAAATACCTCACCCCTCCTCATTTGTAAATCATCCTTGAGTTCTCAAAGCTATAGAACTCTCACATTCTCTCTCTACTCTCCTTTGCCTTCAAGCTTTCCCTTTCCTCTTCTTAGCCAAGCATCCTCCTTTCATATGAGTTAGGCTTACTTAGCGACTTCCAGTGAAGGTTGTCTAAGTGCCGCACGGGTCGAAAGACTAGCCCCGTGACAGTTGGTATCAGAGCACGGTTCTACCGTTGTGCTTAAAGGAAGGTATTGTACGATGGCAACTGAGGAAGGAAACGTCGTTGGCACGGAAGCACAGGAGCAAGCTCATGCACAACAGGAGCAAGCTCACCCCAGGTCCAAGCGAGAGCGAGGCCGGAGCAGGGCACCCGCAGGTGAGTCTCTTGAACCTCGTGTTGGTAGCTTGGAATCTAACATGGAGGAAGTGAGAACTACTATAGGGGGACTCAACGATCAACTCAACAATCTCCTCCAAGAGAATGCTGAGATAACGCGGGCTGCCAAGTTGATGATTGCAGACCTTAACGATGATTTAGGGGAAGACATTCGTTCCCTCAGACGTGATCTCGCCGATCTCCGCAAATATGTAAGAGATGAGGTACGAGGTCTACGCTCTCAAATGGATGAGATTCGTCATGAATGGGAATCTCATCACTGTGTGAGTAGCCCTATTAGTGGTAGTACTTCAAACGCCACTTCTCAGGGACTGAAAGTACCCAAGCCGGCCATGTACAATGGGACTCGTAGTGCTACAATTGTGGAGAACTTTCTCTTTGGCCTAGAACAGTACTTCGAGGCCATGGGAGTCTCTAACGACTCGATCAGAATCAACAATGCTTCAACTTTTCTCCGGGATGCAGCCCAACTATGGTGGCGCAGAAAGCATGCCGAACGAGAAAAGGGCCTTTGCACTCTCAACACATGGGAGTTGTTCAAGTCAGAACTCCGCAAGCACTTTGTTCCCCACAATGCTGAGACAGAGGCTCGAGGTAAGCTTCGTAGATTGAGACAAACTAGTAGTATTCCTGACTACATTAAAGAGTTTACTACCATTATGCTCGAGATTGAGGACCTGTCCGACAAGGAGGCTCTTTTCTACTTCATGGACGGACTTAAAGACTGGGCGAGAGTAGAACTCGATAGACGTAAAGTGCAAACTCTAGATGAGGCAATTGCTGCTGCTGAGTCTATAATCGACTACTCCACCAAGTCCAAAAAGCCTAATCCTGGTAGCAGTGGAGGAGACAAAGGAGGACAAAAGAAGAATTTCGATCGTAAGGATGGTGGTAGATTCTTTGGTGGGAGTTCTAGACAGGATAAACCACCCTCAATCAGGCGTGATGCCTCAAAGCCACCGAGGCCATGCTTCGTGTGCGATGGTCCACACTGGACTCGGGACTGCCCCAACCGCAAGGCTATGAATGCCTTGGTCGCTGAGATGAAAGAAACCCGGGACAAGGAGCAACAGATCGACCTTGGTTCCCTCCAACACTTGAATTCCTTGACTGGACTCTTTTCCCCATCTAAGAAGGAAGAGAAGGGTCTACTTTATGCTGATCTTGCCATTCAAGGCAAGTCCGCCTCTGCCATGCTCGACACAGGAGCATCCCACAACTTCATGGAGGCTGAAGAAGCTAAGAGATTGGGTATCCAACTCAACAAGGGAGAAGGCACTATCAAGGCAGTGAACTCCCCAGCCAAACAAGTCCTTGGGATTGCCAAGGATGTGAAGGTGAAGATCGGGGACTGGCAAGGTACGTTAGACTTTACTGTTGTCCCTATGGATGATTTTAAAGTTGTATTGGGACTTGCTTTCTTCTGCAAAGCACATGCCTTCCCGATTCCTGAAGCCAAGTCTATGGTGGTCATTGACTCCAACATGATCCGGGTAATCCCCTTGAAACGCTTGGAGAAATCTAACCCTATGATTTCTGCCTTGCAATTCAAGAGGGGTCTCAAGAACTCAGAAGGGTATATTGCCACTGTACGTTCATTGGCCGAGGAAGAGGATGGCCCAACCAAACCACGGGAAACCTTGCCACCTGGTATCCAAGAGGTACTACAGGAGTACAAGCACGTCATGCCTGATGAGTTGCCCAAGAAACTACCTCCCAGAAGAGAGGTAGACCATCAGATCGAGTTGGAACCTGGTGCCAAACCACCTGCCTTGGCACCTTATCGCATGTCACCTCCAGAACTTGAAGAGTTAAGGAGACAACTACAAGATCTCCTTGACTCAGGATATATTCAACCATCTAAGGCCCCATATGGTGCTCCAGTCCTTTTCCAGAAAAAGAAGGATGGATCGTTACGAATGTGCATCGACTACAGGGCCTTGAACAAGATTACCATCAAGAATAAGTACCCGATACCTTTGATCGCCGACTTGTTCGATCAGCTTGGAAAAGCCAGGTACTTCTCTAAGCTTGATCTCCGATCCGGGTACTATCAAGTACGCATCGCCGCAGGTGATGAACCGAAGACAACCTGCGTGACGAGATATGGAGCATTTGAGTTCCTTGTCATGCCTTTTGGACTGACGAACGCCCCGGCAACGTTCTGCACGCTCATGAACAAGTTGTTCCACCCTTACTTGGACCAGTTCGTGGTGGTATACTTGGATGACATCGTAGTATATAGCAACACTCTTGAAGAGCATGCTCAACACTTGAAGAAAGTCTTCCAGGTACTCTCTGATCATGAACTTTACATTAAGCTGGAAAAATGTTCTTTTGGTAAACAAGAGGTGGACTTCTTGGGGCACAAGATCAAGGATGGAAAGCTCATAATGGACCCAACTAAGGTTCGAGCCATCCAAGAATGGCAGCCTCCTACCAAAGTCCCAGAGTTAAGATCATTCCTTGGTCTGGTGAACTACTATCGGCGGTTCATCAAGGGGTATTCAACTATCACTGCTCCATTAACAGATTTGCTCAAGAAGAACAAATCTTGGCATTGGTCACAAGATTGCCAGGATGCCTTCAACAAGCTGAAGCAGATGGTCGCGCAAGAGCCTGTTATGTCCTTGCCCGACTACTCCAAGCCGTTTGAGGTACACACTGATGCCTCAGACTTTGCAATAGGGGGCGTGTTAATGCAAGAAAGACACCCTATTGCGTACGAGAGCCGCAAACTCAATGACACAGAGAGGCGCTACACGGTGCAAGAAAAAGAGATGTCTGCCATTATCCATTGTCTACGAACCTGGCGTCATTACTTACTTGGGAGTAAGTTCACTATTATGACAGATAATGTTGCTACGAGCTACTTCCAAACACAAAAGAAGCTCAGCCCGAAGCAAGCTCGCTGGCAAGATTTTCTTGCTGAGTTTGATTATCGGTTGGAATACAAGCCAGGCAAAGCAAACGTAGTGGCGGATGCCTTAAGCCGGAAAGCCGAGTTAGCCACTCTCTCAGCAAGCATGCCCCAGAATGACTTCCTTGAACGAATCAAGGAAGGTATGTCTCAGGACTCATCTGCAAGCAACTTAGTAAAGCTTGCTACTGAAGGCAAGACTCGAAGATTTTGGGTGAATGATGGAATACTCTACACCATTGGGAACCGAGTCTATGTGCCGAAATGGGGCAACCTTCGAAGGGATGTCCTAAAAGAGTGCCATGATTCCATGTGGGCCGGACATCCAGGTATGGCACGAACACTTGCTCTCGTACAAAATCATTTCTATTGGCCACATATGCAAGACGATGTCGAAGCATATGTGAGAACTTGCTTAGTGTGCCAGCAAGATAAGGTTGAACAACAACATCCTGCTGGTCTACTCGAACCTTTGCCGGTGGCTGAGAGACCATGGGAGAGTGTCTCCATGGACTTCATAGTTGCTCTCCCTAAGTCTGAAGGATGTGGGAGTATCATAGTGGTGGTTGATAGATTCAGCAAATATGCCACCTTTATACCAGCCCCAGCAGATTGCAAGGTTGATGAAGCAGCACGCTTGTTTTTCAAACATGTCGTGAAGCTATGGGGGATCCCTCGCAACATCGTCAGTGATCGAGATCCCCGATTCACCGGGAAATTCTGGAGAGAACTTTTCAAGCTCTTGGGGACAGACTTGAACTTCTCAACAAGCTTTCACCCTCAGAGCGATGGACAAACGGAGCGAATCAACGCTTTGTTAGAGCTCTACCTTCGCCACTATGTGAGCGCTCATCAACGAGATTGGGCTAAGTTGCTCGATGTGGCCCAATTCTCTTACAACTTGCAGCGAAGTGAGTCGACAGGTAAGAGCCCTTTTGAGATAGTTACCGGACAACAACCTCTAACCCCCAACGCACTTGCCACTCCATACAAGGGAGACAATCCAGCTGCCTATAAGTTTACTAAGGAATGGCAAGAAGAAGCCGACATTACTCGTGCATGCCTGGATAAAGCTTCTCAAAAAATGAAGAAGTGGGCAGACAAGAAGCGGCGCCCCATTGAATTTCAAGTAGGTGACTTGGTCATGGTTAAGTTATTACCGAATCAATTCAAGTCACTACGCAAAGTCCACAAAGGCTTGGTCAGGAGATATGAAGGCCCTTTCCCTGTCATTAAACGTGTGGGAAAGGTTGCGTACCAGGTACAACTCCCTCCCAAGCTTAAGATTCATCCTGTCGTCCATGTTAGTCTCTTGAAGAAATACTATGGAGACGAAGAAGATCCATCTCGAGGTATCTCTAAGAGAGCACCGACAGCGGTCATCACCGAATACGACAAGGAGATAGAAGAGATCCTCGCCGACAGGGTGATCAGGAAGAGAGGAGTTCCCAACTACACCGAGTACTTAATCAAGTGGAAGGGTCAACCAGACTTTGAAGCTAGTTGGGAACGTGAAGACCTCCTGTGGCAGTTCACTGACCAAATCCAACGCTACAAGGAGGAAGGCGCGACGAGGGCGTCGCGAAATCAAGTGGGGGAGAATGTCACGTTTCGTCATTTTTCACAAGGTTAAAGAGGTCCGGAATGCTCCAGAACCCTCCAGAAGGCTCCCAGCTAACCTTAAGAGTGCTAGATAGTGCAAGAACATTCTAGAGAAGCCTACACAACTCTAGCCTCAATATTTTAATATTGTCTCTAGATTCTTCCATTAAAATATCTAGATATTTGTTAAGAGAATTCTAGAGAATCAATTGTAACCGTAGGATAGATTTAATCTCCACCGTCCATTAAGGAGGTGGGAACATTCTAGATCCAAGGGGAGGCCTATAAATACCTCACCCCTCCTCATTTGTAAATCATCCTTGAGTTCTCAAAGCTATAGAACTCTCACATTCTCTCTCTACTCTCCTTTGCCTTCAAGCTTTCCCTTTCCTCTTCTTAGCCAAGCATCCTCCTTTCATATGAGTTAGGCTTACTTAGCGACTTCCAGTGAAGGTTGTCTAAGTGCCGCACGGGTCGAAAGACTAGCCCCGTGACAAAAAGCTGGTAAAGAGGCTAATATATTTATTAGAGGGAGAGATTTTCTTTTCTAAAAAAATCTGATCCATACAGAATACCATCAAACCAGGAAGCGGGTATAGTTATTTTGAAAGGGGAAAGTGAACGTTGCTAGCATTTATTAGGTTTAAGGAGAATCAAGTTCAAATGTTGAAACCCCACCCTGCACCAAACATGACCTAATTTAATCGTTAAAAATTGAATTTTGAAGACTGCTTGAAATGAATCAAGTCCTTTGGACCTACCAAATTGTTCATTCCAGGAACAGGACAATGAATGTGGCACTTGCATTTGTTGGAAGTTCTGCCTCTCTAACTCCATTAATAGCTTCCCCTTACAATATTGTCCCAAAAACACTGCTAACTTAAAACGACATGAAATGACTCGAAAAGCATAGCTTGAGTTCTAACCATCAAATTGGAGCTCGAGTGTTCACGACCTCATAGTTTTTTAACAAATTTTAAAACGATCAAGCAAATTTCAAACAATTAAATGATAGAAAATTCATCATAAAAAAAAAAAGATGACAGAAACTCAACTCTCTAAAACCTAAAATTAAAGCAACACTTTCACGAATGGAATGATGACGGTCACCAAAATATCATAAAAAATGTAAGGGAGAGGGCATATCATTAATATCAATACCCACATATAATAAAACTCATAATTATTGTGCTTTTGCTTTTTGTTGTCTCTTGACAATTGTTTTTATTTCTATTTTTTTTAAAAAAAATATATCAAGGCCCATATAAGGTGTGTGCAATTTAGTGAATCCCAATCTCAATAGCTGGAAAAAAAAATCCCGTCTCAATCTCAAAATTTCAATTAGGCAAGCCTAAAGGCTTAACCTACTCTCCCACCACAAGTAGGTTGTCACGTCCCATATTAAAAGGACTTGAGGAAGGTCCTGATTATATAAACGGGTGCGTTACACATCCTAATAGGTTAGCCTCTTGAAAGAAAATAATGATCTCATGACAAAATGATGTTAGAATCAGACTCGAGTTTACTTATTCGGTAAACCTTTTTGATGAGCCACTCATAACAAGGGTATTATGAATTAATTAGGGGAGCTATTATGTCCCACGTTGGGGGGACTTGGGAGAGTTTTACCTATTTAATCAGATGTGTTGCACATTTTAATATGTTAACCTTTTGAAAAGAGAGCAATGACGCTTTAACAAGATGCTTCTAATCTATATAGCTGCACCATGAATTGAATCCAAGTGTTAAAAAAAAGGATTGGATATCTTACATTACAAATAATATTTCGTCTCATCTATGCATCGCAGTCAAATTCTTTCCCTTTTTTAGAGGGACTATTGTCAAGAAACGCGTACCTCTTCAAAGATCCCGTGAAATGAGATGTGGTAGAATGGGTGAATTGAAGTGTTTTAATTTTTTTCTATTTTTATTTAAATAAACATATCAAAATAAAGTGGTAAAACTACAATTTACCACTTCAGGATAGAAAATCACTCCCTCGCTCTCAGGTCTGGACTGATCAACAATCATAACAATACGACATCAGGCCCCAACAAAGGGCGTCGAGCTTTAACAGTGAAGGAAACAGTTCTGGAATTGAAAGTGTTTTTCATTGAATCTATACCTATATTCAGGAATAACTGAATAGACAATAATGAGTGAATTTTTTTTTTTTTGGGGGGGGGGGATCCCTGTAAATAACGTGGGATGAGTTGCTGTAAATGCCATTATTATTGTCATCTCCCGCTGCTCTACAAATTGCATCCTCTGGTACATCTACTACACCTATATTATCCAAAACACTCCTAGAGTTGCTCTTATATCCCTAGAGTTTCCTCCTGGACCATGGTCGATGTATATCTTATTTATTCCATTTTTGTTTCCTAAAGTAACTCCTTTCCAAATCATTAGGGAAACCCTTCATTGGTGTAGAAATGTGGTTATCATCCTCATATGAAAGGTATTTAGCATTAAGACCAGTTGTGCTGGGAGACATATCATCCGAGTAACAACTAGCTAGACCGCTAGAATCGCTTCACAATTTCTGCAGGCTGATCTATTTTCATAGCATCAGTAGACTTGGAAGATTGACAATCACTCTGGCGTCGATATGGGGGCAGTGGAGGGAACGGATAGAAAGGCATGCCTGGAGCAGTGATCCAACTGCCTTCGATGTCTGCGTGAGGTGTTCCATATTGTTGGATAACAGGCCATGGAACTCCATACGAGACAGGCAAGCAAGGATTAAATTTTTCCCTTGGACAACCTATAACTGCATCAGAGGAACATCCAGAACCAGAATGGCCTGCCTGTTGCAAGGGAAGATCACAAGAGTTTCGTGAGGCGTTCAAAGAACCCAAAGGCCGAACTGAACATGAAAACCCAGGTGGAACATCTTTAGAAATATTCTGCTCAACATCAACAGCGTTAATAATCACGTCAGCTTGCTTTGGCTGCCCAGAGACAACTTCTCCTTTCTTGTGCTCAGAAGATACTACAACTGAATTTGTCTCCGCAGGTTGATCCCATCGGCTTTTACGTTTACGTCTCATTGGCCTGCTGATTTCACACCCATTCAGAGATGGTGCAGTGCAGCCCTCCTGGGCAACAGCATTGACTGAACTTGTTTCAACCAATGGCAGCTGGGCACAATCTATTGCTTCAGTAGGTCTAAAACTCTGTTCACATGTATAGTTCAGTGATGCTGAAAATCTGTTGTGTCTGAAACTCCTATAAGATTTCACCCCCCAGTCATCCCTGTTTATAAAGCCACGTTTTCTGACAGATCTGGGAATCCATCTGTCTCGAAAGCTTCGAGCAATTTGATGGACCTACATGAGGAAAATGAATACAATCAAATATACTCTCACCCACAAGAAAAATACACCTGAGGTAAAAAAAGAAAGAAGATCCAAACAGCATGTTTTGCTACTAGGTGACATACACTAGACCTCTGACTAAAGCTGTAATCAATGAAAAAAGTGGGCAAGAACAAGTTAGTATGAAACACACCTCTTTGTCTTCATGTTCCGTTAAGGACAGCATTGACTCCCTAAAGCTGCACATAAAACCAAAAATTAGGAAAAGGGGAGGGGTTTAGCCCCAGTAGCACAATTTCATAGGGTCAAAAATGAAAGAGAAAAATGCATATAATTTGCAGAGCGGGAATCCGATGAATTCTCTCTATATTGATCATAAGCTAAGGTCCTCTGCCAGAGTGCAAGCCTTTACAGAGGTGACAATTCTGTAAAGGGAATGCAAATCAACAGAAAATGCAGAAAGATACTCAGCTCCTAGGTATCCGAGATGCTAAGCTTCTCCCAACCTAGAGAACATTCGTGTTTCCCCACTACTGGACCCCACCTCCCAATATTCGTTGCTCAAACCCTCACCTCTCTCCTCAAAAGGCCAAGCCAGAATAATCCTGTCAGTTTCCTTCAATTAACCCCTCTGTTGCTACTGGCCCCTCTGGGCACATGTTACCCTCTTCTTCCTCTTCCTCTCATACAATAGTAATGGTCACCCCTTGTGTTCTTACTGCTTCTCACATAAGTTAACAACGAAGGCCAATCCCCATCAAAATGGCTAGAACAAAAGGTCTATTCCTATCATAATGGTGGCCAATAATTTGTATAAGACATTGATGAAGTCCACATTTGAATTTAAAACATTAAGCACTAATGAAATCCATGACTCCAGCTTTCAATTATTTGAGATAATTAAAAAAAGTCCAGCATAATTTTTTTTTTTCTTTATTACTCAGAGGTATCCTCTTATTGAAGGCAACTCCAAACACTAGTTTTTGTAATAATAAGTCAAGTAAAATTGGAGGTAAACTACAAAAGCCGCAGAGCTGAAATTTTCTAACCTTTCCATTCCACAGCAAGGGGGACCACCATTAACATGCTCAGATGTCAAAATATTTCTTTCTGCTAGGCGCTCTAAGACCTGTGAAAGGTGTATTTAAAGTATGTCATGAATTGTAGACTAACCTCCCTTAAAGAAGGATTAACAAAATAAATATAAAATATAAAAAGCTGAACAATACACAAGTCACAAAGTATAGCTCATTTTAGATTCTATGCAAATGCATGGGATCTACTATAATTAACTCACAAAGCACCCGCTGTTACCATAGAGGAGACTATGGGACTGTCACATACACAAATATCAGATAACACCTCCCCTATATATTGACCCCAACAACAATAACAACAAACCTTATCCCACTAGGTGGGGTTATATATTGACACCCACATGAAAAATATTGAGAAACTTGGCCAACACCTAAAAGGGGAATAAATTACGGTAATCATGTAAAACCCAATAAAATCAGGCAAATATCAAAAAGCTTTTCGACAAGGGTTCAGGGATTAGGGTTTATTTCTACTAGCCACTCTGTTAATGGAGCCATGAAATTGAAGAAATTTCAGAGACAGATCTACCTATGAAGGAATTCACAATAGTGGCTCTACACTCTACAATGTCAAACTAGCAGCCTCAATTGAACTTTTGTCAATTATTCAATTTCATTCAAATCCTGAAGCTTTTTGCAATAAAACAAGGATGTGCAGTTGGTTCAAAGTAATGAATTTGGAAGTGCATAACCGCTTAAGTAAAATGCAGATAACTTGCAACTAATTTAAGTCATTTCCCATCTGCAAACCTTAAGAAGCTTTCGCAGAATTGGAATTTTTTTAAAGTCCCACCTGTATTGCTTCATTATGTTGTGTAGCATGCGTAAACCTGAAAGGAAAAGCAATAGTCATGATTTGAAATTGACAAAAGCATGACAAGTTTTCACTAGAGATAAAAATAAATAAAAATTGAGATAAGTATGCAGAAAGTATGCATTACCATTTTTATTAACTATATCATTCAGCACTGATCTTGATCTAGTTTCCAAAAGGGCACCAAGAATCATGGAAAGGTCTCGGTTGCTGCAGCTGCAACCAAAGTTTAGATTCCTTTATAGAGCATAAGTCTATAGTGGATAAATAAGTCTAATAAAGCATAAGATTACTAAGAGAAGCAAATTATGGAAAAAGGAAAAGAAGAGAGGACCTTTGAATGGCTTCACCATTACTCCTATCACCTGATGCCACAGTAAGAAGTAGAAGCTTCAAGTAGCCTTTGGTGGCATCCTGTTATAGCAAAATTCATGGTGAAAAAACAATTTCACTGCAAAACAGCCTTAGTAGTATACCCAAGGCTACCGCCAAATAAAGTGGTCATTATAAGCATGAAGCAAAATCATCGACAGCCAAGACAAGGAAGCCACATCAGAACCAGTTCACACCAGCAGTGCAATCTAAAAGCAAAAGTCTCTTTATAGCATCAAAATGATCCCATGATGGACAAAAGTCTCAAACAAAAGTCTCTTTATAATTACTAATTATGGTGGGATAATAGATAATTTGGGAAGTTAGAGATATATAAAGAATGAATACTATTTTAAGTTATTTTCTATTTAATAATATTATTTAGTTTATTTTCTGTTTTGTTGAGTGGCCCTTAAATTTAGGAGTAGTGGATACTTGTAGATTATAAAAATAATTTTATTTATTTATTTATTTTAGGTAGTTATGCCCCATCATTTGAGTTACTAATTAATGGGAGTCTTTTTAGGACTTACTCCCTCTGTTAAAAAATGTAAAGCATTTTTAACCGAATCTCACCCCCCAATAAAGTAGTTACCTACTTTCAAACTAACCCTATCTTTTCATATTTACCCCCATTAAACACCCTACAATAAATATAAAGCCATTCATCAATAAAGGCATTTTTGAAAAAAAGACAAGGATTACACCTCGAAAAATTAAAAATGCCTTACATTTTTTAACATCCAACTTCTCAAAAAACGCCTTACATTTTTTTAACGAAGGAAATATTATTTATTTTTTTGGTCCATAAATAGAGGTACATATCATGTAGAAATCATTTGGAAATAAAATCATTATTTATTTATATTAATGGAGATTCTCCTTAGCTTTATTAATTGTATGAGTTAAAGATTTTTGCTCATCTTCTATTAAAGATTTCTCTTCTCTTTATTAATTTATGAAGTTAGATTGTGATTTCATTTTATTAAATATTTATCTTTCTTATTTTTCTCTATCCATCTTGGATCATATTAGTAGGCTATATTTAGGACTAGAATAAATTTACACAAAAGGGTTGAGATAAAATATTACAAAAGAGGCTGAAATTTCATGCTTCCTAACTTGACTAAACCAATCTCAATGGTGGAATAGAACACTGGAACATGCATAATGCACAAACTTCTAGATAAATCTAACAATTTGGAATACCGTATTGATAAATCATAGATTTTATATATTTTATCCCACTTTTTCCATGCATTTTAATGATGATTTTGGACTAATTTAGATTTATTAGATATTATTTGAATTATTAGTCAATTTTGAAGAATAATATATTTTCGAATTAATTATTGGAATTTTGGTCTTAAACTGTGAATATTTCATCTTCCTATTTTTAACATAGTTTAATTTTTCCAATCTTTAAGCAAGCTTAATTTGAATTATTATATATCATTTGAGTTTTTGGCCATTTTGTGGAAAATAATAATTGCTAAAAAAATAATTTGAAAATATTTTGAGTCATGGGATTTATTTTGGATAAGATCTACACTAATAGGTTCATGTTGACTTTTCAGGTTATTAAAGCACAATTAATAAAATTCGATGGTGAAAATTAATTCTAGGATTCCAAGAAACATCCAATGATCAAAGTTTTAAAAGATAAGGAAGGAATCATCAATGTATATTAAGGTATAATGGGCATTTTCAACTAAGGAAAATTAAAAAAAATTTACACTTTTCTTTTTATCTTTTTTCTTATTGGCTCTTTTTAAATTTAATGGCTGGCATTTTTTTTAAACTCTCTACTAGTCATTAGATCATTTGTCTCAAAACCCTCTCTTCCTCTCACTAATTTTACCCAGCTGCCAGAATTGAGAAAAGGGAAGCTCTCTCTTTATTTTTTTCTTTCCTTCCTTAGCTACGTCTCCCATCTCCAGCGTCTCTTTTCTTCCACTCTATTCATTCATGCCTCCTCATCTCTTCTTCCATTCTTCCACCAATTAATCACTCCATCATTTCCATTCTCTATTTTCAATCCACGGTACACAGTACACCTCACCATCATCCAAATTTAACCAATCCCCATTCACACCACCTCATCTCCAAACTATTCACTCATTTATTAAACTCCAATTCCATTAATCATCTTATTGTCGTGACTTGTGGCTTAGAGTTTAGAGGGAGAGCTTCAATCATGAGAGCTTGAGATAAATTGGGATAAACATGGAATAAGCTAGAGCCTAGAATTTACACTTGGAGACCATTGGGGATTGATTTTTTATTTATCTTTTTAATCCAAGAGTTTAGGATTATTTAGTCTTAAATGATTTTAAGTTGTAATGCTTGTGTATAATCTAATTCTAGGTTGTAAATATTTTAAATCTTGAATTGGATTGATTTTGTGTTTAATGAATTTCTGAAATTTATGTTTACATACCCTTGCTTTGCCGATTAAATTAATGGTTGAGTTCTCATTGTTGATTTAATTGTCATTGTGGTGTTTGTTGTAAATTTTGGTTGTTCCTTTTGCCTCTTAATTGTTCAATTGAGTTGATAATTTGTCTAATTGTTCAATTAGATAGTTTAAACATATTTTCTAGATTTATTTTTGAATTAATCATCATTGGTTTTAATAGATTTAATTTGCCTAATTCGTAGTTGTAGCATTTGGTTCACTATGAGTTCTCTAGTAGATTAAGTGTTAGACTTTATGCTTGTGGATTCCCTTTGCTTTAATTAAGTAATTGAATTTATTAATTCTACTCTCCTATCATTTCCTTTTGATCTAACTAATTGAATTGGGCAAGGAAAGTTAACTCCATGTGAAATCTTAAGTTGTCCCCTTTACTGAAATTGAATCAAACTTTTCTTAATTTTTAGTTAATTAATTCTTTTGGTCATTTAATTAATTTTTTTAGTTTACATTTCATTTTTCTTGACATAAAACCGGCCAATCATAATTTAGGACTTATGCATTGCATAATAGCATTTAGGTGACATTAGCATTAGCATCCATTTAGATAGTTTTAAATTGCATTTTCTCATTTGCATTTTAGTATAGAAATCTAGCATTTAGTCTTAGAATTTTTTATTAGTTTTTAAACACCTAGAAAACTTAAGATAACCTCTAAATTGCTCCTTGGAAGAATGATCTAAGGTTGGCCTATAATATATTAAGTCAATCTTAGTTTAATTGAATGCCAATACGACTAAGGCAATCCATCACGCATAAATCAGCAACTAACTCAAGGTTACTTACTTTACTTTTACCAATTCCTCCATTTGCATCTAGCAACTCTTTAAGCTTCTCCTCAACTGCAGGTTTGGGGAAGGAGCAATTGAACAAGTTCTTTATGTAATAACCATTTCACCAAATTAAGGCATTTGACAAACCTGCTTCAAAACGACCATTGGAAGAACCTTCCACTGCTTTTTTATGTTGGATGGATGGAACCTGCAATCTTTTGGTCACCCCAACTTTGAGATTATTTGAAGGGTTAGCACATGCCTTCCCCTTCTTAATAGAGCCAGCTATTTGGGAAGCCTTCACAAGCAGATGAGATTCTAAAAGACCACGTTTGTCTTCAATTACTTCATACTTGGATTTGCTAAAAAATGAAGAGGAAGAAGTCTCCATATTTGCAATCAAAGATTTGTCAGAATGCTCTAGTTCTACTGCATATCCTTGTTGCAAAACAGGCATAGGTTTGCTAGTTACATCCTCCATTTGCTGGGAAGGTACTTTCACTTGAATGGAAGATGATAAATTGCCCTTTGAATTGTCCACTTCTATCGAGCTGTGCAGCTGAGAGCTAGCAGAGGCAGGGTTTAGAGAATTCTCCAGGCAACCACCTAGCCCTGCAGTAGTAGTTGGGTTGTCAGATAAATTCCTATCTTTTAACATAGGCCTAGCACTCAGCATATATCAACATTATCACAATGATTGAGTATTAGGCATACCATCTTCAATATTATCACCTTCAGTAAGCATCACAGGTTCTGGAAATTCCTCATCTGAATCATCTTGAACAACGATTTCAGCATTGAGTGGATCACCACCTATATAACCTCGACAATGAGGTGAACCACAATAACATTTTTTTGCAGCAGCACCAAAAACCCTGACATAGTTGTAGTCAAATGTAACCTCTTCATCCTGGGGAAGGTAGAAAGAAAAGGTTCAACCAACCTCATAATGCAAGGAAATGAAGATAACATAAATATCCCTTTACCACCCTCCCCCCTCCAAAAATAAAAAGCTGGCATCCTTTCTTAATTTCACTTCACTGCTAAAATACTTTGAGCATCCCTATATTTTAAAAATTTATGCACATTTAGCATTGAATATGTAGACTTCTTCAACTTAGAAATACACGTGCACCTCCCTTGTATTTTAAGAACATGCTGCCACTTGATCCATTTTACAGTTAATGTTAACCGCACAGTAAAATTACATGTTAAATATCAACTGTGAAAAAGAATATTCTTAATAATATTCCTAGCAAAGTTAAATATTTTAGATACCACGTTTGTTCTCAAAAAGAGATGATCCATGTATTTAATGCTAATTCTGGGGAGGTCAGAAATTTTTACCCTAATATTAATATGAATTCACATGAACCCTTTTCATACTCTCCAATGTTCAAACAGGAATCAGGATCTGCAAAATGTTCAATCTAATTGAGAACGAATGCATGAATAATAATGAATAGGCTGCAGGGATACCTGCTTAATATCTCTCAATGCAAACAGTCCAATACAGATTTCTCCATTCACCATCCACTGTTGTAAAAGGCGAGAGAGAACGAAAGGTCAAGTGATGCACAAGACAGAGAGAAAGAAAAAAGACATGTAAATGGTTCAGGATTTTCAGATCCAGCAGCTGATACATAGAAAATGACAAAAAGGGCTACATTCTGGAAGTGTACTGCCCCAGTCCACTTAAATTAACATTATCATAAAGCATCACAAAGGAACAAACTAACATGTAAAATGATATAAAAATTACGCAACAGAAACAACTCGTATACACACATTGACAGAAGTTGCTCTGCTTACAAATGATACAGAAGAAAATTTGCTTATGAGCAGCTTCCAGTGAAAACACTACATGAAAAAGAAGTTGATGTATTCACCTTTTCTGTACGACAATTAGGATCACAACTATGATTAATGAAACGCCCCAGATTTCCTTTTTTACTTGCATCAATCACCTGAAAATATAGAAATGTAAATAAAAAGCAGAAGTGGAAAAGTCACCGACTAAATAAAAAATTATATCAATGAAAACCGACAAATATATGTTTCTAGCCACTGGAACTACTTAGAAGCAGCGAAAGTAACAAAATTCATTTCATTGAAATTGAGGTAAGCTCACATAGGTTAAATTCATACCTCACTGCCATTCAAGGCCATGAAGTAGAAATGTCTATGACCCTTCAAAGCATATTCTCTTTGTTGTGCCTCATAGGCATGCATATCAAGCACCTGTTTAAGCCGCAAATAAGATATCTAACTAAAGGTCAACTACACAGACACAAACACCTTGCATCAATGTGCCTTAATAGAACAGGGTCAATGCTGACTATACAAGAAATGACAAAATCCATTTACAATAATTCCAACCCGTTCAGAATACCCTTCACAGCCTCAGCTAGCCCTAAAAAGCAGCATAAGTTCAACAATAAATATCAGCAACTTTTCAGCTCTAATCTTAAAGAATATGAATACAATGACGGTTGAATTTTTCTAAGTTGGTCAACTTATCCTTGCCACCTCCACAGTTATGATTAAATTTGAATCTGAAGTTTAATAAAAAGAAGAATCAAACAGTGACCGAGCCTCTTAATATGCTTTAAATCCCAATAATTGCAGGACTGGATCAGAGATTAATACGATATCCTTTGGTTCTTGGCTAAAAGTTTAGAACTTTGAGTCACTCTTCAGAACTAGACTAAAAACAACTCCAATTGCACAAAAACGCATAGACCACTTTCTCCATGATCTCGTTAGGGCATATGGCACTGGTTAACTCAAAGTAAGTTAGCTTAGTTTGCAATAATTGCTAATAACATGAATTTATCCACATGATTAAATAAAAATATATTTAAGGATAAATAACAGGCAAAAGAAGAAGGATCTACAACTAATCCAAATAGACTGCATCCATGATATTGTTAAAGGCCTAAATTAATTCTTTCTTCCCCCAACATTTAGTAATTCAGCACCAAAAATCATATCCTATATAATGCTATCAAGGAAATTGATGAATTAGGTGAACAGTGAGGACGAAAAAAGTATCATCCAAGTTACCTCGCCAACATACTCAACAAGGAATTGCCCTTCAGATATGCCCTCAATCGCCTTCAGCCCATAGCCCTTTTTCCCACATTTAAACCACTTCAGTTTGGCATAATTGCGTTTCTGGAACTGAAATCAGGCATTTGAACTCCAATGATGCTTTTTGCACAAAAAGGTCAGCACTACTATCAAAGCAGAGGAAAAATAGCCCCTATACCTGCTGATTTGAACAGAGGTCCCCACATGAGCAGGCCCCTTGAACACATTCAATGTTAAGCATCCGATTTAAACATTCATCTCCACATCCCAACTGACCTTTTGGAGGTGGTTTGCAATGGCAAATCATTATCTGATAAAAGTTCATAGGAACAATGAATAAATATATTAAACTAACAGTCAAATTGGAAACTTATAGCTTGGAAACCCAAGCACCATCTGGTCATACTTAAATATACATTCAGCAGTGACTGATATGAGAACAAAGGAAGAAAATCATATGCCATGATCAGACTGATAGCTATGAAGCATATGATCCCTCATCCTTGCCGTGAAAATTAAAAGACAACCAGATATTAGGCATCATATGTTGAACAAGAAAAAAGGTTAAAAACGCACTATTCATTACTTGTGAATAATATAGCTTCTCATATATTTTATATTTTACATTGATGATTATGTCAGTAATGCATCCAATCCTCTGCAAGGTACACCCTTTCCGTACAGGCAGAAATAGTTAGAGTCATATTTAGGCACATCAGTTTCACCTTAACCCAATCAGATCTAAATAGACATCAAAGATCCTATTTCCCATTAGCTTTTTCGTGAAAACAATTAAAAGAAAATAAAGGACAAAAACTCCACCAAAAATAAAGCAGAAAGAAAAGATATGAAAAACAAAAGATAAAACCCCCTAAGTCAAGTGAGATGTGAAAAGGAGGGGGGCGCATTGCTTTAAAAAATATGGCAGTCTGCTCTAGCCAAATACACAAAGAAATGGATTATAATATATATTCATAAGCCAATAGCTCAAAATATTTTTAACAAGATAGCAAGGTCTCTAAAACCAGGTGGTCTGGACTTTGCTCCATGTCACTACCATTCTCCATAATCAAATGAAATTTCATGTAAGAGAGCATGTTAGAGATCATAACAAAATTATTCAAGAGTCTATAACATTCTTCCTCGGGCCATCATGATAACATAACTGAGCCAAGTTGCTGCTATGAGCCAATAGACTGATATGACCAGTTTGCCCATTAAATTTACAACTGCTGATCCAGTATAACTGACCTTTCTCATTAATATATATTTAGCAAAACAAAACACAGTCAAACAATAAAGTGTCAAAATCATGAGTTAAAAGAAAGAATTAGAACAACTTGTACCTCATCTATAGTGTGAGTTTTGTGGCTACGATGGAGAAACTCATTGGCAGAAATATGAGTAAAAGTTGATTCCTGAGAAACTGCAATGCATGGCAACAACAGACAATGAGGAAACCTAAAGGAAGAGGTAACAATGACATTCCAAAAACAGTCTAGCTTCAAGTTTAAATCTCTGATTCTCTATGTAGCTAATATTACATACACATTGGACGTCGATGTTCTAGCTCCTTATAGTTTTTGCAATCTTCATTATCATCTTCGTCAGATGCATCTGATAATCCTAACTCTGCATTGATCTCTGAGTTTGACTTTTCCTGTGCGATAGAGCAATCAGCATAAGCTTTATCATCGCTGTCTTTGCATGTCCTTCAAAAGAAGATTACAAAGGACAACTTAAAAGTTACTAAAAGAAATTGGGAAAAATATGAACAAGGGAATTTGCCTCGTGTGCTACTTTATATATTTAAATATTTATGAAAAAGGAAACTAACTGCAAACATATAAAGATATAATTGAAATAAGAAACTCAAAGATAATAACTAAAGAAGCATGATCAATAAAGTAAAAGCCAATGACAACCGTAGAAAACTATTTCTACACTAAGACAAATTGAATATATAGCTAAACTTTTAGAAACTACAGATAAACACATCACAGGGAAAATGATAAATCTTCCATATAAAAATGGCATACCAGGCACAGTTTGTTTCTTCAATTAGGTCTGCAAGTGAAGCTGGAATACACCGCCACTTGTGGCAATCATCACAACGCACCCATGCATTTTGTGGTGATGGATGCTGCTTCCTCAAACCAACACCAGGTACCATGTCAAGATTATACACACTGGCTGGTACTTTGCTGCCATCAGCATTAATTTTTCCACCAAAATCCAACTTTCGTTTGTCTTCAATGTCATTTTCTGTGACCAATAAAAGAAACATATTTTCATGTAAATGCTCAAACAAATTAAACAACACATAAGACTAAAAAGTGATTAAACGCAAGTAAAATTTAACAAAATGAAGGGCACAGTCACATAAAATAAGTGTTCAAAATTCAAAAATAGATGTGATTGCATCAATATGCAAGCTTTCTAAAAAAATGGAGCTACCTTCATGTAGGTATTCGCATATAACTTTATCAGATACACTCTTTCCTTTAACACCATGCTTGGTGAAAGATCTCCCCTGTTTCTCCCCATGTCTGAAAGCAGTCTTTTTCCTGCTATTTGACTCAGAAGCTTTAGACTTGGTCTGGCTAACATTGTTAGATTTAAGACTTTTGGGAATTTTACAACCCAAATGTCTCTCAGATGGAAGAAATTTCTCAGTATCAGGGGAGTCTGAATTTTCATTGTTAATATCTAAGCAGCACTGTGTCTTAACCTCCACTCTACTTTTGACTTCCAAAGCATCAGTTGGATCTCTAAGTCCAATATCTCCGTAGAGGTGCAATGGTTTTGTATGAACTTCTCCATAGCCTACAAAACTGCTTATGCTTAATGTATGCATATCAATGGAACTAGGCAACTCCACAGAGCTAACCACATCAGTGCAGCTCTTCTTACTTTCAAGATTCTTTGAGTACTTTGCTTTATTTTTCCTTGGGAAACCTGGTGATACGTCTCTTACACTACTATTACATGAACAAGCAACTTTATCTTTCTTCTTCCTTCCCTTGCTAGCAGTATCATGAACAGCAAAATTAAACTCCGTAGAAGAACCAAAATCAGTATTATTCAGATATTTTTGATGTCTTTCTCCCACCTGGAAATCAGGAATTGAATCAATCACTTCTGAATCAGGTGAAGATCCAGTTCCAGGATCCATACGCTCAATATTAACAGGCTCTACCAATGCATCAACCAACTTCTTTGAAGGAGCCAGAAGACAAGGCTCCTCTGCATTGGCATCTGACTTCTCCATTAATGCAGCACTTTCCAACTTGTTATTGGCAACTTGCCCATTCAAAACAACAGCATGCTTGTAAAGGTTATTTTTATCAGATTCAAACTTTCCTACAACCACCTCATCAAATAATTTGTCTCCAGTATCACTAACTAAATTTTGACAGCTTGAACTAGGTCCCAAGTTGGAAATAGAAGCCAAACCATCAACGGCTTGCGGGACCAAGAAGTTCGGGTAATACAAGTTAAACCCTTTCCCCACTTTGATCTTCAAACGCATACGAGTAGTTGAAGCACCAGGCATTGAATTCAATATGCTAGAATTTGCACTATCTTTATTTGTTTTTCCACTTTGATAGTTGCCCCTATCCTTCCTCAATCCTTCAAAGATAACTTTATTTATGTTTAACTCTCTATCCATTCCAACAGCCTGTTTAATGTTCCCTAGCAATCCCCACTTAGAAGAGCGAGCAGCTCTGGAGAAACAGCTTCTTTTCTTTCTAGTGGCCTTTGATATTGTCTTCACACCCCACTCCTGTTGAGGCACATTGGCTTGCTTATTGCATTTTTTTGGAGCCCTTCCAGTCTGTTGCTTGCAAACAGATTTGTTTCGTTGACTGTTCCTTCGATGAGGCAATAACACAATGTCTGAACATTTGCTTCCAGTGACACGATCAATTCTGAAAATTTGTTTTCCTCCATTATCATTCTGTCCAGAATTGCACGCATTGCTATTGTAACTGATATCACAGCTATTGTCCTTGAGCAGGAGATCAGGCACATCCTTTGAAGGGTTATCATTTAAAGAAACAAAGGAGGGCAGACCTGATTCAGAAGAAAAGGTACGATAGGTAGAAGTTTCTGGCAAATTGTCCTTTGAAGATGTTTGGTTGCAAACAACCACTTCCATCCCACATAAAGCATCTGTATATAATGCCTCTGAAGGCACCTCACTACCCTGTGCAGGAGATATCTGCCTGCAGGAAGTTTCTTTCACCCCACATAAAGTATTGCAGTTGTCTACAACCTCCAAGGGATCTGTATTTCTCAGAATGTCCTCCTGCTCACTCTTTTCGTCAAAATTAACTAGACAGCCAGTTATAGGTTCTGATTCCATGGAAAATTCAGAATGAATGAAATCAAATATATAATTGCCAGCGTCAGTGAGCAAACCAACATCATTGTTTTTTTCTTCCGCAGCCACTATTGTGTCCCCTGTAGAAAGGATTGTGCTGCTCTTCATATCCTTTAGCAAACCATTTACAGATTTAAACTCTGATGGAAGTTGATAGTCATCATGATTGTGAGTTTTTTCTTCTGAGCATAAGCTACCACTTTCCAAGTTAGAAACTTCACATTGCCCACAAAATGTGCTGCAACAGTTATGACAATCATTGTCCGAGGTTTTCTTCACTAGCAACATATCAGCATTTTCATATTTACTTGCTCTAGCATTGCTGGGCATGTCAGTAACATCAACACAGCATGCCGAACCAGATTCTTCATTAGCAGAGAAATATTTACAACCATCCAGAATATTGGAAAGCTCAATGTTAGAGTCCAACACAGAGCAGCCTACTTTTGAACAGGACCGCTCCACGGGAACAGATTGCAATGAAAACTCCGAACAATGCTGCATGATAACAGACTCGCCTGCGGCTTCATCTACCATCGCCATTCTCTCACACAAGCCCATGACAATTTAAACAGTTCATTCAAATCTATCAGACTACGGCTAGCCATTGGCTGCGTACCAGAATATCTGGCTAAAAATTAAACTTACAAAAACTACAAAGGGAAAAAAAAAAATAGAACCGGTCATCAACCGATCAAAATGTATCACCCAATATCTACCCATATAACGTGAGCACAATCATCATTCACCGTTACGCTCAATTAAAACAGAAGTTAATGACGTAATCGCAACCGGAGCTCACAGAAAAAAATCAGAGCACACAGACAGTGCCCTAAAAAGAACCTCTCTCCTGACGTCCTCTGCACCCACAAATAAACTGCTTTCAGGATTTCATAAGGCAGTGCAGAAGGGCACTTGGCTACTAGAAATAATTGAGTCAGGGAATATAAACGAAAATTCAAGCAATGCCATTATATGGGAGTAAAGAGAATAAACGAACAAACAAACTTGGAGAGCAAGTAAATTAACGGATAAAAGGATACCTGCCCAGAATGAGAGAGAGAACACGGAAGCTTGTTCGTTTCCCCAATGATCTATAGAATACAAAATGTTTTTCCTCTCCTAGCCTTGCAGAGAGAATGGGTTTGGGTGTGCGTGACTCGCGCCAGAGGGAGGGAGACGGGTCGGTGGTGACACCAAAATGGTTTGAGGGAGATGACACAGGAAGGTTCTTTCTAATGATCGAATACCGATTCCACGTTGAATAGACCCTTTTGGCCTATACGCCTCGTCACAAGTCCCCCACCAACCCGGAAAAATTCGCAAGACGCACTCGTAGTCAGTATTTAAGAAGGTTTTCTCATTTTGATTTTTGATTTCGCCCATTAAAAATTTTCCGCCCCGGGTTGCGGAATCCTTGGATCATCTATTTAATATTTATTATTTATTTGTTCGCTTAGTGTTTATTCGATGCCTTGATTTGTTTCAGGTCAGAAAAAATATTCCTATCTTAATTTTATAACTGTTGCGTTTGAAACTACCACGTCAACGCGTTTTTTTAAAAAGGACAGAACAATATCTTTCACTCGAATTAAATATCTTTCCCTCGAATGGTGCCATAGAAGACTTAAAAGTTATTCAAAAATTTATTTTTTTACATTTAAATTCCCTTTAAATATGCTAATAAATATTAAAAAAATTAACTACTCAGGTCTAATAAAATGTATGTAGAAATTTAACAGTAATTTCATTAAACTCAAAATGAGTTCATAAATAGAACGATATTTTTTAATATACGATGAGAATTTAAATCCTTAATCTCTATCTACCCATTATCCTGTCTTTGTCACTTGAGTTACTTTGGAAAATGCAAGCAATTATTAATCAATTAAATAATACTCAAATTCTTTGAAGAAATCATCTGTGAAGATATCTTGAAAAACAAAAAAAATAAAAGCCATTTTTAATCAATTAAACATAAATATTTTAAATAAATATCATTGATATAATTAATACTTTCATGATCCTATTTATAAGTCACTTGCAATATATTTAAATAGAATACAAAAATTTTAAACCTCGTTAATTTTGTCTAAAAATTTAATAAATTTTTAACTTTGTTCTTATTAAACACATACTTCCTCTATCCAAAAATATAAAATATTTTTTGAAGAGTTTGATGTTAAAAAATATAAGGCATTTTCAGTCTTTCAAAGTATAATCATTGTCTTTTTTTAAAAAAATATTCCTATTGATAAATAACTTTATATTTATAGTAGGATGTTTAATATGAATAAATATAAAAAGATAGGATTAGTTTAAAAGTAGACAACTACTTTATTGAAAGTAAAATTCAAAATATCTTACATTTTTAAACAAAGAGAGTATATTTTAACAACATAACTTCTCTCTTCAACATTCAGTGTAGAAAAAAAGAGAAAATTTACAATAAAAATTTAATATGATTTATAAATAAGACCAAAAATAATTCTCTTTTTACCCTATAAATAAGATTGAAGGAGTATCTCAAACCTCTTTAGTAAATTTTTACCAAACTGCTTGTGAATTATAGAGCAAGGATTTTCGGGAAAACAAAAATATTCGCTTATCATATGATAAATATAGCGTCTGTGAAAGAGCATTTACTTCCTCTATTAAAGAATATAAGGTATCTTTAATCAAATATTGCCCCTCCAATAAAGTACATAGTTAATTATTTTTAAACTAACATCAATTTTTCATATTTGTCCTCATTTAATAAGTGTTTTACTTTGAAATAAATATGAAGTTATTTATTCATTATGAGAATTTTGGGGGAAAAAACACATTTATTACACCCTAAAACACAAAAAATGCTTTTCATTTTTAAACATTCATCCTTTTAAAAAATACCTTATATTTTTTAATAGATGAAATAAAATTTATTTTAACTAACTACTAATTTTCATTCTCAATGCATGTAGAGATAGAATATGACATGTTCATATTCTATGCTCATTAGCCCAAAGGTTGATCTGGGCCTTCAATTTATTTCAAAATGATATATGCCATTCATTTTAAATTAATTTTTAGGTATTTTTAATAGACTATCTTCGGTGATCATCAGGGGATGAACACTAGATTACTCATCACTCTTGATGAGATATGAACTGTCCAAACTTAAAGCTTCTTATTTTTATTTTTATCACATTTAAATTTTTTTAATAAATCAATTCATGATTAATCTAGCCAATACAAATTTAATCTAGGCTAGCTAATTTAATATTAATTTTTTTAATTTTACAAATTAACTATCCAAACGTATCTTGGACAATACAAATATAATTTGAGTAGTCTAATTTAATATTAAAATTTTTATAAATTGACTATCTAGATGTATTTTAGACAATATAGATTTAAGAAAAAATCTCAATCCAAACCCCTTGACTAGACATAATTAAAGAAATCTCTTTAAAGTTTGAAACTTCACTTCACATCAAGGAAAGTGAAATGAAATTAAAATGTCGAGAAGAATTACAAAACTAACATGCGTTTAATTTTTTGTAAAAAAACTTCTTCAGTTATTTGCAAAAAACATGCGATACAAACACACAAACACCTGTTTGTGAAAGCTTCTTCATTTCCCTTGGGGTTCTTCAAGTATCCTTTCATCACTATATTTCCTCTCATCATGACCTCACCTGATGTGGAGTCATCAAGATGGACCACGTGGAACATCCTGATTTTCAATTTAAGAAATAAATTGAAAGCTTGAGGATTTAATATGATGATTTGAAATTTACTTTGAGGTGAGATTTAGGAATAAAAACACTTTTGAGGTTGCTTCAGGTTAATGACATATTTAAGCAATTAATTATGAGTTTGATTGGCCAAAAAACCCTTGTAGAAGTATTAAATAGGATTCAAGATAAGTTATTAGGTTGAATGGGGCTAAAAAGGGGTAATTTAGGCTCATTAGGTGGTTAATTGCAGGTAGAAGTGCTCATAACTGTGCACGACTCCATGTGGATGGAGACTAAAAATGCACCCGTTTTATTAAAAGGGTATTCATGCACGAACAAGTTTTTACTTTTCCTAACTACGCATGAACAAGCCTTTTTAAAGGCATTCCTGATTCTGTTTTCAGACAAAAACGTGTGAGAGATGATAGAAATTAGAGGGAGCTTCGACAAGACCCTACTGAGGCACAAAATCCAGTGGGTTAAAGGTGTTTTTAGGTTAAGCAACCACTTGGGGTAAGTTTCTGGTCCTTTAAGCTATCTTTCTATGTAATTTTCTTTGAGTTCGAGGTGGATTTTTGATTTAGAGTTTTCTATAGGATGTTTAATTTGAAATTATAATGATTTATTATGGTTGTTAAGTTTCTTGAGAGTCTAATAAATGCTATGGACCGTCTCTTTATGGTTGAAATTCATATTTGAAGATTTTTAGTCAAATCCTATACTTAGATGGTGATGTTTTGTTTGGATATTAACCTGTAAGGTTTATTTTGGATGTTTAGATGTTTATTTAAGTATGGAAAAGTATTTTTAAGGTGTTAGAATGATGATATGATGCTCAAGGACAATTTTTTTATTTTTGAGGTGTTTTTAGGATAGATTTTAAGGTTATGTAATAATGAAACATCGATGGTCAAATTGATTGAAGGTGTAATTAAAGCTTATAAGAGTAAGAGGATGTTAGATAGAATTTTTGGAATGGTTAAAATGGGTGCTAGCCTTGATTTAGTACTAGGTGTGGGCTAGGCTTAAACTTCCTAACTCTTTAATTAAGGTTGAGTGTTATTATTGACTATAAAATTAATACTATATATTTTTATATTGATGTGTAGATCGTATTGATCAGGAGATTAGATGAAGGGAAATTTGTTATCTAAAACACAAGGTAATTATTATTAATGTGTGGGGATATGATTAATTATATGTTGTTTAATTATTATCTTGGAAAAATCACATCGTTTGGAATTATATGTATCCATGTAGTTGTTTGGAATTATTGCCAAGTAGATTAAAATAATTTTTTATGTATTATATTGAGATATTCTTATTTAAAAGCATAAAAGCTATTTGATTGTTTTAATTATGCATGATTTGTCAGGATATCTTTAAATACTATATTGTTGGGATTTTTTTTTTTAGATAATCTTTACCACGCGGTAAGCTCTTTTAGACCTAATAAATGACTTGTAGCTTGGTCCAACTTACCCTTCACTAGGTGATTTGGCTTTCAAATATAGTGTAAGGAGGGATATAACGTTTAGTCATTTATTTAGGGTTTAGGGTTTGTTTAGAAATAATTGTTCAGTTTGTTTGGAAGTGTTTGTTTGAATAAATGCTTTATGTGCTTGCTTAGCAATTTCATGAATAATTTCATCCGTATCTATCATTTTATATTGATTTTGGTCATTGAAACTTTTAAATCTCATTTCCCATTGTTAACATTTTTATGGGAGCAAGTTTGGTCAAGGAAGCACCTATGGCATAGTTTTAGCATATGAGACACCACCTTTTATAATATCTCTTTGTTTATTTATGCAATGGATATAATGCTAATTTAGGACATATGTTATTCTATAAAGCATGAAAACTCTAATTTTGATTAGCTTCTTCTATATGGTCGAGAAGATTTTATTTATCCCTCTTAGCCCTTAACTTGGTTTGCATATTGTGCCATGAGGATTCTATTTATCCTTTATGGCCTTAGACTTGACTTGTATGCTTGATTATGAGGATCATGCCTACCCCTCATAGTCCTAACTGCTTTTTGAGATGTTAGTAATATAGTCAAACTTGCTTGGGATTACTGAGTAATTAGTAAGGATGCATGGATGTGATCATGTTGCAATAAGTGTAGATCATAAAGCTATTCTTGGATGAGGTTAAGTGTTAATTGTTTAGACTTGACTTGGGTGTTATTAAATAACTTATTGCATGGAAAGTGTCTTGACTTGAGTATTTTTCTATTATTTTGGATGCACACTTGGGTCACATTGCTATGTCAAAAAATTTTGCTTAAAAAATTATTTAGGATTTTGCCACCATGGCTTCGATGCTAAATTCTTATTTTAAAACCATTACTTGATTTTGAACATTGATTGCTTCTATAAAATCCTTAGATGCAAATGGTTCCACCTTGCTTTTCCAATAGGTATATGCTACTATCATTATTATAGTAGAGTTTATTTATCATGTTAACTGCCTTCTATCGTGGCAGATATTTTCTACCGTGGTGGATTATTTATGAAGTGATTTATTTATATGACAAATTCTTTTCTATTGTGGCAGAGTTTTAAAAAGGGGTTTTATTCTTTAATTACCACATTAGTCTTTTTTCTATCATAATAAGTGTTCAATATTAATAGTTTAGTTTAGTAACTTGTTAGTTTGCAAAAAAATTTGGTTTAAAAATTTAGAGTATTACACCATGTTCAAGGTCTTAAGGTTGATGATACCAAGGCCTTCCAAGTCGACGTAGCAAATACCTTGCTGAGCATTAAGTTAGGCTTAAGTTTCTAATAGGAGAGAGTCCCACTCAGGTTTCAGAGGTCGAAGGTGGATAGGCTAAAGATTTTAGAGAGGTCGTAGGCATGCGTGACTTATAAACTTGGTTTTTGAACATGGTGCGAAGGATGGAGTAAGGAGGAGCAGCGTCGACGGTGTTGAGGTAGATGACGTAAGGGGGATAATGAAGGATTGCATGGTCTAATGAGGTGTCATCAATGGAGTTGAGCACTAAGCGCCACACAAAAATGACTAACTTTGTGCTCTGCAATCACTATATATGCTGCCTTTATTGTCGCCCATATGCATTAGATTTTTAAGCAGCTGGACAAATCAACAAGTTCGATTATATAAAAGAACAACATATATGGGGGAATGAATAACTCGTTTATGACTCGCTTGCAAATGTATTCAATAGAAAAAAAAAACCAACTTCAAATATAAATAGGTGAACATAGGGTTTTAAACAAGTTGTGTGGGAAATGAACGGCTTCAATATAAGAAATTTATAACTCATTTTACCATGGTAACAATACTCTAAACAAATAAGTGAAGCAATTTTTGTATGTAAAAGTAATGTTTAGGATATGGATAATGAAAGGCATATGCAAGAAAAATTTATAAATGTCTTTTAACAAACTTAAGCCACTCCACTACAACCTAAACCTACATTTAGGCATGATTTGGTTTGTTTAATAGCCACAATTTAAAAATGTGATAGAGTCTACTACCAACTTTTGTAAAAAACATGATTATATCAATCATGAAAAAAACAGTCATGGTTCGTAAGAAATCATTGCTATGGCTCTTGAAAAAGGAAACAAAGCCACAATTTAAAAAAAAAAAAACGTGGCTTTAGCCACAGTTTTCCTAAAACGCATGGCTACTAGCATATTTTTTTTTAAAATAAACATAACTTTTAGTCCCTATACTTTTTTTCCAGTGTTTTAGGTCCCTACACTTTTGTTTTGCTTCCTCCCATATAATGGCATTGCTTGAATTTTCGTTTATATTCCCTACTTTAATTATTTCTAGTAGCCAGGTGCCTTTCTGCATTGCCTTATGAAACCCTAAAAGCAGTTTATTTGTGGGTGCAAAGGACGTTAGGAGAGAGGTTCTTTTTAGGGCACTGTCTGTGGGCTTTGATTTTTTTGTGAGCTTCGATTGCGATTACGTCGTTAACTTCTACCTTAATTGTAAAAAAAAAAATAAAGAATTAAATACTTGCTTATATTTGATAAATAGTTCAGACAATGCTACTGAAAACATGAAATGAAAGTATATGCACCAACCCACTACAACAAAGCCTCTATAAAGCATTGAAATGATGGATTAAGAGACCCTAGACTTACAACTATACTATTTACTATAAATAAAATAGAACCTTGAGGAAAACATATACTACTTTCGTTAAAAAGTGTAAGGTATTTTTAATCGAATCTCACCCCTAATAAAGTAGTTACCTACTTTTAAACTAAATTAATTTTTTTATATTTACCCCAATTAAACACTCTATAATAAATATAAATTAAGTCATTAATCAATTGGGGCACTTTAAAAAAAATAATGATTACACCTCGAAAGACTAAAAATGTTTTATATTTTTAAACATCCAATTTCTTAAAAAATACTTTATAATTTTTAAAGGAGGGAGTATGTTTTTTGGGATAATCTATTTGTCTCGTTATTTAGATATAAATAAAATCAGCCCGACATCAAGGCTTAAGTAGACAAACACATGTATAACCAGCGGCACATAGCATCTATATGAAATATAGAAGTGTCTGCACATCATCACCACTACGAACTCTCTAGTCCATGCACAGCCGCCGCCTCATGCATGCAGCAGCAGCAATGCTAGGATGTGTGTGTGTGTGTGTACCCACGCTGACTGTAAAAACACACAGAACGACAGTATAATACTGATAATCAGAAGCCAAAGTTTTACTCGCTTTATTCACTTAAGAGCACACACCAGCCCTAGAAAGCGAACTAGCTAGTTCATGATTGAAGAGAGCTTGTGACAGCTAATGCAGAAACTCAGTTATATAGGCAGGCAGCAGGAAGCTGTCTCACATCCTCTCGTGAAGATTTGGCTGCATAGGCTGCACGCGGAATGCGAACGGCATCAGGGAATGGAACTCCCTCACGCTCTGATCAAATCCATTCTCCAATTCTCTCGCTCCTTCCATAGCCAAACGTTGCTGCTGCTCACGGAAAAAGATTGTTTCTTTCACTATGATGGTCTCAGATATCATTGACAAAAATATATGTTCTCATCTAGGGATCGACTAGATAGGACTTCCTTTCTTATGTATACTGATTAGTAGTTATATGTGTTGACTGTACGTTGAGCAGGTGTTTTTGGGGTTAGTGACAGTAGCAGTAACGAATCAAAGAATTACCAGTATAAAATTGAGCTCCCTGTTCTCTTCCTCCAGGATCTTGCCCTAATCAGCAATATAATGTTCAGAAAAGCAAATATCCATATACATTATTATCAGAGGTCTCTCTAAGCAAAAGATAGATGTGGCCCCTCCAGTTTTGATCCTACATTAAATGCCCTCATTTCGCTCATGTTCTTTCGAATGTTTTAAGACCTAAACTTTATGGAAAATATATTTTTTAGAAGTCACGGACGTTTCATTTTTAATAAAGTTTGACATAAGAGTAAATGCTTAAAAGAAAAATCAGATCAGTAAATATTTCATGAAAGAAGTCCCACTGGCTAGTCAGACACACCCCTCTCCTGCTGTAAATCTGTGAGAGACAATTAATTTTTAATGATCCATATTTATAGTACTGTTGAAATTTTGATTGGATCGATTATATATAGGTTGAAATGGATAGACTAAATAATATATCTACTTCTGTCGTGCCAAAAACATACGTCCACTATAGAATGCATAATTAATTTTGGGTTAAAAAAAAGTTTGCCCTCACAATATACTTTATCTCCAGATCATAATCCCTCCCTATTTGTATATGTACCATCAGAGGATGGTGTAAATCACGCATGCATCATGCATGTGTGCAGCTTGTGCATGTACGTCTTTAAATGTGCGTGCATGGCATGCATGGGCTTTTGTTTTCACGAGTTAAAAATAGTATATGAAATAATTAAATATGTTTTTGTATTTATCGTATCATCATGTCTTTCATGACTCAAATAGTAATTGTTATTTTAAAAATTATTTTCATATACAAAATTATACTCTTAATTATATTAAATTATGTAGGTTATATTCTAACACAATCTAAGTTTTCATCGTAACAATTTAGTTATTACCGGCATATATACATGCAGGTGACATGTATCATTTTTTTTTCCAATAGAGTGGAAGGGTCTGGACTCTTACCTGGCCTACACTCACGCTTCACCTTATTCTTATTACCTGAATGAGTCTCGATATAAACTATCAACATATGCCATGTAAACAAACTTGCACATTATAATGTACAATTATAAATGTAATCATCATAATCAAACTTACATTTCTCCTGTGTGCCCTGTAAATCTCCATCTGCGTAAAAACAGCAATTCTACATGTCAAATAAAATTGTGTAAATCCTTATTGCTGCCCTTTATCGGTTCTTAAAAAGGAATTAACAATATACTCTTCAATTTTTTTTATGGCAAGACAATATACTCTTCACTTAATTTGTGAGGGAACTTTTTTCATTAAAGACTTGCATGTTTATTCATATTCACGTTAATTACTTTCTACATAAGTTGCATACTTTTTGTTTGTAAAAGAATCAATTACATTACAGTTTCAAGCTCTACTTATTTCTTCATTTTGCAGAAGCTAAATTGAGAAGATATTTTAATTTTAACCCAGTAAAATATAAAACTTTATAAAGCATGGGGTAAGCATCGCCTGATAGGCCAGTGCACCAAAAACTGAAATAGAAAGTAGTAAATGAGCTTTGTAATCACTAATCAGATTTATTTGCCTGTCTCTCCCGTACACCGTCGAGGCCACATTCTAAGGCATCCTCTAGGGCCATCAGTTCCTTGTAATTAAGCTGGTTTACATCCTCTCCCTTCAAGTGCCTGAAACAAACGTACATGGTCAAAGAGATGATGATCGATGAAGACCTGTATATATAAAGAGAGTTAATGAAATCAAAGCTGTGTTTATACCTGAGCTCAATTTGCATACTGTCATTCTCTTTCTTGAGTCTATCAATTTCGTTGTTTAAGTCCTGTGAGTTCAGCAAGATTATTGATGCAACTTTTAACATGAAATTCATTTTTTACCAAGAATAGGAAAGAAAAAAGGGGCCATGGTTACACATGCTTGCATAAATAAGCTAGAAATCCTCAAAAGAAACATATATGACCAATAAGCAATAATAAAAGCTATATATATTGGACTAGCTGATTTTGATGTCAGTCTAGAAATTAAAGGTCGAATCATCACGATCACATTTATCACATTTTCATTTCTATAGATTTAATTCCAAGTCCTGCCGCCATTCATCTCTTTCACTTTTTGCAACCAACAGATGGAGGTATATATATATTATATATATATATATATATATATATAAGAAGAAAATGTTATGCGCGTGTGTTAGCTGTCAGTAGCTAGCCCAGATCTGGTCATACATACATACATACATACATATATATATAGATCGATGACCTTCTTATTTGCTCCTGTTTATCATTTTAAATTAAAGAAAAAACTATCTAGTACCTGATTCGATCGATGTTAATTATACAAGGAGATGCATGGTACAGACCAACATAGATCTGAAAAGAGATTCAAAGTCCATGCCCCTCACCATGTATATATTGGGCAAAGAAATAGTCATTTATTAATTTCCCTTGAACTGATTTACATAGGAGGGTGGTTCCGAATTGAAAAAGATCTAGCCAAATAAGCCAAATTGAGAAAGGCTAAGGACGTCCATATACCAACCTCATGCTTAGCGTCCCAGAGCCTCTTCCCAGACGTTTTGTGATATCTTTCTAGGATGTCAATCAACCTTCAAAAAAAAAAAAAAAAGCCAAACCCAGAACAAAATAAAGTGAGTATGATTTGCAGTTTACTAGTGAAAAGATATATTTTCTAGCACAAGAGATCATTTATACATGTCCTAGCTGGTTCCAAACAAAATAAAACCCAGTGTGATGAGAACAACAACTAATGAGAAGCCAAAGGAAGGGGAAAAGAAGAAAAATAAAGGGAATTTTCGTACGTGGTTGAAGGGCTGATGTATTCATGCATTTTCCCAGATGCAGCAAAGATGATAAGGGAAACTTGGGCATCGCATAGAACAGTAATTTCCTTCGCCTTCTTTAAGATCCCATTCTTCCTCTTCGAGTACGTCACTTGCCTGTTGCTTGAGTTCTCAATTCTCTTGATCTCAATCTTACCCCTCCCCATCTCTCTCGGCAAACTCTTTCTCTTCCCCTCTCTCTGGTGATCTTCTTGCTTTGGATTAATGGTGAAAATTTGGGGAGAGATACAGAGACAAATGCAGTAGCAAACCCTTACCATTGCGGGCTTGTAGATAAAGAACTTTATACGAGGCACAGAAACGAAGGGTTCGTTTATGGATTGCAATAAAGACAAACCCTATTTATTTATTTATTTTTGGATTTGTTAAGTAATTGCTGGCTTCACCTTCTTAACCATTGGATCAATTCCTCTACCGTGGTCTTCAATTTTAATATTTTAAAAGTGTTTGTTTTCCGGATATTTTCAGTTGGTTGATTGTTTGAATTAATATCAGTGATGTACTACAAAAAGCTGGTTTAGTAGTGTTAATGAAAAAACTGGTTTAGTGAGATATAGTCTGGGTATTTTTCTTGGGTGCAGGTTTCGGTATCAATCAGTAGGAGAATTTAACATAATGTAAATGATAAGATATATAGCACTGTACGTAAAGATTGGATTTTTTTTAAAATATTAAAGATCAAACTTTTGCATTGCACACGATAAAATTACTGTGAGTCACGTAATTAACTAATTATAATGCCATGATTCTAATGCCTACCAATCATGTATGTCACATATAACAAAGCTTGTTATTTTAATTTTCTTGGTTTTAAGTTTTATCACAAGGTGTAGGAGAATTTAATACGAGATATGAAAGATAAAATTATGTTTTACGATCTAAATTAGACTCAAGTGACTCACACCCGTCATATGTGATATTCAGTTTAGCTTAAGTATATGTCATAGTTTTATTTATTGGATAAAATTTGAAATTGAAAAAAAATGACAGGAAATCAATCTCCTGGGCATTCTAGGCGCGCCCTAGGAAAATCAGAATCACAACATCTGTATTGAAGTCGGCTATGAACTTTTCTAGGGTTTGGTGAAATATAATATAATACGATAATCTATTGCAAAGAAAGGGGTCCAACCATCAAATCACAAGGAATTTAAGGATAGTGATTTCTACTATTAGCAAAGGAAACTTTCAAAGTAAAGTCCGAACAAGTAAAGGAATATAATGGGAGTTTTCCAACCACAAATGAAAGAACCGAAATTCGGCTGTGTTTAGGTCGTGCATCAAAATTACCAAGACTAGGTCTGCCCATACTTTTAGACAAAGCTTCAACTCGATGACTTATTGCGTGAAGTGTCTTTGATTTGAAAGGTAGATGATGTTTTTTTTTAAGAAACTTTGCATTTCATTCGAGGAAAAGCCGATTGCGGATCCATGTTTTAAATACTGAAGTTAAAAATTCCATCTCAGGACTCACTCCAGTACCATTGAGCCTGTCCTGTTTACTTTATATTTTCTTCCAAATAAAAACTAAAGTATCCCCTTGACTAAAAAAATCGATAGATGTCGCTTGCTCACACGTCAATAATTCACATTTTTGGTACGTAGGTCTGGCATATATTACACGGAAAGATACATAATTAGTTGAATTGGAGCCAAACCTCCTTGACATCATGACCCGAGGGCAAAGGAAAGCAACGTGCACTGCCGAATGCAACAATATTTTAAGTTTGAACTTTGAAAATCTCTCGTCTTCATCAGAAAGAAACACTGCACACATACGCTGCTATAAGTGTATTGCTGGCGTTCAACTTTTCCTTGCTTGCTAATTGATTTTAGGTCCTTCTTCTAGACTACTGATATCTAGTAGCTAGAGTTCAGACATGACAACCATATATTTTTCGGAATTTTCTATTTTCTTTCAGATTTCAGGGGCAAAGCACTTGGAAAATTTCGAAGTACGAAGGCACTAGGGATTCCTAGAAGTAGGACCAAGCCAGAGTCCGCGCACAAATAGACCCAGAAAGGTATGTCCTCCCACTCTATCACCAGTCGATTGCTTCTGTTTTACGTCTCAGGAACATCCACACACACAGACAACTGTAGGATTATTTTTTTTCTTTCTTTTTGATGTTCGAAGTCAGCTCGCTTGACATGGATATGACTATGAGCATCTGTATCGCATGGCGAGAGACTCAAATATTCCCTATTCAAAAGTCAGGCTATATATACTTCCAATATTGCATCGATAATGAAGAAAATAAATTCATTAAATTACAAAGAAATGTCCAATAGATATATATATATATATATATGTATGTATGTATCCATTTCAATGTGTTGTGTGCATACAAATGAATATATATTATGCAGATGAGGTTTAATATTTTCAGATCTCTTTATGACACAGGCCTAAATCAAAAGAAATTTTTAATAGATCAGTCACCACATCATTTGTGATCTGTATAATAAAAACACAACATTTATATGGTGTTAAATATAAATTGATTCTAACATTAATGACAGTACAAAAACAAATAACAATAAATTAAGTATGCATCCTGTTATGAGAATAAAATTAATTAAAATAATATCACATAATATTTTATTTAGGTGACTTAGAGTAATCTAATATGATAAATCTAAAATGATGTGGCGGATCAAGTTTATCTAAGAATTTCTTCTAATTCAATCAGCGGTGCATGGTGCTCAATTAATTCCAATAATTATGCATTACTATGCATGATAGATAAGGAAAAGCTGGAAATATTTAATATTACACACCAAAATACACTGATGATGAGTTTAATAAGCCAAGTTCAAACGAGTTTACCACCGAAATATATTAATGAATTGATTTAAGTTAGAAACTGACGAGCCCACGCTGTGCTCCAATTAATTAAGTGTAGCTCACACTAGCCAAGAAGTTCTTAATTAATCTAGTTATACTTAGGAAGAGATCAGAGCCAAGTAGGTGCTTGGCATAGCAATTACACATATATGTTCTACATCCTCTCCTGAAGGTTTGGCTGAAGGGGCTGCACGCGAAAGGCAAATGGCATCTGGCAATTGAAATCCCTAATACTCTGATCGAACCCATCGTCCATGTCTCTCACACCTTCCACTGCCAAATGCTGTTGCTGTTTAAAATAATGCAGAAGGAAAACTATTGGTCAATAGCAACGCTTCCAGGAGGAACATATTCATTTAAACAAACATCGTTTTCTGAAGCTGGTATCAAATTATATGTAGAGTGATCAATAAAAATGTATGCTAACTACGCGCAAATATGAGCTTCAGTGAATATTATTAGGTTCCCTTCACTTAGTTGTGCCCCAATTTCACCCGTTAAATTAGCAACATGTTAGACTCCGGTAGCGTCCGCGCAATCATGACATGAAAAATATTGAAATATATATAAAATAGCAAAAATCTGAGCAATTAATCAAGTTATAACAAATAATCCAGCATCTCACAAAACACACGGGCTTGTGTTTTAGTTATATAAAACATAAACCGGTATGGCCTTAATTTTCAAACAAAAGCTACATATAACTACCACTTACCAGCAGGAAATTGAGTTCCCTATTTTCCTCCTCCAAGATCTTGCCCTGATACATGCAGGTGTAAAATGTTTCAAAAATATTTTTCAGTGTTCTTTTGCAATATAATATAATATAGTTAAAATATCAATTAAGGCTTTCCAACATACATTTCTCCTGAACCTCCTGTGCACTTCCATCTATAACCGAAACAAGAGAGGAGATATGAGAGAGGAAAGCTTAATATTATTATCAAGTACAAACAAGTTAGAGTTACATCGTTGGAAAAAAGAACCTGTTTCTCGCGGACTCCTTTGAGACCGCTTTCAAGAGAATCCTCCAATGCCATCAGCTCCTTGTAATTCAGCGACGTGATATCCTCCCCCTTCATGTGCCTGAACAAATAAAACGTATATTTGATCATAGATATTGCGGGCGCGAGCGCGTAAGAGAGAAAGATCTGATGGTGAAATATGGCGCAGCGTTAAATACCTGAGCTCAATTTGCATGCTGTCATTCTCTTTCTTGATTCTGTCAATTTCATGGCTGAGGTTCTGTGAGTTAAGACAACAATATTGTTGTAAACCTTACCATTTAGTTTAGGAGAAGTTAAAGGGACTTGACATCTACGAGTGTGTGGACATAAGATGAATTACTGCTGGTCAAGAGAGAGATCTACCAAATAGCTAGCTAGGAGATCCCTAATTTTATTACAGTTTATTATTCCTTCAAACTCCTACAATCCTTTTCAGTTTTTCGTTTTCTTCCTTCGTAACAAAGGAAAGGAAGCAAGTGAATCATTTTAATACCCAGATCTGTTCATAGTCGATGTCGCAGGTTTCAATGTGCTGTGTGCGTGTGTCAGATGTAGATCTACTCAAATAAAAGAGTTCCGGATGTGGATCTACTCAGAATTCTTGATTCATGTCCCTCGACATAATTTTAGCAAGAGAACTGAGCTTTCTTCCTTCAGTGCAAGACAAGTGCAATATGACTGACTACCCATATGGAAAAAGCATCATATGCATATCAGAGTAAACCTAGCTACCTCATGCTTGGCGTCCCAGAGCGTCTTCCCAGACGTTCGCTGATACCTGTCCAGGACGTCAATCAACCTACCACCAAAAACAAGAACTTTAACTCCCAAACCCACATAATTAATAAAAGTAAATTGAAACATTTTCCTACCCGCGGTCGCACATAATTCTTTTTCTTTAACTTCATCAATAAAAAGAAAGAAAAACATAGTCCGATCCCTTACGTACGTGGTAGAAGGGCTGATGTAGTTATGCATCTTCCCAGATGAAGAAAAGATGACAAGGGACACTTGGGCATCACATAGAACAGTAATTTCATTTGCCTTCTTTAGGATTCCATTCTTCCTCTTTGAGTAGGTCACTTGCCTGTTGCTAGAGTTCTCGATCCTCTTGATCTCAATCTTTCCCCTCCCCATCTGCAGTCACCGATATTCTCTTCGTCTTCTTCTACTCGGCTCCTTTTTCTGTGGTCTTCTTTCTTCCAGTCTATCAATTAATGGATCAGAAGACGTGGGGAAGATAAAGAAAAGTAATGGTGCAATGTTCCATTGTGGGTTTGCGGATGAATCACTTTCTGAGTGGCACAGAAAGGAAGGGTTTGTTTACGGGTTGTGACCCACCACAACTATTTTCTTTGTTTGGTTTAGCTTTGCGAGTTCTGCTGCCACCTTCTTGACCATTGGTTTCTCCGTGTTCATTTGAGAGGAATGGATTTTGGGGCTTTTAGTACAACTATAGGTTTCAAGGGGTAAGCAGAGCACCCGCGTATTTCGAGGCTGCTTACGTGTTTAAATTAAACGCGCATTCATTTTTGCGATGACTGTTTGATTGACTAAGCTAAATAATCTTAAACATCAAATCAAAAGTTATGGGGATTATTATTATTTTTATGGTCGGCTTTCAAAGCAATTAAGGTGTATAAAATTAAAGGGCACAAGAGCACTGTTAATATATGACAGGTTCGATTTTGCTTTTTAAAAAATTATTTTTCTATTTTTAAAATAAGAATAAAAAAATATTGAAGCAAGAGTTTTAGATTTAAATATTTCTAAAACTATTCTCATTTTTTAAAAAATTAAAACAGAATCTTATTTTTAAAATACACTACATTTATTATTAGAAACCACTATCATAAACTAACAGTCTAACACTATTAATCACTAATGACTACACTGGCCGATTTTTAACTCTAAATTTATTTTTAAATTAACATAATCAAGGACAATTTTTTTATTTTGTTCTGGAAAACAACTAAAAAAACTATATTGCAAAATAGCAGTTAAATAAAACAATTAACCAGGCGATTGTCAATGTCATACTGCAAATAGGAGGGACTAAACCGCTTTGAAATTCTTGTAAAATTTTAATATTCATGTGTTTATTTTGGTGATAAACATTTTGATGTCAAGTATTACCAACTTATTTGAAAGAATTCAAAACAATCAAACATCGGAAAACAAACTATGTTACAGGTGACAAGAATCCCAGTTCGCACCTCCGATTTGAAATATTTTAGAGTTGGTGTTTGCTAGAAACTGCAACCAGCAGCCCAGCACTCGGTTGCATGACATGACAAGAGGAGGTTAGGATTCTATACTCAAAGCAGCACCATGACTCCAACTGCAGCATGGGTTAGGCTCAGTATTGATGGATTTGCAAGCATTAATGATGTTGTTACGTGCGGAGGAATCATCAGTGATAATAAAGGCAATTGGATTGAAAAATTCTCCAAATACTTAAATTTTTATCCTAGCACAGCAGGTAAACTTATGGAGATTCTTGATGGTCTCAATTTTTGTTAGAATACTAAATTTTACAAAGTTAATATCCATATGAATTCCATAGAAACCACATCACTCATTGAACACAACTTTTTTGAATGACATCCATTTTTTGACATTATCAGGAACATTAGAGATATCATCATGAAGGATTAGATGATCACCTTTAATTATGTTTATAAAGAAGCTAATAGATGGACCAATTTGCTAGCTTGCTAGTTTTCTTGGGACAACTTAGACACTTGAATTCTCGATAATCGCCCGCTTGATTGTAGAGACCTTACGGTTTTAGACATGACTTGATATTGTCTCTTTTGCATGGTTATGCTGTGGCCTTATTTTTTTTTTTTAAAAAAAAGCAACACTATCAAGCATAGAACTTGAATAAAATCTTTAGATATATATATATATAAAATTGGCAAAATGATAATAAAATTTCTTCAAATTATCTAAATTGATATATGACTTAGTTTTTTTAAATATTATAATTCCAATGAAATTCTTAAAAATCTCTTTGTCAATAACTTTTTTTATCAAAAAGATCATTTTATTTTTATTAATAAGTTGTGATTTTTTGTTCAATTTTTGTGATTCTTTAAAGAAAAGTGATTCTTTAAACAAAAGTTGTAAATAGAGTTTGTTATTTTGAGAATTTATTTTTCAATAATAGAAATTATATGTAATAAATTGTGATTTTTTGTTCAACTCTTGTGATTTACAAAACAAAATTTGTTATTTCTTAAACAAAAGTTGTGATTGGTGCTTGTTTTCAACAACAGAAATTATACTTAATAAGTTATAATTTTTTATTCAACTCTTGTGATTTACAAAACAAAAGTTGTGTTTTCTTAAATAAAAGTTGTGATTGAATTTTGTTATTTTTAATTTTTTTATAAAAAAGTTATTGATAAAGAGGTCTCTAAAGATTTTATTGATATTATGACATTTTAATGGACTAAAATAATAAATTATATAATTTGAAGGGATTTTATTATAATTTTTTTAAAGAATTCCAATCAAATAAAAAATAAAAAATATCGTAGAGCCATAGTACTGATGGCGATGTGAGCTGCGAAAATAAACTGTTGCATATTGATGCTTCAAAATAAGTCCGCTCCTCCATTTTCTAGTGCCGACAACTTTATAAGCTCTAATTTTTCGAGGGAGATGAAGGATAGGAGGTCTGATTTAGAAAAAGAGAGAGACAGACAGAGATGGGTTTATAAAATCTTAGTGGATGGAAAACGTAAGAGAAAATTATAATAAAATAATTAAAAAATATCAACCAACTTCTTCTTTCTTCTTATTAGAAAATGGATAAATTAAAATTTGCTCCCGCTCCCCTCCTCCCCATTTTCCTCTAACCAAACAAGATAAAATGTGATCAAACGTTTTCTTCAATTTCATAAATATCATGCAAAATAATTTTTTCAATATAATTTTCTCGAACTATTGGGAGACCATATATGTATATATTGCTTCTGCCACAGGACATGTATGAAGGCTATACTTATAAAGCTAAAAAAACGGACTGATCTGGCCCTACAAGGTCCAGCTCTTGATGGGCTTGGGCTTAGAAAGGCTAACCCATTTAAGCTCCAGTTTCATTTGAAGGACTTATATCTCAAGCTCGACCCTAAGTATAATGGGCTTAGGGTTGGCCCTACAAGCTTCAAACCCTTTTACTTTTTTTTTTATTTTTAAATTAAAAATAATTTATTCATTCCATTGTAGTATAAAATTTTACTTTAATGTTAAATTATGCAAACAACATCTTAATTCTTAATATCAAGAATATTTTTATTATGGAAAAATTTTCTTATTTCAAATAATAAAACATTAAAATTTATACATTCTTAATTTAAGTCATACAATATAGAATTATATAAATATAAAAATAATCTATCGTTAAAAAATATAATTTAAAAATATTAATACACATATGTAAAATGAATCAAATTATTATCTAGAATTTAAATTAGATCAAACAATTACTTTTTTGTCCAGGTATATTATTGTCTAGAATTAAGCAAACCAAACTTTATCCAAAAAAATTAAACAAACCAAAGTATTTTGTAAATTTTAATTTTACAAAAACTACTATAACAACTAAATATTTAAAACATTATAAAAAATACTAATAATATTATCATAATAAATAATATTTTACAATATAAATAAACAAATGGTTATATACAGGTTAGCCTTTAGTTCTATAGGGCTAGCTCGTTTAGGCTCTTGGCCCATTAAGGCTAGCCCTTATAAGGCAGCGTTTTATTTTAAAGCTCTGAAACTTAAGCCCAACCTTAATAATTATTGAGCTTAAATAGGCTGACCTTACAGACTCGGTCCATTTTTCTGACTCTTTTATACTTGCATATAATAATCAGGTGAGCCTTTTTCTAAGTTTATTGGCTTGTTAGGCTACAATCTTCCTGGTTAATAAGCTCAATCAGCAGCACGTTAATCCCGGGAAGCTTAACGCGGGAGGTAACCAGTCAAACCCACAAAAATAGGTTTGCTAAGAGGTCAGGGCGGAAGTGCCAGGATCTACTTGGCCGACTTGATATAAGGAAATTCCCTTTTCTTTTGTTCGCTCTTGGACCATGCCCGTAGATCTTTCTTTAATATAATAAAATAAAATGAGCAGAGACACCCCGGATATGCGTTACATATTATAAAAAAGTATTATAAAAGAGAGTCCCGTCATCAGAAGATTAGGTGGGGTAAAATGAGAGTAAATGACCTTCTCCAGCGTCTGCTCTATGCAGGCTATATAGAATAAGGAAGGAGACCTTAAAAGAGTTTACAATATGACCCGAGGTTAAAGGAATGTTCACTGTTTCTTTTGCACGTAAGAACTTTGAAATTTCACTTCATGATAATTTTTCAAAGCGGTAGGCCTCGAGGCAAGAGACTGGAAACATAGGCACATCTCTAAAAGGGAAGGAATTGAATATCTCCTAACTAATATATGCATAGTTTTCAGTTGATCTCAACACGCCTTCTTATAGGGTTAGCATTCCGATGGCATGAATATTTTCTCGGGAAAAAGCAAGGCGTTCTTTTCCTTAAACGTGATCCATCTCAGCATGGAAGATGAATGATCTATGCTGTCCATTCTATGTCTTCACTTCACTGCAAATTAGCGAAGGGACAGTTCTTCTCTTCTACAAAGAACAGACCACTCGTGCGAGACCGTGAGAGCAAACCTCTCCTCTCTCCTTGCCCTGTCATGCCCTGACTCTTACGGAATTGGTGCGTTGTGAATTTTCCCATAGACCGTAGTTGCGCAGTTGTTCTCCACTTACCACTAAAAGGTTATATTCTTATATTACTTGCGGTGGCCCGGGACGCTGGTGCGTTGACGAGAAGATAGCCTTGGAGGGTGAAGATTATTTGGACTTTCAACGAAATCACCATGTGGTCCTTGTGGTTGTGGGGGTTAAGTTTGGACCACTATGGCCCAAGCAAATGATACTAGCCTCAAAACATGGGCCCATCAGCAGTGAGATCAAGATGTTTCCCCTACTTCATTGGATCTTCAAATCTTGCAACAAGGTAGCTGCACTGCTTTGTGAGATTCATCATGGGACCACCCTTTACTGCTACTCTTTATGCTTCTGTCTTAGGTTTGATCGGATCCTCGGAGGAAGTCTTGATATATTTCCCGGTCAATAATTAAAAAAAAAAGAAGAAGTTAAAATGCATATGCTTCCCTAAATTTTAAGGCAATTGCATTTAATCCCTTCTACCTTTAAAAATTTAAAGGTAACACCTTTAACTTTTAATTTTATTTTTTAAACTCCTACTATTAATTATATTATTCTTTTTATAAGAATTAAAATATCATTTAATTAAAAAATATCAATAAATAAAAATATTATATTGTAGAATCATTTATAATTAATTTTTTATTTTTTTAACAGTTGAGGCATTAGTTGTTAAAAAATGTTATTATTATGGTACAAAATTTTAAATATTTTCATTTATATTAGCTTTATTGATTTTTCTCTGTTATCATTGGTGCATAGCTTTATTATTTTAAAGGATAAATTTTTATTTATTTTTTTAAATTAGATTAATATAATAGACATGATTAAAATATTTAAAATTTTAATTATTATCATGTTAGATTATTTTATGATCCTTTAATATAAAAAAACTATATCATTAATGACAGTGAAATGGATAAAACTTACAAAAGTAAATATTTAAAATTTTTATATAATGATAATAATTTTTTTTGGCTGTCTCAACTATTTCAAAAATACAAAAAATTGATTAATCATAATTCTACAATATAATATTTTATTTAATAACCATTTTTAATAAAATAACATTTTAACTCTTATACAAAAATATAATTACAAATAAGGAGTTTTGAAAGATAAAATTAAAAATTAGGAGGATTAATTTTAAACTTTTAAAAATAAAAAAATCATTTATAATAGCTTTGAAGTTTAAAAAAATTTTATACATTTTATCAACATTTTTTTTTCCAATACATTTTATCAGCATTGCTCACACGCAGATTAATGTTTGCGGATCAAATAAATATTTTATTATAGCTAGTTTTTTTTTTTGGATAAACCAAAACCAATCCCATACAGGCCTTGTCAGGCAAATCAAACTCAATGAAACTAGCAAGCTCGAAGGAGAAGAAATCAACTGCAACCCAAGAGCCATATACCACAAGCGTCACAGAATAACAGAATGATGGAATCGGGGTTCAAAGGCCCAGAGTCAGAACTCTCGTGGATTAGATTGATAGCATACAGAGGCTCAGAACCCTCTCCGATGATAGACCAGAACGTTAGAAACAGAATGATGTTGAAATCGGCAAGCAAACGGCGTTGTAGGACCATCCAAATAACAAAACGGAGGAGCATACAGCTTGTTACTTCGTGATGACTGCGATTGATCTCTCCATTGCTCGTACGTCCTTGGTGGAACTGCCTCAGTAGATCTCGCAAATCACTCATCCATCACACCGGGTATTAATAACCACGAAGCAGTCTTCAACTGTGACATAATGTTGATTGCTGATCAAAACCAATTAGAAACGCTGAAGTCTCGAAGCTTGCTAAGATGTCTCTCCATGTCTCGCCTGGTTTTGGCCCACTCTTCCCTTTCTATGACAGTTGTTGGATCATCTCTTTCACTCTGCACATAAAAAAATACATATAATCAGCTCATGCACAGCATGCCAATAACAGTTTCAGTAAAGAGATAGTTACCGCGTGAATTATTTTGAAGGAGTTCCCATTATCTCGTATAACAAGCAAGTCACTCTTCCTATCTCTATTTCTCCCCCCTGGAGCTGTCACCTTTGTAAAGCGTACCAACAGTTAAACATTGATGCTAATAAAATCACATATCACTATTCACACTCATAATTATCTCAAAGCAAAGAGGGAACAAGAACTGCTCGGCTAGTAGATAAGCCTGACTAAAGTACTTGTAACTGAAAGAGACAAGTAAGACAGATATCCAGTCTTGGCTGTCGGATTCTTTATTTTCAGCCACTAAGGTGGTGTGCAAGATACAATACTAAGAAGGATAAGTAAGAATGCAACTAGGATTACGATCACATTAGAGAAACAAGGAATTTAAAGTAATAACTTGCTCAAGATGAAAGGTACAATAATTTGCATATGAGATGTAAGGAAATTGCAAGCACCAGTAACGCTGTAGACAAGGCATTCATTCAACTTAGTTATTTGTGTTAGATTATTTATATTAAGTATGCTCAAGAATGGGTTACTTCACCAAAATAGTTTAAGCTATTTGGTTAGACACATCCTAAACTTTATATATTTATAATTCATCTACTAATTTCTACATGTAACAATTCTTTTATCTCTAATAAATTGAAGATTGAAACTTTCCAATAGCAGAAGCACTGCATGAGTGATACACTCTATCTATATTGACAAGGTATCATATCAATTTTATTGGACGTCCCGCATCAGGGACATGTAATTGCAAGTTGCAACAAAGCGGCAGAAAATTATCCAGAAGCAGCTAGGGGAAAAAAAAAAAAACTAATTATTTACCAGAACTTTTGCCCTGGTGATTGACTTGGTTTTTGAATCAATAACATAAATTTCTTCAAAATCCAGAACAAACTCGGGATCACCCAACCTCCGATTTTTGTAGTGTTTAGTCAAGAAAACCTGCAGCAAGTAAGCCAGCTGAGTGAGAGCTGCGCGACACCATTAACAAATGAGTGCCTCCTTTCAGTCGTAATTACATCAACTTTTTGACTCATATTATTGATAAAGTTTCTTCTCAAGGTAAGAGCAGCGTTTATGATAGGATCCAAAATAGGTAGGGAGAAATAAGGAAGATAAATCTTTATTAAAATATGAAATCAGAATCTAATATCATAAATTAATAAAGATAAAGGAAAGTCTTTAATAGAAGAGGAGCAAGAATCTTAAACTCATACAACTAATAAAGCCAAAGGAGAATCTCCACTGATATAATAAAATAATGATTATATTTTCAGATGATTTCTACATGTTGTGCCTTACTATTTATAGACACAAAAATAATTAATAATTCCTAAAAATACTTCCATTAATCCATAACTCAGATAATGGGGCATAACTACCAGAAAAATAAATAAATAAATAAAATGACTCACATAACCTACAATACCAACTACTCCTAAATCTAGGGACCACTCAACAAAACAGAAAAACAATCTAAAAAGTATTATTAAAAAGATAATATCAAAATAACTTGAAAATAATAATTATTCCTAATATTTCTATAACTACCCCACATCACCCATTATCCCATGCTACTTGGTACTCTATCAATAAGATTAACACATTTGGTCAAATAAAAAAAGCAAATAATTTCACATGTACCCAAGGGCTCCACAACAATTAATATACCTTCAGGATTTCCCTTGTAGTTTTATAAAGTGGATCTCGTGGTGCATCAATTGGTGGCTCAGTCACATTGTAGCATCCATAATCACTTTTGGCGCATCTAATGTACTACAGAAACAGGTAAAACCAAATTTCGAATAATCAGGAATTATAATATGCATAAGGGCCAATGAGATACAGAAAGAACTAGCTCATTGAATGCACTCGATTGCTCATGTTATGTTTTGGTCAGCTTCTTAAATTGCTAAGCATATTCAATGTTCATTTTTGAACTATTGATTCCATAATCTCTTACAGCAACACAATATACAGATGAACCAAGCAAGGCAGCCACATTCTGTCTCAATTAGCCGAAGCAGCATTTGAAAAGGGGGAAAAAGAAAAAAGCTCAATTGATAAACAGCAGCTCTATATCAATGTGAATGAATAATGAGGGTGATTCTACAATCATGTTTTTGGCAACTAATTCAAATATTTCCCCGGTTTTAGACATTGGGTAGGAAAATTGCAGCACCGATTTCCTGAGTTCTAAAAGAGACATAAAGTTCTAATGACTTCAGTGCATGAAACATAATATCATGAACATCACGTTTGAAAATTTATTGTTAGTGGGAGAAGATGAGTGATAAAACAGATTTCAGAACAGAACCTTCTGAGGCATTGGAGCGAGAACCTTAGGAATAGAATAAACGTCCGTATCCGGAGGAGTAACATACATCTACAACAAAATTTTCCGCAGGGAAGGCGAAGAAGGTTATATATTGAAATAAAACAGCCTGGAAAATCAAGCCCTTTGAAGGGTAGGGTTGCACTCACTAACCTCCCTAAAATCATAGACATCGTTATCGGGGTCTGGCGGTTTCCTTATAAAGAAGTCGCAGTCAAATAAGCTTATCTTGTGAAACTCTTCTTCGTTAATTCTGTAATCCACGACCATCTCCGAATCCCATCCTTGCGTTGACACGAAGCTCTTGCTCTGCACCATCTCAATGTCCTCGTCGCCACCAGAAGCGGAGGGCGCCAGAGCGCCAGATAATGGGTCGTACTCGATTTCAAAGTCCTTCTTGTTGTCCACCTCCTCCATTTCGTCCGGATCCATCATCTCATAGTCATCGGGGCCAGACGCGTCGCCGTCGCCGTCGTCGGAGCGTACCAAAAATGGGTTTTTTCTAGTAGATGGCGAGGCCACCACGGGGGGGTTTAAAATGGAATGGGATTTGAAGGGTAAAGAGAAGGCATATAGAGGGGATTGGGAGGGTGGGGGTAGTGATATGGTTGAAGAGAGCAACTTTGGGGAGAGAAGAGGTGAGGAGAAGAGGAGTAAAGAGGTGGGGTTGGTGGTCATGGGTTTTGGAGGGAGGGAAAGAGCTTTTGGTTCAGCGTGAAGTCACCGCTCGACGGGAGTGTAGTCGGAATGTCGGATGGACTTGCTGAGAAATGAGAACAGAGACGGAGAGATTTTTAGGATGTACTATTGTACAATTAAAATAAATGTTTACCAATAAATAAAACTAACTATTTTCTACTAAACTTACTAATTAATTACTACACTATTAAGTATTATCAACCGATGATGCGCAGCGCGCCGTTCCGCGTCTCGCAAGTTTGTGAGTTGTGACCAAGTCCAATTGCAGTCAAAATACCTTTGACTCCTTTTTAATTAGTTTTTTAATTAATTTTATTTTTCTTAACTTTTTTTGATGTATTATTTATTTATTTTGGAATCCCGCGCAATTTCTCCGCAACCGATTTCTTCTGTTTAGGGCTTAATCTTCAGCCTCTATGTTTTCCCACCCTAATTAGTGAATCATTGTAAGAAGCCCCAGCATTTCGAGGCCAGACTAATTAGTTTTGATTATGGAAGAGAAGGCTTCTACTTGTGATGTTCATTCGGCGAGGGTTTCATCGTCGTTCGCCAAAAAGGGTGACCGCCTAATTTTTACGGTGGAGCTCCGGCCTGGAGAGACTACCATAGTCTCATGGAAGAAGCTGATGAGAGACGCTAACAAGGTTAATGGATCCACTTCGGCCCCCAAATATCCCACCAATGCACGCCCCGCCCTGGAGTCAAGAATCGCTCCTGTGAGACTTTCTGTCTTCTCTACTATCCGATTTTTTTCCCTGTTGATGTGATTTCGAAGAATGCGTCCGTCTCTTTTAAGAATAGTACATGCATTTCAAAAAAAAAAAAACAAGAATTATGCATACATTATAATTAAGACACTACCAGAGTTCGCGTTTTTCGTTGTTAGCATTTCCTCCCAAAACCATCCGTCATACTTAGCATTACAAGAGAAGCAGTAAGTCGATGGCGTGGTTTCTCACCTGGCATAATTACAATTCGGATCCCTCAGGTTTGCTTACCAGAATAATTCAGGTCTTTTAATTTCTACACAAGTATTTTACCTCTTTAAATCAAATATCTGGAGTACAAGTAAAAATTATAGACGATTTAAATATATTTCAGACTCGTAATGGATGTTACTGTCTCTCTAAATTATTATGTTTAGTTACTTCCAAATAATAGCATGTCTTGTACTGCATTGTTTCTTGTTTTTATCCTCGGCATCACTAGTATAAAATTTAGGATAATTTATTTCCGAACTTTTATTGGTTTGTATGCTTCACTTAATTGCTTTAAACCTTGCTCATCTTTTATAGGGTCCCACTGCTGAAAACAAAGTAACAGATGCTTCCCAGCCAAACCGTTTCAGTGCTGTAATAGAGAAGATTGAACGTCTTTACATGGTGCGTATGTGTATATAATGGTTGCTGAGTTTGGTACTAGCATCACATCACTTTCAGTTATCCATTCATATCATGGATGTGCATTAAAGTTTTAATTATTCAGGGGAATTTTTCGTGTTCGGATGATGATATTTCAGGGTAAGGACAGTAGTGATGAGGAAGATCTACTTGATGTTCCTGATGATGATCAGTATGATACAGAAGACTCTTTCATTGATGATGCTGAGCTGGTTGGTATCTTTGTATATTGTTTTGGTTTGATTGCTGACTGGAGAAATATCCTTTGTATTATGTACCCTCCACATGTATACTACTTTTGTTTTAGGTTTCCTATCCTTTCTGCAGGATGAATATTTTGAGGTTGATAAATCGGTAATTAAACATGATGGCTTCTTTGTCAATAGGGGGAAATTGGAACGCATGTAAGTTTAATTTAGTTTAGTTTTTCTTTCATTTTTCCTGAATAGTTGGCTTGAGTACCTCCTTACTCTTCTCTTCCCAATAACTTATATTTAGCAAATCATTCCACCTTTTCTTCTTTGTATTTTATGCTATACGTGTTGCCAATAATGTTTATTGCAGTTTTTGAAGTGGTTGCTTTATTGTAAGATTGGCTTTAGGGTTGTGGTTGGTGTTACTAGGTTCACTGAGGAGTCTTAGTTGCTACATGGGCTGTTGTACGTCTATCATTCTTTCTCTAAACTAATAATCTGATAGCAGTTTTGTTTGGTATGCTGTCTAAAAGGTAAATACTAGATGTAACCAATGTATGTTCCCTTATTTTGAAGCAAGAAGGTACGTGGTTGTCATTCTCATTGTTTCTTCTTTCATGGCTTAACAATTGTTTACCATTCTCAGCTGTGTTTACTGGAAGAATTGTATTTGGTCTTGAGGAGGTTTTCATTAGTTATACATATTTTTAGCTAATTAATGTGCATGCCTTTATTTGTTGATCTGCTGTAGTGAGCCTGTTCTTCATGCTTCTGTCAGTTCTTAATGGATTTTTTCTTGTTCATGGTTTAACTTTTGTGTCACTTGTCTGCAAACTCTGCATTAATTTTCTTAATGATTTTCCTTTTTTTTTTTTTCCTTTCTCAATTACTAGAAGTGAACCATCAGTATCAGCTAACCAGCACCCAAAGAAAAGGCGCAAAAAAGATGTGTTGAAGAATACTGCTGAAAGTTATGAAGGTCAAGGATCAAATAAACATGTAAAACTGGGCAAGGCAGCAACCGGAAAACCAGCATCATTACCAATGGAGAATACATCTAATTCCTCACAAAATTTGGTCGTACCTAATGAAAATTACAAGGAATCAAAATTTCAGAATCGATTGGATGTCCTGGGAATCAGTTCAAAAAAGAGAACTGTTGATACCAAACCAGTATTGGATTCTTCTGTCTCTTCGAAAGTGTCTTATGATGACGGTCCTATTTCTGTGTCTGAAGCAAAGAATGTTGATAAACAGAATGCAGGAGTCCTTCAATTAAAGAACACGAGCAACAAACACAATGATGCAAGCACATCATCTGATGCTTCTCAACGGAAGTACCATGAAAAAAGTTCTGGTGCACACTCCAAGTCCCAAACTGGAAAACCCTCTAGTAATACTGACGATTTGGAAGGTAATGGTCGGTCAAAAGAAAAAAATAGGACCTGTGAATTGCCAGATCTTAACTTTTCTGAGGGCAAGCCTGCCATGCAAAAAGCAGTAAGTTGATGCCTTCTGTTTTTCTGTATTTAAACATTTTTAATTTCAGTTCTTATGTTAATAAGTGATACCTAAAAGTTATCTATAAGACTTCAATAGACAGAGTTCCACCCCTGGGTCTCCCCTGAAATTTTGGATATAGATACGTATGTTAGCATGATGAAAGAGGAAGTACAGTGTGATGAAAATATAGATGTAGAGGAGGGGAAATCAGGTGGAAAGGGATCATGGACCGAAAGAAAGTCTTGGTGGATGATGAAATCTGTAATGATTGACTGTTGATATGTTAACATTTATTGCCACTTCCTATAATAAATATGCTTGTGACTATGTGAAGAATTTTGGTAACTTGTGTTGATGACTTTGTTCAAATGCTCTGCAGAAATCACACTATATGCACAAGAAAGATGGTTCTAGTGTGAGGCCAAAAATTTCAGTGCTTGAAAAGGCATTTCGTGAGCTAGAGAAGATGGTAGTGGAATGTAAGTTTTATTATTGTAATGAAGTTCACATTTCTCTTAGATATGAATAGATGGGAGTTCATTGCAAATGCTTAATTGTTTTTGTTTTTGTTTTTGTTTTTGTTTTCTGGCGGTGCTAACTTTACAGCAAGGCCACCTGCAGGGGAAAGCCAGGAGGCTGATACTGTATCTCAGGCAGTCAAAAGGAGATTGCCTAGAGAAATAAAGCTAAAGCTCGATAAAGTTGCTAGAATAGCTGTAATGGCACCTGCTAATCTCTTGATATTGTGTTTCTAAGCATGTATACGACGTTGTGTTCCATTTTCATTGAAGGACTTTTAACTGTTTGATATTATTATATTATTGCTGAATTATAAACTATGCTGTCTTTACCGTTGCAGGCAAGCCATGGAAAAGTATCAAAGGATTTAATTAACCGTTTAATGGGTATATTGGGGCACCTGATTCAGCTTAGAACACTGAAGGTATTGCAGCCTTGTTAACATAAACAGTGTGAGGTGACTCTACAGTGGGGATAGTGTCCTGCTAAGATGGAAAAATGGAATGTTGGTGTGTGTCTACAGCCAATTTATCCCATCAGCTCAAGTTAGGAGAAAGTGTAGGAATGGTTTTGGATACTTATTCTAACACACCTTCCCAGTTGAAAGTTTTTAAGGCATGAAGAATGGAGAAGGCATAAGCTTACACTAATTTGTACTGAAATTTAATCTAATTACTCAAATGAGGGCAGCAAGGATCTAACTCTTGATAGCCTAATCTTAAAGGCTTTGGTACCTTGTAAAGAAGTGATTCACCCCATGGCCCATAACCATAACCAGTTGTTCAAAGAAGGATTTGGAATAATTTTTTATGTGAACTTCTAACAGTACGCTTATTGAAATGCTACACTTGATCTTAGCCAAAAGGCCGAGAAAGGTACTCTTATTGAAATGCTACTATTTGGGAAATTTGTTGATGGTTCATGTCATATATTTTGTTAATATTACTATTGATTTTTCAACCCAAAAGTTTGTAAAGTTGAGACCATGGCTATTCTTCCTCTTAAGACAAGACATCTGCCCCAAGCCTTATTCAGTATTGTTGTATAAATAATAATTTAATAGTAATATTGTTACTAAGTAAGCTACGGGTTCTAGGAATTGCAAGAACTAATAAACCCCTATCACTGAATGGGTGGGAAAGACAGGTTTTGAATCTAGCCTCGTTGCACAAGTTTTTGTAATTTCAATTATTAGGATATGATTTAATGATCCTCCAGTTATGCTTTGTGACCTTATTTTTTATTTTCAGTTCAGATAGGTTTTAGTGACTAATCAATATACTATATATAATTTGACTTTGAATCTTTAATTACTTTAAAAACTTCAGCCTTGAGCTTTTAGTCTTTTTCTTCTTGATAATTTTCTTCCACCTTTTTTACTGATCACGTGAAATATTCAAAGGCTTTGCATTTGCATTTGGATTGCTCTAGTTATCTGATATGCTGAAAATGTTGCCTTTTCCTTCCTTTCTTCCTTCTCTTTTCCCCTTTTGATCAAGTACTTCAGTGTGATGTGACTGAGTATGACATTTTCTATTTCAGTTATATTATTTGGTCAATGTGTAATCAAAAACTAATCTGCCTTGTGGATTTTCCCTACCACTAGTTTCATTAATGTAGATAGCATAGTCTTAACGTTCGCCTTACTGCTAGTTTCACCATTACTTGCTCTAATGATTTGTCTTCCTGCTATAGAGACATTTAAAAGTGATGGTAAGTATGAGCATGTCAGCAAAGCAGGAGAAAGATAACAGGTTTCAGCAGATAAAGAAGGAAGTTGTTGAAATGATTAAGGTGCGAGGATCCTCACTGCTATCCAAGGTATTATACTCACTCTAGCCTTTTCATTCCTTACCCGTGATTAGCAATCTGGCTTACATGCTTTTTATTTTCACTCATTGAATTCTAAAGAACTAGAACCTTTTATATTGTTTTCAGAAGTTGCACACAGAAATTATGATTGTTGTATTTTCCAATATCATGTTATATGTTCTTTAGAATGCTAATAGATCATTTAACTGCAAATAGATTTTATTTTATCTTTTTGCTTGTGGCTGAATCCTGACTCTTGTTTTGCATATCTTCTTATATGTGCATTGTGTCGTGATCACAGTTTTTGGACTATAATTTTGTTTTACAGTTTCTATTGTATAATTTGAGATGGATGACTTTTTTTAAGTATTTCAGTTGCAGCAACAAGGTGGAGCATCTGGTGATTATCAAGAATTTGGTCCTGATGAAAAGGCTTTAACTGCAAGGAAGCTTAGTATGGACTCTGCACTGGAGGATAAGATTTGTGATCTCTATGACCTTTTCGTTGATGTACAAGAGTTGGAAGTTTAAATGTTAATTTCAAAAGCATTTTTGGTTGTACAAAACCTTTTTTAATGAATATTGTTTGTAATTGTTATAGGGGTTGGATGAAGATGCAGGTCCGCAAATCAGAAAATTTTATGCTGAGGTGATTCAAATTTTTTTTTTTTTTTGTTTTCCTTTCAGTTGGCCTATCAGAGATTATGTTACTTCTACTTCGTTAGTCTTGCATTGTACTAGTACTAGCGCTTCCCTACTCTCTACTCCAAATTTCTCTTCCCAGGTCATGGACCTCCTATGTAACCAAAAAATAAAAATGCACAACAGACTGCCAGCCACTTCTTCAATTGCTTTTTCTGCGAGTAAAAAACAAAAGGGTTGCGTGTTGAGCATTTAATGGGATAGAAACACTTTAATCTCTCTCTCTCTCTCTCTCTCATGTCTCTCTCAGTTATCTACACTTTCAGGAGCCATGGTGCCATTTATTTTTTGAACATGGAGTTTCTGTCATGTCTAATTCAATCTTTATGCATTTTTTATTTAAAAAAATGGAATGTGGGGATAATAAATTGTTTAATTTGTCAATTTTTTGACACTTGGGTACCACTTCATGTTCAGCTTGCGCAATTATGGCCAAATGGCTACATGGACAACCATGAGATCAAACATGCAATTTCTAGATCAAAAGAGAGGCGCAAAACATTGTACAACAGACATAAGGTATGCCTTTTCCAGCGAATAGTAATGTGTTATTTTCTCAAAGGGGCATTTTTTTGTTGTTCTCAGTTACAACAAAAATAAGAAGAGTTTCTCAAATATTTTCCTCCTCGTGAGGAATTGAGGCACTTCTTTTTAGTTTTTTCCCCCTCAGACTAGAGCACCGCCAGAATGTTATATTTCACAGGATGGTGTCATTTATGTTTGAGTTCTATCTCATTGGTTGACTTGTGTATAATTAGGATCAGGACAAAGTTAAGAGGAAAAAAAAATTGGGAGCTAGGCAGGAGGGGAATCTTCGATGTGATGCCTTGCATCACAACATGCGAGAGAGATTAGCTCCAGAATCTAGCAGTCATGCTTCTACCTCAGTGAACAGAAAAGTTTCTAATACAATCACCACTGCCAGGGCTCCCAGTTCTTCTATGAATGGTCCTAAACAAGAGAAAGTTAAAGCAGGTTCGAGTAATCCCCGGGATAATGTCAGGATAGCGGATGGCGTTCTAAGAAAGAAGGCAAACAGAAAAGCTGAACTGCAATCGGAGGGACCTCATATCCGTCCTGAAAAGCTGGGTTCTTTGCTGGGAGAAGAAAGGCCTAAGGTCCTAAAGCAGTCTGCTGGTGTTCCCCTTGAATCGAACTTGCAGCCGACATCTATTCCAAGTCTTGAGCAGTCAAGTTAACGTGATATCAACTAGGAGGCTTGCACAGGAAAAATGTCTGCATGGGGCTTTCATCCCGTATTTTTTGTTCTCTCTCAATCCCCCACTTCGGAGTAAATTATATTTTAATGATGGTCCACTTTTTGTAATTAGATGTCCTTGCAAGGTTCTATGGAGTATGGGTTTATACATAGGGTTTAATTTCGGCTCCTTCCGCTTACCGAATTTCCTCGTTCTAATGATTTTTCACTGCTTCCGGCATTATTTGTACGGAGGGGTAATAGTAATAGTAGATTGAGATGAGAGACTTCTTTTGGGAGATCTGCACCTTTGTTTTTCCCAAGTAAAAAGATAAAAAAATTATCAAAAAAAAAAAATTCAAAAGGAGGACAAGTGCCCTTGCGTGTCCCCCAAGATCCGTCCCCAACCATAATACGAGTAAAAAATGTTTGGCCCCTAAGAAACTACTATATTGAAAGTCAAACTCTTGTGTCGAAGCACCAATGCTATCTTGAACGTGAAAGAGATGACCTCTTTGCGATGATTAAGTTCTTGTGATTGGTATACTTAAAATTGAACCCATCATTAAATTGATTAAGATATTTATTCAAGAATTAATGGTTGAAACTGTAATGAGTCTTGATTAAAATAGTCATAAATTGGTTATTTTATTAAACTAAATAAGATATTAAGTTAATGATTTAACAGTTTACTGGATGAGTTAATTCAGATTTACATGTTATGACATATATCGTAATGTAATTGGCTTTCAGTTAGCTGCGCGCGCGCGCACATGCATACATATATGTATATATATTACTTCAGTTGAGTGTGTGGTTAGTAACAAGTAACAACTTGCCATTCCCCTCTCATAACATTGCTCCCTTGTCGGTTTCAGGATACATCTACCAGTTCCACCAACTTCGTGGTTTTCTCGGGGCATGGCCACCAAATTCCTGCAACCCAGTTGAGTGTTACATGAGGTTCGGTCGCGATCACACTCACTCCCCATGCCATGCCTCAGCGTTTTGTGCCCAGCACGCCTCATCTTGTTGCTAAAGCCGCCTGGCCATCAGACGTCTTCCCCTCTAATTACGCCATCAAATCTTGCCGCTCCCCTTGTAACTTCCTCTTCACTTTCAAAAATTCACACTAAACAATGCTATGCCCATCACTTAATCATTGATGACTTTAGCTCCACCCACCTTACTTGAAGCATCATCAATCAAAGGCCTTCTTGTTCCTCCACTTCCCATGTCAACCCACATCTAACCCTGTAGATTCTTGAGTTCCAGTTGGGCCTATTGTAGAAGCCACGGACATTTTTGATGGATTCTGCAACAACCAATCCTTCAACAATGTGGGCTGTTCTTCATAATTTCACTCGACTTTGAGAAAGCTTGCATTTGCATACAGTATTTCTTTTTCTTTTTCTTTTATCGTTGTATTTTTTACAATAATAAAAAATAAAACGTCAAATTATATCTAACGATAAAATGCAGAAAATCTGCGCACGACTCTGATCTTTATTAACATAAAAAGTTCCGATTCTTGACAAACGTGTATCTTAAACATGACTGATCATAACTCTTCTTTTTGGTGTAACCAAACATAACTCTTATTATGCATGTCCATTGGACAAAATTATAATTCGTTTAACTTGAAAAGGTTGTGTGTTTTTCTTCCCGAGATATTTCCATTTCCATTTCCTATAGATGGATAAAGAAAATGAGCTCCATGATTCCGTCATATTTGTCAAGTTCGGGCGGAGAAGTATCTGAATTCATTTTCCCGCGTTTTCATGTTATCCTTCCTTTTCCATATCTCGCACAAATCGCCTGTTCTCTCACCCTTTCGTTAAAATAATTTCGTAAACCTAATTTACACTCCCTGATCTATTGAATTTTCGTTTTCTTCTCCGAAATCTTTTTGATGGAAGGAAGTCGTAACAGTCAGTACTGATCACTGCCCTAGAGTGTGTGAGGAAGAGAGCTGGTCGGTGGAGATGCTACGGACGAATGCATTTGAAGGAGCGAATGTGTTCATGTCACGGAACCTCGTGCCGCCGGAAGTCTTCGACACACTCCACGACGCGCTTAAGAATAATGGCGCACGCGTCCATCTTTGCTGCGACCCTTCGCGCAATGGGCCACACGACTATCACATCATATCTCACGATCACGTAATACCCTGGTGTCCTGCGATTACTAGTCTCAGTTGAATTTGAGTTCGATTTCTGCATTTCTGATATATATTTTTCCCAAATTTTTTTGAAGGAGAAACTTGAGGATCTTAAAGCCAGGGGTTGTAATCTGCTTGGTAAGTTTTTATTTCAAGGTTCCACATGCTAAAACTTTAGTTACTGCTCTTGTTGGTTGGCTGTGTTAACTGAAATTTTATTTTCCTTTTTCGTCCTCCTACTCAATAGGCAAGTTCAAAGCTGATTGAAGAGCTTTTAGTAGTGTAATTAGCTGAAGTTGCTTTTAGATGCTTAGAACCTTGTAATCTGATGGTTGAAAAAGCATTATTATTTGCATTAGACATTTCCAGGTGCCAGGTCGGCATTCTAGAATCTGACGAGGCATGTTGTTATTATTTATTTAACAAGTCATTTTGAATTTTGATGGATTGTTCGTCTGAATTGGACAGCACTTATTGCTACCCTATACCTGTCCAGCATGGATGATTTCCATATATATATATATATATATGTATGTATGTATGTATGTATGTATTTTTACCCCAGCATGATTTCCTTAGTCGAATATCAGTTATTCTTTTGGCTAGGACCAATGGTGTTTCTGAGTTTTGTATTCATTCTTGGGCAGGTCCTCAGTGTGTGCTTTCATGTGCAAAAGAACAGAGACCTCTGCCTAAACAGGGTTTCACTTGTTGCCTTGCCATGGACGGTGTCAAAGTACTTGCATCTGGTTTTGATATGGATGAGAAGGTACTGTATATTTTAAATATTATCACCACAAGCTAGCTTTAATTTATTTATTTTCCATTCATTTTCTCTTAGCAAATTGACAAGCATTCTTTGTATGACAGTTATTCTTTTCCCTTTTTGTTTTAGGCCCCTGGTTTTGGAATAACTAAGAGATGACCTGCTCTTTTTTCTGGTTGTTATCTTCAATTAAATTATTGTTAGAATTTTCACGGCATTTTCTTTTGGCCGATATGATGGATATAATCTGTCTGTGTATATCTGTGTTATAAACATCTCAAAAAGTGGTTGCTCAAAATCAATGTCTTAAAATTAATAGATTTGCATAGCGTCCCATTCATGTTATGAGTGAATATTTCAGGTTTTAGCCGTGATTTTCTGTTTTTTAAGTCAACTTTATGGTTTATTGCTTTGGTTCTCTATTAATTGCCTCTTTAATCTTCAAAAAAAGTTAAAATGCTTGATTGGTGAACCTTCCCTAATAAAAAATAAAAAATTGTGAAAATCAATGTCTTAAAAATTAGGTGAGGTTTAACTATTATCTGCTTTTTAAAAGAAGCAATAACTTGTAAGTCAGATTTTCTTGATCGGTTTTGCTTTCTTAAAGGTATTAGAATTTTGTAAAATTTTCTTACTGTTGCATTTCTCTTCACGTTTTAGTTACTTGCTCTAACTATCTTCTTACTTCCTCCACCCACTTTTCTGCTCTCTATTGATGTTTATAATATGTACTGTGTTGCAGATGAAGATAGGAGAGTTAGTAAATTCAATGGGGGGAATTCTGCACATTAAGGCATCACTGGATGTAAACTTTGTGATTGTGAAAAATGTTTTAGCTGCAAAGTACAAGGTCTTGTAAAAGAAGCTCATGTTCCATATTATTCTTCAACGTTAACCACTTCTCTTTATTCTTTGTCATGTTTATTATATCTGTCTCAGTGTATTACATGCTTGCACAAAGATTCTTATGCATGTTAATGCCAACATAAATAACTTTCTTGTTGCTTGAATTTTTCTAAAGTGTGTAATAACTAGACTTGGTCGAACCTCCAAAGAGTGAAACTCCTAGGCTTATATACAGCTGGTGTTATGTGGCATTCTTTCTGGCCTGTAATATAGAGGGTGATGTGACACTTTGTAATTATACAAATTGATGGCATGATTGCTTAGACTGGGAGCAAAAAGTACTTTTGTGAGACTGAGAGGGATGCAAGTTATATACTAAACATGAGTCAAATCAATTAGTATTGTATATGAAGGTGATAAGCAAATTAATTTTTCCTGGATGAATCACTGTATCAAACAAAATATACTTCCTGCAATACTAAGTTTTATGGCATGGGTTTTGTGTTTGTCTTTTTAATGCTATTAAATTCTTGTGTCCTCTACTCAGAGCCTATGCTTCTTCAGGTCACAGTCTGATTGGATTTAGCACTTCATGCCTTTGCAAAACTTATGTGCTTTCTTGATTGTTTATGTAATCAAGATGTTATAGTTTTATAAAATGTTAGATTTGAATAACGGTTTAGCGGTGCTGTGATTAGCCGTTAGGTGAGGTAAGTGGGTGGAGCCTATATATATGTTAAGGCATTTGAATTGTAGTTTATCTCAGCCATGACTAAATAGAATTTCCTCTGTTCCTACATTTCTTTCAACCTCTTCTTAATCTCTCATTCCTCTCTGCCTCTACCTATCTTTCTGTTCTTGTCTCATCTTTTCCCTCATCTCTTCTAATTCCTACAAGTCCAAATTATTTATCAAGACTATGAAGCAATTAAGGGCGTTTCTAGGATTGGCAGGTTATTATAGAAGATTTGTCAGGGGTTATGGAGCTTTAGCCAAGCCACTAACTTGCCTTCTTAAGAAGGATGGGTTCAAATGGTCAGAAGTGGCTTCCAAAGCATTTAATATTCTCAAAGAGGTATTAACATCAGCACCTGTCTTTTCTCTTCGTGATTTTACTGAGGAATTTGTGGTAGAGACAAATGCATGTGGTTTTGGCGTGGGGGCAGTACTAATGCAGCAAGGGCAGCCAATTGCCTACTTTAGCAAAGGTTTAGCTGAAAGACACCAGCACCTTTCTATATATGAAAAGGAATTAATGGCGGTGGTTCTTGCTGTCCTTCATTGGCATCAGTACCTTGAGAGGAAACAGTTCATAATCAGGTCTGACCAACAAAGCCTGAAATATCTACTTGGACAGAAGCTAAAGACTTCATTTTTGGGTTGCAAAACTAGCTGGGTTTGATTGCAAAATACAATACAAGAAAGGGAATCATAATTCAGCCGCTGATGCTCTCTCAAGAATACCCAAAGAGCAACTGATGCAGATGGTTTTAGACACTTCTTCTCCTGAATTGCTGGACAAAATCAAGGGAAGTTGGAGAAGTGATGCTGTGGTTTCAGAAATACAAAAGAAAGCCCAAGAAAATAGTGGTATATGGGGGCATTTTTCTTGGGATGGAGAATTGTTGAGAAGGAAGGGAAAGCTAGTAATTGGGAATGAGCCTAATTTGAAACAACAAATTTTGGAATGGCTACACTCTAGTTCCCAAGGAGGGCATTTAGGAATTCAAGCCACTTATCATAGAATTAAGGCATTATTTTGGTGAAAAAAATTAATTAATGATGTGACAGATTTTATCAAGCAATGTGATACATGTGCTCGTTGTAAATATGAAGCTATTGCTCCTCCAGGGCTGTTGTAACCTCTTCTAATTCCAAGTCGAGTTTGGGAAAGTATTACAATGGATTTTATAGAAGGACTTCCTAAATCTCATGGTAAGGATACAATTTGGGTATTAATTGATAGAATGAGTAAGTATGCCCATTTTATTCCTCTTACTCATCCTTATTCAGCTTCTTCTTTAGCACAACTTTTCATGGATAATGTGGATAAATTGCATGGTGCACCCGCTGAAATTATTAGTGATCGTGATCCTATATTTGTGAGTGGATTTTGGAAGGAATTTTTGCAGGTTTTGGGAGTTAAGCAGCAACTTTCGACCACATATCACCCTCAAACAGATGGACAATTTGAAGTCCTAAATAGGTGCTTAGAAACCTATCTTAGATGTATGTGTTGGGAACAACCAAGAGATTGGAGCAAGTAGTTGTCACAAACTGAATGGTAGTATAACACCACATTTCATACAGCCACGAAAGCAACTCCTCATGAACTTTTATACGGTCAGAAAGCCCCTATTCGTTGTCCTTATTTACCTAATGGTTCTGTTTTGGATGTTTTAGACAGGACTTTTTCAGCTAGAGAAGCTGTGCTAGCTGTTTTGAAGCATCATCTTCATCAGGCAGCCAATCTGATGAAACAGAAGGCTGATTCTCATAGGACAGATTGAGAGTTTGCTGTTGGTCAATGGGTTTTCCTCAAGTTGCAGCCCTATAGACAAATTTTTGCTGCTGCAAGGAGTAATCAAAAGCTAGCTCCTAGATATTTTGGTCCTTATAAGGTCATTGCAAGAATAGGTGTTGTTGCCTACAAATTAGAGCTACCAGCTGAATCAAGAATACACCCAACTTTCCATGTTTCTCTATTAAAGCTTTGTCCTAACCCTAAAGTAAAGCAAAGGCATCCCCATCTTGATTGGCTAGAGCTGCCTCCAGCCTTAGAACCTGAAAATATTCTACAAAAGCGAGTTGGAAGAAAGAAGGGACGGATTATTATTGAAGTTCCGATTAAATGGAAGCAATTACCTGATGAGGAAGCATCTTGGATGCCTCTACATCAGCTGCAACAAAAATTTCCTCAATTTGTTGTCAATGATTCTTGAGGGCAAGGATCTTTTGAGGGGGGGTATTGTTATAGTTTTGTAAAATGTTAGTTAGTTAGATTTGAATAACGGTTTAGCGGTGCTGTGATTAGCTGTTGGGTGAGGTAAGCGGGTGGAGCCTATATATATGTTAAGGCATTTGAATTGTAGTTTATCTCAGCCATGACTAAATAGAATTTCCTCTGTTCCTACATTTCTCTCAACCTCTTCTTAATCTCTCATTCCTCTCTGCCTCTACCTATCTTTCTGTTCTTGTCTCATCTTTTCCCTCATCTCTTCTAATTCCTACAAGTCCAAATTATTTCTATGCAACACAAGATGCTGCTTGGTTTTTTCCTTAGATAATGCCTTTATCATTCAAGGGAAGTTAGATATTTTTTATGACCCTTGATGACATCTATTAACAGTTTAATGTGTGTGTGTGTGTGCGTGTGTGTGGTTGTCAAATCATTGTTTGGTAGCCAGTTCTGCTAAGTCCTAAACCCAAATTACTGTTGGTGGCTGATTCAAATCTTGAAAGAGTTAAGGCTTCTTTCTTGGCCCATCATAATGGGTTTGGCGACATTTCAACTGTATCTGGATGAGTGAATTAGTTACGGTGGTTACAGATACCAAAATCTTGTTTGCCTGTTTTAATTATAGGTTGTCGTTTAATACATCATTAACCCTTTTCAATGACATAAATGGATCTTCATGATGGTCTGAAATGTCATTGAGCTCAAATTGATGCTGTACAATCTAATATGTTTAACTTGCTTTACATCTGGCAGTGGGCTTTGAATATGCTGAAGAAACCAATAGTCACTTTTAATTGGTTAAAGCAATGCTCCATTGAGCATCGCATTGTTCCCCAAGAGTCATACAGGATTCTTCCCTTTTCTGGGTTGACAATTTGTGTTACCCGAATTCCAGCAGGTTTTAGTTATCTGTTGATTTTGTTCATAATATATATATATATATATATATTGTTTTCTGCTGCTAATTTGTTTTCATTTTATACAGATGAGCGCAGAAAAATTGAGATGCTTATTGTACAGAATGGTGGGAAATACTCTGCGGAGCTAACGAAGAAGTGCACACATTTGATTTCTGATATATCCTTGCTGTATTTTCTTTAAACAATAATCTCTGTTTAAATTATGTGAATATTCACCCATTGTCCAAGAATAGGAAAAAGCACCCTTCTTGCTTTTGAACAATGTTTCTTGTTACATTTTAGGGGTCAGCTGCATAAGTTGGACTGTCAATAACATTCTCTATAAACATGACTTTAGCACTGAGTGCCAATTGTATCATACTATTTTCATAGTTTTGAACTGACAAGAAGTCTCATGCTTTTAACATGAACTAATGTAAATGTCTACTCTTTTAAATCTGTAATAGTTTAATTATATCTGCTAGTATATATTCTATCATCTTTAAGGGCTTAAATTATTAAGGAGCATATGTTCCATTCATTTTTTAATCAGTTAACTCATATTTACAAAAACTCTTCATTCAATTGACAGCTACTGTTTACTTGTGAGTTTAAACTGGGAGGAACCGAAGATACATCTAATTGGAAATCTTAAAGCTATTAGAATGGGCATTTATGTATAAATTTCGCTAATGGTTGTAGCTTCAGCTCTTCAATTGCGAAGAACTTGAAGCAATGGCTTCATTTCATATTATCCTGTATGAATGAACCATTTAAGGATGCTGTTTCTTGTCCTTGCCAAAAAGTCACCTTAAAAGATATATAAGATCCTTTGATATGGTGTTTTCTTCTTGCAGTGACATGTATTATATTGCCTTAGACACTGTTTTATGTGCAATTTGTGTCAGCATTACCAAGCACGTTCTTCTCATTTTCTGAGCAAGTCAAGTATTTAAACTCAAAAAAATGTCTTTATTCTTTAAACTACGTGGATAATTGTGTTCTTGACTGTTCTTAAGCTCCTGAAGGTGACAAATATAAGGTGGCAAAACGATGGGGTCACATTCATATTGTGACAAAGAAATGGTTTGATCAGTCTATTGTCAGAAGAGGTCAGTTCTTGGTTGCAATGCATTATGTTGCAGTGCCTTTTGTATTTTGACCTTCATAATTTGATTCCACCCACAATATCTGACAACCAAGCATAATTTTTTTTTATTCTTTTATGAATAGCATGTCTGAATGAGGAGTCTTACCCCGTTCAGCAAGGACCTGTATCTTCACAAAGAATGTTTATGGATAATTTAACAGCACAACATAGCCAAGAAAAAGAAAACGGGAAATTGCAATCTGCTGCATCATCTGGACTTCCAGATTCATGTATGCCTGTTGTTTCCTTTGCTGAGCTTGCGGACAGAGATCCAGATGCTACACAGTCAGAGAACACTTCTATTGCCGTTTCAGATGTTCCTATCTTTGTTAATGGGACAGATCCTCAAGCACCTCCAGTGCAACCCAATAATGACCCAAACCTTGACAGTGCTGTAGCCAGGGATTCTGAATCTGATGATAATGATCTGTACTTATCAGAATGCAGGATATCACTTGTTGGCTTTGAAGCTTCTGAAATGCGTAAACTAGTTAATATGGTTCGTAAAGGAGGAGGATCCAGATATATGTCTCTTAATGACAAGTTGACACACATAGTGATCGGAACCCCTTCAGAAATGTAAGTCTAGTTTGATGTCTTCCAGAAATATTATAGATGCACGTCTTCTCTATGTTTCTTGACCATGCCTCTCCTTTGCATTCATGTGTAAACAACACTATTTCAATGCTACCTGGCGGCTACCATCATAAATGTGGCTCTCTGATGGGCTTTATTTGGAATACTGTATCCCTTTTCTTATAGTTAGGCTTGATAGTTACCCTTCCCATGATGTGTTTCTCAGAGAAAAGAAGGATGTAAGGAGTCTTGCTGCTTTGGGTATCATCTACGTTGTTAAAACTACATGGCTTGAAGATTGTGACCATGAAAAGAAAGAAGTCCCTGTTCTAAAGAGACACATTGCCCAAGATCTTCTTCTTCCTAAAGGTCCACTTTTATCATGTGCGATTGTACACATTTATGGTCTGCATCTGTTATCTCCTACTTGTGCGCAAGTAGGAGAAATCTTTTAATTAAACCTTGTTGTGTTAAATTTTCATTAATGGTGGTCATAACCATGCTTTTCTGATGTACATACTCATTTTGTTATGATTGCTTTAGGTTCAGCATCTTTTGTGAAAGGAGCTGTAACTGGAATTATGGGCATGAATAAAGGTAAAGGCCCCAGCACTCATCAAAGCTTGCAGGCTGATCAGTTGATAACTAGTATGGACTCTAGAGTTGTGATGCCATTATCTGTGGAGAAAAAAGAAGAAAAGAAGCTGGAGATGAATGTGACTGATCAAACTTTTCTTAAATCAATGGACAAGTCAACTCAGAAAACGCAACTTCCTGTTGCTAATAATAAAATGAAGGGTCAAAAGAAGATGCTTAATGACTCTTCTCAGTGTGTGAAGCCATCAACAGTTTTCTGCGGGAGGATGTTTTGTTTTTCAAATTCTTTCCCTGAAGAGAGAGTAAGTTTTTATTGTCTATGTTTATTAAATATGATATGATCTTGTACTCTAATTGTGAGTTTTGACATTGGGAGTCAATGAACTAACGCACGCAGAGGAAGTTTTTGAGAAAAGATAGATAATAGATGGGAGGAGTCCTAAATGTTTTGCTTCCAAGAATATATCAGGAAAGACACATTTTAGCCATTCAGCTGGTTTGGATTCATCTAACCACCTCTTTATTCTCCAGATGCTATTACTCTAATTCCACAAACCACCTTCATAAACAAGATACTTCCTTTTAAACATCCAAGTGCAATATCTTATATGATAACCTCGAACTGTCATTAAAATAAAAATACAAACCTCATTCCAATAAACTAAAGCTCATTTGGTAGGAGTGAAAAGAAAGTAGAGAAGTAGAAGTGGAATCCTAAATTTAACACATTTGGTATGTTTGAACTAGCTTCCTTGTGGAAGTCACTTCCATAAAAAATGATAGGACCCCCTTCCCTATGCACCCCCATATGTAACCCAGTTCCACTTCCGTTGTATCCTCAAGTTTGACAATTTTGCCCTATCACCATCTCTCCTTGTTATTGACAAGGGACGGTGATGATAGCAATGGCAGTGACTTTGGCGAGGACAATGACGAATGGTGGTGAGTCCATCGAGGACAATGACAGATAGTGGTGACTATCTTTGATTTCTGGTTTGATTCCCTCTTTGATTTCTACCTTCAATTTATATTTTGTTTGACTTCTAGTTCCAAGCAATATCCGAAAAATTCCATAAGGCGGAGGAGAGATTACTAGATCGGAAATGTAGAGGTGGATGTGTGAGAGAGAGATTATTAGCTCCTCCTTTGATAGTGGTGGACCTGCTAAAATGCACACTTTTCCTACCTATTTCGCCTCTTCTTTTCCAATTTGATAATAATGATTTCAACTTTCATTGTATTTTCTGGCAAAGTTTGCCTTTTCCGATGGTGTGGCGTCCGGCAACAAAAATCAACAAGCGCGAGTTTTGGGTTAGGGCTGTGTTTTTGGGGGTGAGGGCATATTTTTAATTTTACATTATAAATATAATTATTGAATAAAATAAATTCAACACTTTTAATGCCACTTCCATTTCTATTTCCACTTTCACTTTCACCAAAAACAATTCCCTGTACCAAACGAGGCATAAATGAAATTTCAGCTCCCCATGTGGCCATACCTGTTCGTCTGAACATGATAATGTGTATATATTCTTTATATGGTAACAACTTTTGATTATGCATTGTAGATGTTCATTGAAGTTCTGTAGAAGTTTTGAAGAGATTATTTAGATGGTGATAACCATTTGGTGGTTTGACCTCATAGTCAAATACTTGTGTTTTGCATTGCTTGGTTATATTATAGTCATTTTTCTTTTTATACTAAATTACTAATTTATTTTCTCTAATTTCTAAAATGATGACTTCCTATCATACCTGAAAAGCTTGTCTGGATTGGCTCCAAGAAGAGAATATGAGCCAGAAAAAATCCCAAAAAATGGGTATATTTTAAGAAACCTAGATATAAAGTGGGCTGGGTTCACTTCTTTCAAGTGATGCCCATGCATCCTTTATTATCATATAACTGTATATATTTTTAAATTTTGCATCATTTGTTTAGATGATTGTTTCTTAAAACAATTTTTTTTTTATTAAAACTTAACTTGCCAAATTTTATTAAAATTAAGAAACCTTGTTTCAATGTTTATAAAATTTGGCAAATAGGAGATTTCTGTTCAAGTAATTATATAATTTTGGTTTCTTTTCACAGAGAGATGAGGTTGTTCAATGGATAAGTCAGGGGGGAGGTGAGTTAGTAGATGGTCACGCAAAACAGAATGCCCATTATACTATTGAGTGTCATGGTGTAACAAGTAGGTTGGAAGATATTTCCCAAACAACGTGCATTTCCAGTCATTGGATACGATCTTGTTTAGAGGTAAGCCTGGTTATTTCACAAATGTAAACTTCCCTGTTTTGGTTTGTTTTTTGCTAAATGTTTGCAGTTTCCCATTTGGTTATTGATTTAAATGTGAATAAGTTGGGATATAGATTGATTGGAGAAGAAGAAACTTGATTTTTTCTAACTGTTCTGGCTTTTACTTCAGAAGTACAATTAATTAGGAGACTGTGGAAAAACAGATTCATTAAAAGATTGCTGCAAACACTATGGTCACATTTGGTTACCAAAAACGAATGGAATGGAATGGATTGAAAAAATTAACACAAAAATGAACTAAAACATCCTTTCTCTTTATGGTAAATATAATAAAACTCATTACTATATATTATAAATGTAGGAATCATCACACCATCCAAAAATTTCATAATCATGATTTCCAACTCCATGAATTAAACTACTCCTTTCCTTTACGAGTGTAGTTTATTTTTCCTTTTGATTATCTCATTTTTATTTTTATTTTTTTCAACCAATTCAATTCCATTCTAGTAACCAAACGTGACCTATATATTTAGATTTTGATTTTTACATAATCCATATATTGTATTCTTGTCTCCTCTCCAGTTTCTTGTACTTCTAATTACTTCACTAGAATCAAGAAGCATGAGTTAAATCATTTGATATTATCTAAAGAAGAATTTTTTTTTTCTAATTTACTCATTAAATGCATAATATTTTAAAACATTCATCTCTCTCACATGCAACCTCTTACATTACTCAGAAAATTGGAAGAAAGTAATTAATAGTCCATCCTTCTATGCAAAGTTATTTATAAAAGGGATTGTCTTGAAGATGACTTTTATGTAGGACTAGAAGGAGTAAAATATTGCAAAAGCTTATTTACCCTGTATCTTAGGAAAGAAGGAATGAGATCCCATGGTCATTTGCCAAAGTTTTTCCGGTTTTCTTTGCTCAACTGCTCTTACTGGTAAATTAGTTTGTGTGATCATTAATATATAGTGTTCATAAATCTATATGCCGTTTCTTTGACTTTTCTTAGATTTTCTTAACAATACATGTCTCAATGTTTATAAAAATAAAATCACATCTCAATCTTTATGCTTAATACTTTTTTATCATGATTTGACTAGTCTTTTCTTGTAATCAACTGGAGTTTGTCTCATTATTTAGTCATTAATGGATCCATAATAAGTTTCTGCTGTCAACTGGATTCTTTAACAATTTACTTCGTTTGTACCATTCAGCCTTTTAATTATTGTTGATGTTGTTCTGTATTCTGATGTCTTTGTTGAAGAATGACTGCTTGCTGGATGTTGATAGTCACATTCTTTATTCTCCACTCCCTTGTTGTATACCCTTGCCTGGGTTTGAAAGCTTTCGGTTTTGTGTTTCTCAATATGAGGGGAAAGACAGAATGCTGCTGAGGAACTTGTGCTTTGTTCTTGGAGCTACATTTGTGGAGAAGTTGACAAAGAAAGTCACACATTTATTATGCAAATTCATCAATGGGCCCAAGTATGAGGCAGCTTGTAAGTGGGGGATCCAGGTGGTTACCGCTGAATGGATATTTGAATGTGTCAAACAGGTATTCAATTTAGTTTCTGTGTGGAACGATAGGAGCTTGGATGCATGGTCGTCTGTAAACTACTCATGTTTTGCATGCATATCCTGGTGAATCATATATGTTTGCCCTCTAGTCCTGACTCCTAAATATGTGGCACTTCTAATTACTTCATTGGGATCGAGGAGAGGTAGTTACATTATTAAGATGATCTAAAAATGAAATGACTTTCCAAGCTTACCCCTATTTTAAAAGCATAGTTTTTTTTTTTTTGGAAAAAAAATCCTAGGTAGCTGTAAATAGGGGTAATTTTGAAAAAAGCTGATTAATGGTTCATCTTTTTATGCAAAGTGACTAATATATAGGATCATCAAATTGTTCTAAAAGGTGACTAATATATAGGACCGAAAGGAGCATATGTTTTTCAGCCTTTGATGGGAAGCAAAAGAATTATTAAACGATGTGCTTATTTTTTCAGAATAAAGTTGTTGTTGTTGACCAATTTTTACCCAAAGAAGTCACTGTTCAAGATCAAGAGAACCAAGAGGCAGGAGTGTTTACTGTGAGTCAATTTCCTAACCCGGCTGATAGCATTAGAGGAGACAGCTCTGCCCAATTTGCGAGTCGATTGATAAATTTGAGAAACATCTCAAGTCAAAGTGTGGGTAGTCAAGTCAACAATTATGGGGTTGATGCTAAAATATCAAGTGTTTGTTGCAAAAAGGCAAGGCTTTTGGAAGAGTCTGGCCTGTATGTTACAGTGCCTTCTCCTGTAGCTTCAGCTACTCCTATCTACGATATGAGTTCTACTGGAAACAACATGCTAATAGATACTACTAGTGAGGTTTCTCCAGCTGCTCCTGATGTCGCTGCTGCAATTGAGGACTTGTTAGAGCAGACTAGTAAGGTAAAACTGCTAATATTTTTTTATGGTATTTTGAAATGTAGAATATCAATAATTTATGTTCATTTGCTCCATTATGTCCATATTTACTTCTGAACTTAACGCTTTTGCTTCTTCCACTTAAAGATGCACGATCAGACATCTCCGAGGAAGACCGTGAATAAGTGTAACGTATCCTTCTAGCATATTCATTTTCATTTTGTTACATTATATGATTGAGTTTTCACTTCTCAACAAGTTGTAATCCTTGATGATAGAATAGAATTTTTCATCTGATTGTTCTGTTCTGGATGAAAATCAATCAAATCCTCATACTGTCACTGGATTTTCTGAACACTGGTTGAACAGGCAAGCTCTATATATTTCTCTCTTCACTAATTGACATTTAGTTGTCATTATTTTACATAGTTATCCTCGGTAAAAATTATATGGCCTTTTGTTATTATTGTCCTTCTCCTCCTTTATTTTCGCATTGATGATTTGATCAAAGGATGATTGTTTCTTTCTCTCATCTCTCACCGGATACTGTTTTTCTATCTATGTTCTGTCTGTTTCTGAGAGAAGACTGATCAATTTATTAGCTCGGCTCTGTATTTTCTTTTAAAATTTCAACTCCATTGACTGCAGAACTAGGAAAGCTATTCATTGTTCATTTGTTTTGTTATTGTTTGTATTGAGCTTATGATTTGTTTTCCAGAAGTAGAAGAAACGAGGATAATGATGTTGCTTCTCGAGATGGAAGAGCAGCTTATGATAATTTTAGTGAAACACAAACTGAATCTCAGGTTTTGTCTGGCAATCACACGCAATTCCTCTTAGTATTTAAAGTTTTATATATATATACATATATATATTTTGGTTCGCTTGCTTCTTCTGTTCTATTTATTATCAACTCAGTACTAGATCCAATTTGATTTTTAACTGCAAGATCTGTCTGTCACTTGAACAAAGATTTGTTAACTCCTGCTTGCACTTAGTTGTGACCAAATGTCGGTATCCCGTGTGTATATTATCCTGCTTTCCTCTTAATGATTCAATCCTGAAAATCAGTGCTGCATTTCAAACTCAGGTTGTTGGTTATGAAGAAGATTTGTCTGGAAGACAAATGCTTATCGACAGAGTCCGAACACGTAGTAGTATGGCTTGAAGCATTAGGACAGCTCCTTGAAGGAAGATCTAGAAGCGTGTGCTAATTTGATGGTTCGACAGTGAATGTGCGTTTACAAGATAATGAAAGAGAATCATGTCCTGCATCATTGATTTTAGTTTTAGAAAAGATCAACCCGAGGGTCAGCTAACAAGGGTGTTGAGATGGCAGCAGGTCAGTATTAACTGTGTTGATCAAGAGAAGTTGCTCCCATACGTCATTGCTTGCTAGGGTGGAAACGGGAGGAGAGGGGAGGGGAATATATTGATATTTGTTTGCAGGCGTGTTGTATCGATTGCTTTGTAACAAATTATAAAGCTAATCCCAACTAAGGAAAAATAAATTATCATGTTCGGCCAAAGATTAAACAACTGTACAGTGATCATTGACTCATGCGGCATAGGGCTGATGGTTTACAAACACGAGTGGGAGAAGGGTTGTTAAGTTTATTACATTTTGGGCCTTTAAATAATATCATCGAAGATGGTTCAGAGCTGCGATGGTCCATGTCGGACTCATGGGCCAAGTCAGAGGGTGGGGTAGGGGGGCTACCTGAAGACTGATTAGGTTTGCACAGAAGAACCTTTCTCCGCATAGAGTGCAACTTTTGCACCTTAAGCTGATGGTCTTCACTTTCTCTCTAGTCTTCGTTCTAGATGAACTTGTTAAGGAAGGGCTATCATACTCATACTTATTTTGATGTTGCTCCAGCATTTGTTAGGAGCCTAGTGTCTTCTGATAGTTTGGGATCTCAATCCCCATCTTTGTAATTCTCACTTAAACTCTAGGGCTATGCCCTCTCTTTTACCAAAAAAAAAAAAAAACAAAGAAGTAATAATTTTTTTGTGTACGAAAATACTGTAGGATGTGCTCTCCTGGGTTTTGTTTGTGGTTAACGAAATAGTTTGGGCTTGGCCCTGTTTCTCAAACAACAACATGCAAAAGTTTTGAATGTACCAAAATAAATATTTAGTTGGGAGGTTGCACGTGTTATAAATTTAAAGGGTAAAAAGGTAAAAATACATATCAAGTGATCAATTAGGAGCATTCAATAGTCAATAGTCAATAGTCTAAAGTGAGAAAAAAAGATAAAAATACTCATGACGATATCAAAGTTGATGTAAAAATTATTAAATTGTTACCTTAACATTCGCTAGTTTTGAATATTAAATGTTAACTGTGTTTATCACATATCAATATTTGCTAACATCAATTAAAAAAGAACAAAAATATTTATGAAATTGTCCGTCAAGAACATTCAATAGTTTAAAATGAAAAAAAAAATGTAGGAGTATTTATAACATTATTTTAGCAAATGTAATAGTAATTAATTCATTAAAATACATGTTGCGTGTTGTTTTTTTTTTTCAAACTATGTATCCCAACTCTTCACTTTTTCTATCTCTACTCATTTTTTTTATTTACAAAACTTGATATTTAATATAATGAAATAAGTTGCACGCAATCAAAAATTGAGAATAGAGAAGTTCTGGCTTACTATAAAGAACGCAAGCATTTTATGAAGGAGGTTGTTTCTGCTTGTAATGTCTTCGTGATTACACACACCTACGCCACCTACCTTAAGAATATTGGCACAGCCTTAAGCGATTTTGTTCACAATAAGATTTGAAATCCTCAGTTGACTTTAAGCATTACTGTAAAGAAGTGAGTGATTTAATTTGTTATTTGGTCAATTTTTTTTCTCATGTGGTATTCATATATGATTAATTAACCTTCGTAGAATACCACTTGAGAATATTTTTGTCCATGTCAGTGAAACACGGTCAACTTTTACTTATATGTTAACTAAACGGTCAACATTTAAAAGATTCAATGAATTGGTTACTATTGCTACTAGAGTAACATTATGGCTATTCGTGTCCTTTTTTAACTTTAGGTTGATAGATACACCTGTCCGATAACTTTGTTGGTATTTTTGCCCTTCTTTTAGTTCACATCAAACATTAACATATGATAAGCACAATCAGTATTTAATATTAAAAACTAACGAACGTTATGGCAAGTTAATGGTTTGATTATTTATATACTAACTTTAGTAACGCTATAAGTATTTTTGCCTTTTTTATGATTTCAAGTTACTTGATGCTTTTGACAAATTATTTAATGGATATTTTTGCCTATTTATACTAAATTTAAATAAAATACACATCAATTTTAAAAAGTTACACTTGCACCCAAAAAAAAAAAAGGAGTATGCCAAACAGCTTAGTTTTTACTTTTTACCTTGGGTTTGAACGAGAAGAAAAATAGACGACAAAGAAAAATGATTTCCTTAAATTAAAAACAAACATTTGGTTAATTTTTATGTTTTAAAAAGATGAATTTCAAATTAAAAGAAGCTCTGTGTTATCTTAAAAAAAAATTAAAAGAAGCTTGCCCATGATTTTACATTTGTGTTATCTAAATCTATATACAGCTTTTTCCAAACTAAAGACATTCTCCCTCCCTTCCCATATAAAATACAAGCATTTTTTTTCCGATTAATTTGGGTTTAAAATATAAACATTTTAATATTTGTAAAAAAAATTATTTTATCTCTTATATTTATTAACCTAGATTCTTGTTTTATGAATTTATGATATTTTTCTCACTCATCATAAATTGAAACTAAGAAAAATAATATATATTTTCATGAAAATAAGAATTGAAAAAACTAATCTGCATGTTTTCATAGTTTTCCTTAATTTTAAATTTGGCTTCTATAGTATATTTTATTTTAATCAAGCCATTAATGTTTGGTCTATTAAATATAGTAATCCTTGAAGGTTAAAATTAATAATAAATTATTAAATTTTTCAAACAAAAATACTTTTGGAGTTCATAAAAAATTAATTTAATATTTTTATTCAAAAATAAAAAATGAAAATTTTATTTTATATGCTATTTAAATTTTAATTATTTTTTATAAAAATTCTATAAGTATAAGAAATATTTTAAAAAACAACCTAATTATATAAATTTTGAGTTAAAAAATTATTTAATTAATTCTAAGGTTATATAATCATTCAAAAAAATATAAAAATTCTTCACTTTGTTTTTCAAAGAAAAAATTCAAGGATTTTATTTTTTTAGGAATTAAAAATTTTAATTGATCAAATTATAAAAATTTAATTAAAAACATAAATTGTATGGATGTAATTTAAAATTGAAAAAATTATAAGAATTTATAGATATATTTTCTCATAAAAATTTTATTAATATGTGAATCATTATTAAAAAAATTTTATATTTTAAATCGGAGGAAAGATATACTTGCCTTTATTATAGAAAAATAGATGGGAGGAAATAACTTTTTTCCTATTTAAATAGGAGAGAAAAAGTGAGAGGATAGAAAAATAAAAAAAATGAAATGTGAGGCTCACCATATTTTTTCTCAACTTCTCAACTTTTTCATTTAAAAGTGAAAAAATTTTGAGAGTAAAATTTCATTTAATCATCTACCCTCCCTCTCCCTTTTATTAGCTTTGGTTCTACTTCAATTTTTATAATTTCGAGTCAATTAATTTAGTTTGTGTAGTTTTAATTATTTAAAATATTAGTCTTCATAGTTTATTTTATAAAATACAGGATTAATATTTTAAAAGATTTAAGGTTTAATAGAGTTAAAATTATAATATAGGGAGAAGTTCACACACACACACACGTTGAAGGAAGCGTCAAGACAGCAATCCATCAATTCAAAGCTATCAGATCTGATGCCCCTCCAGTCTCCACCACGAAAACACGATATTGGTGCAATCCAATACCGATATCCACGCATATTTTGCAATTATCCACTCTAAAGCTCATACGTTTATTTTCTCGTCCAAATAACTTCCCACTCCAAATAACTTCCCACAAAAAAACAACAAACATAAAATCTATTCGTTGATCCTCCTTCGTAAACTCCCATGGTAGCATGTCTCTGCACGTGTCACATGGCATTCTCAGTCGACATGAGTCTTCCTCCTTCGCCGGTCACCGCCGTGATCTCACCTTCGTATCTTTGTTTCTTCAAGCCTCCTCGGTCCTTTTGCAGTGGCACAGTCTTCAGTTTTGAGTTTCAGAGGAAAGAGAGGCCGATGAGACAGCTCAAGTTCGTTATCAGTGCGGAGCTTTCCAACTCCTTCTCGTTAAATTTCGGATTGGATTCTCAGGTCCTTTTGCTTCCTACTTTTTATAATATTTCAACAATGTTCTTCCTTTTCAGATTGATGGTTTTTGAAATTTGAATTTCTTGCTCGTTTCTTTGGAAGGTTGCTAATTGATACATTGCTTGAGTTACTGGAGTTCCTTTATGTGCAGTTGCATGGCCATTTGTGGGATTGTGAGGGTTTGATTTTATCACCATTGGTGCCCCAAAGATATTTTGATGATAGTAAGGCTGGAAATCCAGGGGTGATTTTGCGTGATCGTGCTTTAAAAAAGTTTTGCGAAATCAATATTTATTCGGCAAAGCCTGTTTTACTTTATATTCGTTCAAATGTTATAATACGGCATCTTGTTGATCGCTTCACTGTTTTTTCGATTAATTTTGAATATGCTGACCTGGTTACCCACGTATCATGCTCTGGTTGCCGTGATCTTCTCTTGGATTCATTGCTTGGGCTTTCTTTTTCATTTGAGCTGCCCGATCTTCCCTCTTATATTAAATTCAATACTTAAAAGAAGCACCATTAGCTATTTTCAGAGTCCATCTTTCAGTTCTTTAAGAATGTGCCCTTTGGTGGTTGAGATATACACTATTGACAAAACAGCTGCTTGCATTATAAGCCGGAATATATAATTCAACTCCCAGGATAATTTCTAGTCCGTTAATATACATCTATTTGTCTCCTTGTCTTCATTTTTTTAATTTATGCTTTAAAGAATTGACTGGAGAAGTTTCAGGCCGTAGACTGACATTTTCTTGCAAATTTATTTTCTCACTCTCTTTTCAGAATTTGAATTCCTTTCATTCACATGATCCATCACAGTTGCGTTGGATGGGACCAATGCCTGGTGATATTGCTGAAGTAGAGGCGTACTGTAGGATCTTTAGAACTTCTGAAAGGCTTCATTCAGCATTAATGGATGCATTATGCAACCCAATGACTGGTGAATGTAGTGTCTCATATGAGGTTCCATCTGAGGAGAAACCTCAACTGGAAGATAAATTAGTCTCTGTCCTTGGATGCATGGTTTCACTTGTGAACAAAGCCAGGGAAGATATTCTTTCTGGTAGATCCTCAATTATGAATGCCTTTCGTGTTGCAGAAGTAAGCATAATGGAGGATGAGCTTCCCCCACTTGCCATTTTTAGGAGTGAGATGAAAAGGTGTTGTGAGAGCTTGCATGTAGCTCTTGAGAATTATTTGACACCTGATGATAATCGAAGCTTGGATGTATGGAGGAAACTCCAGCGACTAAAGAATGTTTGCTATGATTCTGGTTTTCCCCGTGGGGACAATCATCCTTGCCATACACTTTTTGCAAATTGGAGTCCTGTTTATTTATCCACTTTGCAAGAGGACACAAAGTTTAACTCTGAGGCAGCTTTTTGGACGGGTGGTCAGGTAACAGAAGAAGGCCTGAAGTGGTTACTGGATCAAGGATATAAAACTATTATAGATCTCAGAGCGGAGACTGTCAATGATAACTTCTATCAAGCAGCTATTCATGATGCTATTGCATCTGGGAAAATTGAAGTGGTTAAAATTCCAGTAGAAGTTAAGACTGCACCTACAATGGATCAGGTTGTCAGGTTTGCATCTTATATTTCAGACTACAGCAAAAGGCCTATCTATCTTCACAGCAAGGAAGGAGTTTGGAGAACATCTGCCATGGTCTCCAGGTGGAAGCAGCACATGACTCGCTCTGCATCTCAGGCTGATGATAAGTTGTCACACCACACAAATGGATATGGAAAGCTGCAGGACTCTTTGATGAGTGCAGAGAGATCCTCTCTGGACAAGGATATTGATTCATTATCAGAGAATTTGGGTGTAACATGTGATAGAAGTACCTCCCCAGAGAATGATATTGATGACCAAAACATGCAAAATAGTTGGACCTTTAGTCAATCCACTAATAACTACAGCATTTTGTCAGAAGCCACAATTGCAGCTAAAGGAGAGGAATCATTTCCAGGATTGTCCAACAAGATTAATCCTTTCAAAGCTCAGATTCCTCCTCGTGATGTCTTTTCTAAAAAGGAGATGTCCAGCTTTTTGAGAAGTGGGAAGATCTCACCGCACTTATTTTTTAATTATAAGATTAAAAGATTGGAATGCTTGCCAGATTCAAGGAACGTGTATATTGGCAGGTTTCATGGGGGTGTGATCATCAGCAATGGTTATAATCATGTACCCAAAATTGTGGATCTAATAAGTTCCCAAGGGTCAGCTCTTCCACAGATTAAAGTCACTGACAATTCTAAGTCAGTGAATGGAAGTACTTCTAATGATGTTAAGAGCAAGATAAATGGATTTAGTGAAGGAAATATGTATTCCATGCCGACTTCCAATGTCTCTACTATTGTGAATAGACGCTCTGATGATGTCACAAATAAATCTCCAAGGGGTGGAGATGGTAAAGGTGACTCTGGAATAGACTTACACAATGAAGACTCAGGACCTGTTGAAGGGAATATGTGTGCATCTTCAACGGGTGTTGTGAGGTTGCAGTCAAGAAAGAAAGCAGAGATGTTCCTAGTACGAACTGATGGATTTTCTTGTACCAGAGAAAAAGTGACTGAATCTTCTTTAGCTTTCTCTCATCCAAGCACCCAGCAACAGATGCTTATGTGGAAATCTGTGCCAAAGACTGTATTACTGTTGAAAAAGATGGGGGAAGAACTGATGGAAGAAGCTAAACAGGTGATTATCTTTTAAATAGATGTCAGGGAGCAAGCCAGTGCTAAGCTTATGTCCTCTTCGTTATTTCAGTGATCCAGACATCAGAGTTTCCAAACTTGATGTTTTGGAGCAATATATTTGCAAAAGGTTTAGATGTAAATATGTCAGGCAATGATTTGGGGAGCATGATTGTACAAGTTATGCTCATTCAACTAAAAGGCCAAAAGAAATCTTTGACCTTCACTGGGCTTAAACTGACCAGCTCCCAAATTTTATCCTCTTTATCTAATACCAATCTATCAGCTATTTGGTATTTCTCTGATAAAAGTTTTGCATTCGAGTCATTGCTGCATCAAATACTTTGATGTTCCTCATGATTGAAGGTTGGATATTAGTTTACATCAGCAGCTATAGCATTCCGTCTATCCCTTTCATGTGTTCAATTTCTATGGATTAATTTGTCCCATATTACTTGCAAAGCTAAAGATTTGAATAAATGCAGATAGTTATTTATAGCTAAGTTAACATACTTAAGGGATAGTAGACAGAAAAACATAAAAATTTATGGAGGTAGTTCTCCTCACACCAGGGGAGGAGATGGATTCAGGTTTTCAAAATTCAGGAGCTACAAAATTCGAGGAGACGGGTATTATCAAATGTGTTAATCTGTAATCTAATTATATTTATTATTTTTACTGATTGTTCAAAGTATATTTGATTACATTGTTTAAACAATGAAAGTGGTTAAACAAGTTGGTTATTGTGTTTGGTCAATAACATAAGTCAACATTAAATGAAAATATGATGAATTGGTACATATTTTTGCAAAAATTTCCTTACAGTGATTCTCCCAAAAACTTAAGTTATCAAGTTTTGTTATTAATTTGACTAAGTCCACTCTCAGTTCAGTTTCAATTTCTATCCTGTAGGTTGCTTCTTTTTTATATTACCAAGAGAAAATGAACGTTCTCGTGGAACCTGATGTACATGATCTATTTGCTAGGATTCCAGGGTTTGGATTTGTTCAGACCTTCTACAGTCATGATACCAGGTACTGGAGTTTGTGACGTTATGTGCAATAATATATTGTTTAATTCTGATGAAGCTGCACTTTAACTGCTAGTTTCTTACCATATCAAATGCCTTGACACAGTGATCTGCACGAGAAAGTAGATTTTGTAGCATGCTTGGGTGGAGATGGTGTTATACTGCATGCTTCAAATATATTCAGGGATGCTGTTCCCCCTGTTGTATCATTTAACCTTGGCTCCCTTGGTTTTCTGACTTCTCATCATGTATGCTTTATTTGACTTCTCATCAATTGGACAATATCTTGAGCCATAAAGTAATGTAGGCGGCTCTTCAGTAATTTATTTGACTTTCATTTTGTCTTCTGCATATAGTTTGAAGACTACAAGCAGGACTTACGTCAAGTAATCCATGGAAATACCACACGAGATGGGGTATACATCACTCTCAGAATGCGTCTCCGATGTGAACTTTTTCGTAAGGATAACACAGTGCCTGGGAAAGTATTTGATGTCCTTAATGAGGTTGTTGTTGATCGGGGATCTAACCCTTACCTTTCAAAGATAGAATGTTATGAACATGGTAGACTTATAACCAAGGTGAGTTTCATTAATTTTCACCACAACAACAAGCCTTATCCCATTAAGTGGGGCCGGCTACATGGATTGTATGACGCTATTATGCTTTATCCTTTATCAAGCTTTTGGAAATATTATTAACTAAGAGGTCTTTTTTCACCACCCCTTCAAATTTGCAAATAACTTTATTTTGTAGATCAGGACTGTTGACATTTTCAGTATTTGATATCTCTAAACACCAATAGATAGCATTGTTATCGATTCTTCATGTATGATGACTGTTATTACTTTCAGGTACAAGGTGATGGAGTCATTGTAGCTACCCCAACGGGAAGTACAGCCTATTCTACAGCTGCTGGAGGTTCCATGGTAAGCTTTTGCTTGAGTTTTATTTCTAGTCCTATATATTTTAAACTTATAAAATTGATAGCATGAATTGGCTTGATATGCTTTTATTATTGTTGTTGTTGTTGTTGTTGTTATTGTATGACCTTCTATTATCGATTCATCCAAGCTTCCCCTACAGTCTTTTAAAATCTCTCAACACAGCAGCGGATGTGGGATACTGCGTTTTAAGCGTCTTCTCACTCATGGCATAGCTTTATAGGTGGTGGTTTCCTTTTTCATTTTTCAGGGACAAATACCCTTTTTCATTGAAAGATGATGTCTTATCAATTTGACACACGAGAATTTTTATATTACTGCATTATTCAAGTGTGTCATCTTGTTCTAGTCGCCCTCCTTGGTTGGGCATTAAAATACCATCAACACCATCTTGAGCACTAAAACAATATGTGAAACTGGAAAAATATGATATTCTTAGCAGTAAAGTAATAAAAAACCGAGGTTTTGAAACCCTGCAGCAGCTGCAAAATCTGTGGAGCTGGAAAAATATCATATTCTTAGCAGTAAAGTAAGAAAAACTGAAGTTTTGAAACCCTGCGGCAACTGCACCATGCTGCAAGGCAAGAGAAAGACTGAGATAGGTGGGCGGGCCAAACCTGTTAATGGGGCCCAGTAATCCTTCTCAGTCTTTTCTCACATCACAGCAACTTTTGGCTGCTGCAGAGAAGCAAGTCCCCGAAAACTGTTATATAGGCTAACTCGGTTGGTAAGATAAGGATGGAGTGAGAAATGGATATATGGTGTTCAGGGTCATGATTTAACCAAAATAAATAAATAAATAAATAAAACGGTGAGAAAAATCTATCTAAGTCATAGCAATACCATCTTAGAGATGTGATGTTAATAGATTTTATTTTTCTTGTTCTTGATGGATGTTGCTTCATTTCTGATTTCACCATTGTTTACTGTAATGTTTATTGCTAATTTGGAAAAAAAAATTGCAACAGGTACATCCAAATGTTCCTTGCATGCTATTTACCCCAATCTGTCCACATTCACTCTCATTCAGACCAGTTATACTTCCAGATTCTGCTCAATTGGAATTAAAGGTGAAGCTAATCATTCTGTGTGGTGAAAATGGATATCGGATGTTCTTGATTCTGTGCCAGAATGATAATTAGGAGTTATTTATAATTTGACAATTGGTTTTTGTAATTAGGATGTGACTTAACTGGGGTTTATTATTAACAGATTCCAGAAGATGCAAGAAGCAATGCATGGGTTTCATTTGATGGGAAGAGAAGGCAGCAGCTTTCGAGAGGAGATTCTGTTCGAATATCTATGAGTCAGCATCCACTTCCCACTGTAAACAAATTTGACCAAACGGGTGATTGGTTTCGTAGCTTGATTCGCTGTCTGAATTGGAACGAAAGGCTTGATCAGAAGGCTTTATAAAGTATGTGAGCGTGAAAAACACTTGAGTATTATTCTCCAGAGAAGACAGGACCCGTGTAACTATTGTACAGATTATACATACATCTAGATTACAGAACTCAAGAGTTAGCTGATAGTACCAGTTTCTTACATTGGCTTCCCATGTAAAGATAGGATTTGCCAATTGCTTTTCCACGTTATCTTGACAAGATGCTGTTGTATAGTTACAATATTTTAAGCACTGATATGTTTTTCTTAGGAGGATAAGGGTACATCTGAAAGTCAAACATTGTCCGCTAGATTGGTCTTTCCCTATAAAATCTTTTTTGGAAGCAGGAAATTCTGTGACTGAAAAGTTTAACTTCCTGCAGCACAATACAGGGAAGCAGATGATTCTTATGGTTTGTTCCTAGTTGACTGAATTATTTCAAACTTCGTCATGTACCATTTCCCTGTCAAGTATTTAAGACTTATTACTGTATTTGGCCAGTTGCCGAGTTCTCAAAATATGTATGTACTTGATTAAGAAGCAAAAGAACATGAATTGATTCTAGTGGTGATAATGATGCAAACTGATTCTAGTGGTGATAATGATGCTTTACGAAATGAAAAGGGAAGGTATGATTTGTTGTATTAGATGCCGGTTAACCTTGATTGCTGATAACAGAGTCGTCTTCTGTCTAAATTTTCTAGTGATAGGTTGAGTCAGAATAACTGGTGGTTGCTGTGAAGAAGAGAGAAGTTTCTATCCAAAAAATATAAAGTGCAGAATATATGTGATAGTACTGTTATACATGCTAACCTCGACGGAATCACAAGTTCTCACCGCCATAATGGCAAGACAAATCAACACTCTAAAAGACAAGGAAAAACAGTGATTACTTTCACCTACTACAGCTTTTGTTTCTCTTCCAAAAATAAAGAGAAGGACAACTTGGCTGCCAAGTTAATTTTTGGGCATCAAGTATTTCCTACATCAGTATCACCAAGAGTCATCAGCCACGAGTAAAAGAGGGTCCATTTTTTTATATGGTTCTAACAGCTTGGAACCTTGGTTCCTTTGGAAGGAACTTCTGCTCAGCATAGACAGATGCGTATTCATGAAAAACGAATCTAGGGTAAGCTGCTGCTTGGTTTGCTTTTGCCACCAATTGTGCCGCAGGTCATATGATGGCTTGAAATGATGGATTGAAGAAGGAAGCAATTGATCCCCTGGTCCTATCTTGGATGACTAAAGCCCGATGCTAACAACTCATGTATCGACCATTGCTTAGGACCTCAATCTGATCACAGGTGTTTGTGACAATAGCATTTGGCAAAGGTTGGACATCAATCCATTGGCCATCTTTGAGCATTTGAAGACCACCCACCTGATCATCTTGGAAGAGTAGGATAACACCTCCTGCACCAGTGTGAGCTCGCAGGCCATTCACAAGCTCTGGATCAGGACAGGGTGGGTAGTGGTTGACCTTGGTACCAAAGAAGGCATTTTCTCTTTCTCCATCATTCAATGTCTTCTTGATGTATCCTTTGGGTAACCCCAAATTCTCATCCATCACTTCCACGATCTTCTCTGCCAATTTCTTTAACTCAGACCGATATTCTGCCGTGGTTTCTGTATCATCATGTGAAAGGTTAGTTATTAACTCATGTTGCTATTCTACTCATTCTGTCTTAATTTTTAATTTCATATTTTGAGTTCAATCATTTAAAGTTCCTATTTTCAACCCTGCAGAAAGTTCAAAAGGTTTTTCAGTATATTTTTGCGCTTGTGGAGAAGTTGAAAATTTGGTAAACTCCTGTCTTCCTGAAGCTATACAAAAACATAATTTCTTAAAAAACTAAGGATATCTGGCTGTGTTTTTAGTACAAAGAACCAGTGGTTTTGAAATATACCCGAATCCGGGAGTTTTTTCTGGCCATTCATTGTCGTCCAGGAGAATGACGACATCCTCCCAGTCCACATTTTCCAACTTCTTACCACTCTTCTTTTCAACCATTTCATTGAGTAGCTTCACTGGCGTTGAGCTTTTGAAGTTTTCCTCTCTTTTCAGTTCATAGCACTCCGAGCTAATCTTCTTGATCCTCTCAAGCAACTCCTCTGGAATTCCATCGTTGACCAGCTGTAAACAGTGTGTAAGTTCTGTACCTCACAAGAAAGCCACAAATATGGCGGGTATGTACCCATTTCTATTTCAGGCCTTGAACATATTACAAGCCATCCATTGTAATAATAAACTACACGAGTACCTGGAAGAATCCCCATTCCCAATCTGTGCTATAGTTTTGGCCCTTTCCTCCCCGTTTAGCTTTGAGAAATCTATCACGGGAATTGCCATTAGAATAGAACTGAGCAAGATACAGAAAAGCTTTGATGCTTTGGTGTATGCTTGTTACGCAGAGAGAGAGCAGAGAGCAAGAAGTTTTTGAGAGTTTGAACTTAGCTAGCCTGTTCTGTGACGATTGATAAGAAGGGTCACCTTCGCCTATTTATAAGAATAGCTTCCGGTCATCTTGGATTTAAGCCCATAATATCGCTTTCCTTTTTCGGTTAAAAAGTTTATGTTGTAAATGGTTTGATTGCGGGGAACTTCTGGCCTGTAACGCATGCTCTGTCCATGCACATCTCTAAACTTTCCACCATTAGTTGTTTCGTTTAATTAATACATAACCCCTTTGGTTCTCTTCCATGATCACACCATTGGAAAGTACTTTGATATATATATATATATATATATATTTTCCACTAAGGCACTGCTGCCTTCACATTACAGTTCAAAATCAACCAAGCCACTTTAGCTTTGCATGGTTATGAAGTTTTGATGATTTTAATACTAATGTTTTCAAATTTAGTACTTCTTCTCCTATATTTCAGTACTAAAAATTTTGATTTTACATTAATTTTTTTATAAGATCCTTATTTGTCATTCTCCCTTAATAAAATTTAGTTTAATAATTAATACAAAATAAAAAATATTTTAAATTTTAAGATTTTGAGTTAATATTCTCTTCTCCCATTTTCGATCATTTGAAGTCTAAAAACAAAGGAAAAATTATTAGATTATTTGAGTGAGTAAACTTAAATTTTAAAATTTTGAATTAAGATATAATATTTTTTCACTGTTCTTTGTTCATTTGTTTTCTTTCCTCATTTCCAATGCTCTTCATTCTTACATAACTCATGCATGATCATTCAATAAGGTATGTTTATTCACTTCAATATTAGGTGAGGGATTATTTTTGAGTAGTTGATCAAAATTAATCTCCGTACATTTGTAGTATATATAAATTATGCTTCATCTAGTTCAAAATATAAGCATATTTTAACAATAATCCATATATTCAATGAAATTCTTATTCTCATAAAAATATATATTATTTTTTTACCTTTAATTTTAATTTATGAAGAATGAGAAGAAGACTATAGATTCACAAACACAAACATATAGATTAATAAATACAAAAGGCAAAATGGAGTTTTTTTGTTTTTACAAACATTAAGTTGTTTATATTTTGAATCAGAATTAATTAAAAGAAAATACTTATATTTTAAATGGGAGGAGTAAAATCTAATAAAATTAATTTAAAAGTTGTAGCAAATCACATGAATAATGTAGTTGAATTTAAAAGTTAAAATCTAAAATTTTTGTCATAAAAAAAGAATAGAAAAGTGTCAATAACATTTCCATCCTTAGTGGCAAAAGGTCATGGATTCAATCTCGCTAGTACTTCAAGAATTTATTTGCCCTTTCTAATTCAAAAAATAAGAAGATGGAGTGTGAGTGGTTTGTTAATTATTCTTTTAAGTTTTCGTAATGTAACATAAAAGAGGTGTTTAATATTACACACACACACTATTAAACAAAGCTCTGACCAAGCCTTCCTTAACCCTAAAACTGCCTGAAAATCTGTCTGTCAATGTTCAGTGGTGAAATTCTTGTAATCTTGAAAAAGCATGCGTGGGTCAAAGTCAATTGGTAATACTATGAAGCATTACGTGAAATTTTCTCAGTAAACTAAAAATAAAAAATTTTAGTACTGAAATATAGGAGAAGAAGTACTAAATATAAAAACATTAGTATTGAAAAATTCTAATTTAATATTAATATACTTATAAAGTCCTTTCTTGTCATTCTCCCTTTTACTAACTAGGGACTTTTTCTATGAATTCAAGTATACCCACATGAATAATAACCCTTTAAATGTGGGAGAGAAGCCTCTCTATTTCTCTCCATTTCCCTTCACTTTCTTCATCTCAACCATTCTTATTATTTTATTAAATAATTAGAATTAATGGATGGTTGAGATGGAGAAGTGGAGGAAAATGGAGAGAAAGAAACGAAAAGACCCTCCCCCTTTAAATGCATGGCTTTGGAGTTTGAATCATTGGCCTTGTAATTTGATTCCGATGCTCAAGTTATAGCTTTAACCCATCAAAGGTTATTCTCATAGTACCTAAAAGACAATTATCGACATATCAAAATATGATGAGGATAAGAGAAGGGATTCTCTAAAATTCTGAAAGCAAAAGAATAAATTGTACTTAAATTATAAGTTGAGAAACATATGATATTCTAAATTTATTTTTTATTGTAATTTTTTAAGTTTTGAAAACAGTACAATTTAATTCTTACCATTAATAAAAGTTAATTTTGGCCATCACAAGCTTAAAATTATATAAAAGGATAGAAAATGACAATAAAAAATCCAATAATTTACATAAGAAGGCCAACAAAAATATTGGTCTTTTTTTTAATTTTTAAGGTTTTTTTTTTGTCAGGTCAACCAACAATCAAAATTATTTTGTGAGAATGACAAGTAAGGATCTTAAAAAAAAATAAATGTTATTTAATACTATCGTTTCTAAATTAAATACTTCTTCTCTCATATTTCAGTACTAAAGTTTTTAAGTTGACATTAATTATAAGGGATATTTTAGGAAACAAAAGATTAAATATTCATAGAATTTTTGTTCCTTACAAACTTGCAGTCCTGTCTATTGCAATAATTTTGCATCTGTTGAAGTCAAAAATCCTAACTCAAATATATAAATAATCAATAATGAATGACGAAGGGCAAAAAAAAAAAAAATCCAAGTTGAACGAAAGCAGACAAGACACGAGGTGGAAGGAGTCAACTTCTCTCCATTAAGAAAAGCCTCATCTGCCTCTCCACTGAGGCACAAGCTTAATTTAGACCATTCAGATTTAATTTGAATGGTCGAGATTTAATATTTAATATTTTATTTTTAAAATAAAAATATATAAAAATATAAAAAAATTTAATAAATATACTTATTAATGTTCGAATTTAATATAAATGGTTTAAATTTAATATTAATTTTTTAAATAAATTTATTATTTTGTTCAAAATATATTTGCACTTTTAGAATATATTTAAAAAGTTAATTTACATTTATTATATTAAATTTGAACTATCAAATTGATAAGTATATTTATAAAAAAATTATAATTTCTATATTTTAAAAATATAAATAAAGATAAAAATATTAAATTTAAATTATTTAAAAGATTTATTCTGTCTCAATGGAGAGGTAGGGGAAGTTTTTCAATGGAGAGAAGCCACACCGAGGTGGAAGGAGCCCGGGAACCAGAAAAATAAATATGTACTGTCACTGTGGTTCATTTTGAATTAGCACATAAAACGCTAAAGCTCAGCCACTCTTCCCCCACCTCCTCTTTTTCTTTTTTGCCGGCAATCTCAACCATTTAATAAGGAGAATGTATAATAAACTTATTCTTGACTAATTAGTATTTTAATTTATTATCAGATTGGATCTAACAGAAAAAATTAATCCCTTATAACATGATAAATTAAAGTTTGAATCTTTACTAAAAAATGTATCCACATTTAATATCCGACAGTGTTTTGAATATCATTGCCTTCAATAAGAAAATATATGTAACTAACAAAAAAAAAAACTTTAATCTGATTAAGCTACATAAATAGCGTACTAATGACACAAATTTTAATATGAGAGAAAGAGAGAGTGTGTGTGCTCCCACGTACGTGCATGATATGAATTATAATTGAGTCGTTTGCAAGAGCAATCTAATTCCTTTTTTTTTAAACCAAAAAAAAAGTCCTCTGATAATTGCTTTATTTTTTATTTTAAGAAATAACGTCGGGCATAATGCTTGCTTAAAAGTACTTCACTGAATGATCAATTCGACAATAATTCAAATTCTCTGCAGTTCAAATGAGAAAATTATAAATACAGTTGGAAAGAGAAATGGTGAGTGTAATTAGAGAGAAATTTCAAAAATTTTATCAAACTTTTAACGTTAACAGTTCCAGACTTTCAGCTGTATTTTCAATGGCACAAGCTGCAGAAGCAGAAGTACGAGAATCCAAACTTATATGACACACACATGGTATTGGGTGCGTGTACAGTGTACATAGACTTGGTTTCAATTTGTTTGCCGCACTTTTTTATGTGCCTACTTTTTTAAAAAAATAAATTTAATTTAGTCTTCTCGTCTCCGCACAATTCCTAGCTCTCGTTGGTGATTTTTCATTGCAAACTGAAGCCAAATTTATTGTTTTCAATGTTTTAAACATTATTTGGTACAAGTTTCGCGACCAAGTCAACTGATTGCAAGATTCACTGAATGATAAACTACATTTTGCATTTTAAATATAAATTTACATTTCGATTATCTTGGAAGCGTTCGAACGGGATGACATAAACTATAAAGATGTCTTCCCCCAATTCTAAATTTCTAGACCTAGTTCAGTAATTCATAGAAATTAAGAAAATTTGTTAAATTAGTCATTTGTCATTATTATGTAAAAAATATGTATCACTTTCTCTAAAATACTTCTCTTTTAATGAGGGTATTAAATGCGAGGGAAAAGAAAGTAACAAAAACAATAAACTTAATTAGGGTAATATGAAAAAAATAATTAAATATAGAAAATAAAGAAAATTAAAATCCTATTTTTAAAACTAAAAAAAATCATTCAATTAAGTCCTATAGTTAGAATTGAAAGGAGACATCATATCTGACTCCATTAATTTTTACCATCTTATGTTTACTCCATGTGGTTGTTATAAATTTTATTTAAATAATGATAATATATCGTCTTCAAAAATTATATCTATAATGACTTCAGCGGACTGTTTCTATAACTATAATGGCTAATTTCCCATGCTGAATATTTATTTAAATTTTAAAGAATCCCAGTCTCGCCGCCGTTACTATTTTTAAATGATGGGGTAAAGCTCTCTTTCAAGTTTCAACTTTCAACTCAATAATCAGCGCTTCTATATCTATGTTTCCACTCAGCAATATTCAAAATATAATATTAAATTATAAAAAACCACGTTATTAACAAGTCATTAACAATGTAACTCACCTTAAATAGTGTGTATGCATGGGACTACAATATGACAATTTTTTGTCAATGGTTTGTGTTGTATGCTCAAAATGCTCACCAATTTTTGCAAATTCAAATGATGAATTTTTCAAATGAAATTAGGATTATACCATTAAGAAATCGCCTATAAAATTGTTCAGTAGTTTTTCAAAGGGGAAAAAAATCTGTACATGTTGCAAGCCTAGAAGAAACTAATGAACAAAGCATCCCTGGCCAGCATAAATGTTATGCACATGTCATTCTTTAATTTTACCCTTGAAAAAATGTTTAATAATAAATTGTTGTGTATAAATTATAGTTGCTCTTGATAGTTTGAATTTAAATTTTTACCCACTCCATCTCACCATTAACGCCTAGAGTTAGCCTAAGTAATACTATCTTCAATCCTTAGTATGAACCAGCTTTGAAAAGAAATAAATAATCTTTATTGTAATTTATTTGATGAAATATTAGGGTTAATATGCAATTTAAAACATTAAACTATAGGTTGGAGATGATTTAATTCTAAATTTTTAAAATGTGCATTCTGAACTTTTAACAATCAAAATTAAAGCAATTTCGCTTCTACCGTTAATTTTTAATAAACTTCTGTCAAACTCATTTGCAAAAAATTATACTTTAGGCCCTAATTTGACAGGCATTTGTTGAAATTTAATAGTAGGAATAAAATTGCTCCAATTTTAATTGTTTAGAGTTTAGAATACACATTTTTAAAAGTTTAAGGTTAAAATTGCTCCTCGACCTATAGTTTAGAATTCAAATACATGTTAACCCATAGTAATATTAGAAATTTTTCAAGATATGAGAAGAAGGAATGAAAAAAAAATGAAAAGGATGATGATGATGCTGATGATGATGAAACTATATAAAAAAAAGGTTGTAAATTGTAATAATGAGTAAAGTAATTTTTGGTGGAAAGTATGGGGGGTATAAATGAGACAATGTTAAAGTTGATTATTTTTATCTACTGGGTGGAGTTTTGATAGGCTATTAGTGATTTAATGGTAACAATGAGAGCGTAACATATATTTTACTATAAGCGCATTTTTATATTTTTTTTCTTGGTTTTCTTTGGCACAACGGACTCTCATAATAATATCAGTGAAAAAATATTATTATTTCCTAAAAAAAATCTAAAATAGATTTCTCTTCATATATTTTTTTCTTTTTCTCTTTATTTATCATAAAGCATTAGATTCTGTTTTATGAATTTTCACTTTTATCAATCAATTCAAACAAAAAAACTTAACACACTCCTACAAAACCTTTTTAAAAATTGATATAATATGCAAAATAAATTTTTTTCTGTCACTATTAAATTATTATTGATTAGAACATGTTTTTTTAAATTAAAAAAGAATTAATATATAATTTGAACCCTGAATTATAATTTAGGGATGATTTGAACCTTAAACTTTTAAATAAGTGCATTATAAATTCTAAACAATTAAAGTTAGGGGCAATTTTATTATTGCTATTAACTTTCAACAAACTTATGTCAAATGAAGTTTAAAGTATAATTTTCTTCAAATAAATTTAACAAATATTTGTTGAAAGCTAACGATAGAGGCAAAATTATCACAATTTTAATTGTTTAAATTTTAAAATACACTTTTTTTAAAGACTAAAGTTCAAATTGCTCTTAAAGCTATATCTCAGAATTCAAATTGCATATTAACTCAAAATATTAATTAATTTTTTTAACATTATCCTATTTAAAGTGATCAGCTATGAAAAAGTTCATTTAAATACGATAAAATCATAAATTTATTTAATTTACAAACAAAACTAATGATATAACCATATTTTCTTAATTCCAACTAGATGATTAAAGATACTTTACAATATAATAGGAACTAAAGTAGTATACTCGTATTTTGCATGCAGTGCTCATTCACATCTCAGTCAGCCGGTTAAACATGATTACCGCTGAATCTGTTCGTCTATGATATTGCCATTCAAATAATGGAGATGAGGAAGAACAACAAAAATATAAAATAAAACACTGTAAATTGTATAAGTGATTAAATTTTATATAAAAATAAGCTTCGTATATCTTGCATGCCACCTGTGTATGCAGAAATAAATGACAAGAATAAAATCCTAAATTATGAAGATGCCGGATCACGACTTTCACTTTTGGCCCTCATGGGCACAGACGGGCTTTGTCAAGCATTCATGATACGTTATGTACACATATCAGCTATAGTAATGGTACACGCTGGACGTGAGATAGGTAAAAAGCGGAGGGCAAGATGAGAAAGTCTCCTTGTAAAACAGAAGATTGCGGCGCAGCAAAATGCTAAGCCTCCTTTAGGAATGACCAAACTTCACTTCTGGGAAGCAACAGAAAATTATTACATCCAGGCAAAGGCACCAAATAGGTAAAGAACTATCCCTCATATTAACGTTGCTGTTAAAAAGGAACCATGTGAAAAACCATCCTCTAGACTTTGTCAGTGCATCCAGGAAGATGAAAGAGAAAACCTGCCAGGCGCTGCCCCCATATTATGAAACTCGCTCATGCTGTAGGTGAAATGTAACACGACTAGCGGAAAAAAACTGTTGCAGGCATACTGATAGAGAATAACAAGCACAAGTTTGATTCGCAAAGTTGCTTTTGCCCTTAAATAATCTACCTTCATTTCAAAGCATTGAACAGTTAGAAATCAAATAGTTCTTGGGATTCCATTGGAGATGCCCAATATTGCAGCAGTGACTCCACAGTTAACCTTCGGGTTGCGCTAAGCATTGAGATGAAAAACCGACAACCATCAATTTTGTACTCTTCAAGAGGATTTCTATGTCCAAAACTCCTTACATTTACCTGTCAGAACTCTGAGATAAGCCCTTTGCTAATAAGAGATTAGAAAACTCAAAAGGGTCGGACAGGGCAAAAGGAAAATTTACCGCTGAACTGAGCCTATTCATGTTTACAAGATGATCTCTCCAGAAACAGTCCAGCGTTTTCACAAGAGCTGCTCTCTGCATATCACAAAAAATATAAATTAAACAAATAATATTTTTTTTTCAAAGAAGGAAATAGAAGTTGTAAAGGCAAACATACAAGACGTTGTAGGACTAGTGTTCCTAACCTAGGAAGTGATGACATAGACATGATATTGAAATGACATGGCGACATGACAAAATCTGAAGCGCCGCTTAGTGTCTTGTGTCTAATACAAAGGCCTTATGCACTTACAATCCTTTGCTGCAGTTTCCAACCAAAAAAAAAAAAAAAAAAACTTTGGCTGCAATTCTGCTGATATATTAATTGGTTAAAACACAATACTGGCACTACTGCAGCAAGTTGGCAATTTTAGTCTGTGTTCATTAATTAATAAATGATAACCAAACATCACCCGGACAAAATAATAGGCTAAAGTGCACCTTTAATTCTTTAACTTTATACAAAATTTTATTTCAATCTCTTAGTTTTATAAAATATTTTTTTAGTTTTTTAATTTGAATACTGTTAATTTCATCCACAAAAAATTCCTACATTTAACTTTTAAATATTAACAAAACATTTTTAAATGTTGACATATTAAGTTTAATTTTTTTAAAATAACAATGATTGTCACAAAAAATAATCATTTAAAATAAACCGTGTTAAAGTTAGAGGATTTTAAAAATGCTTTATAAAATTAAGGAAACAAACTGGAACTTTGTATAAAATTAGAAGACTAAAAATACAATTTAGCCCAACAAAAATAGCTGACCTCAATTTCCTGTACATGTCTCTCGCCATAACCAGACTCTTCAACAACATTTAAATATGAAGCAATTAAAAAATCTCCAAGGTACTTGCGAAGAAGATTACTGACTGTCCGAAAATTTCCCTCCCTACATTAGACACAACAGAGGTGGTGGGTAACTTGTGAATATATGTAAACTTCCTGTATCTACTGTGGAGCAATTAACTCACTCAATTAAATCATCAGAGCATATAGTAAGCCAACGTCTCAATGAAGATCCCTTCCGGCGAATTCCACGGAAAGCATTTGGAGGTGCTGGCAAATTTGGAAGAGAAAAGTTGACAATATCAACGGAACCCACATCATGCAATCGTTCAAGTGATTTCAGCAAAGTGTCTCCAGAAATCCCTGCAAAAGATTCTGCTATATTCTATTTGAGCTTATTATACTATAACAGTACATATCACTTCGCGCCAAAATCAGATAAAAGGAAGAATAATAAGCTTACCATGTAACACCTTTCCACCAATTGTCATAAACTCCTTAATAAGCTTACTCAAATTCCAACTACCTGGATGCTACAACACCCACACAAAACAATAAATTAAAGGAACTGGTGGATTGCAAAACATGTCATGCTAGAGGAAATCTTAGCCACCTTTTGTAGATCAACGTTACTGAAGACAATCTCATCCACCACAGCTTGCATGTACCTACAAGAAATTCTCTTTAAATTATAAGGGAGCCACTAAGTGTGGGATGGCAGTAACTAGTAAGAGGTTTGGGTAAACTGCAAAAAATTTTAGGCTCAAACCCATGCCGTTGTGTATCATTTAATAAGGAGGGAAGTGGGTGAGAAAAGAAGAAACAGTGGAAGGAAAATAAATACAACAATATGCCCTGACAACCAACAAAACTGGACAACAAAGATTATTCAAATGGATCTGGCGATATCCAGTGACATTCAGCTAAAAATGCTTGCCACACATTTTGTTTGTGGTTTGTGCGATATATCAATCAACATCAATGTTGCACATTAAGCAAAATTGAATGAGCATGAAAAGGGGAAGAACGGAAAATAGAAGATACACAATTCTAACTTGAGCAGAGTTGAATGCCAAGGAACTCGTTTAACTCCAAAACGAAACATGATACATCCTCATCCCACCAAATAAATGCTAATAATTCTACCGTCATTTTCCTGAATCACACTTGTTGCTTTATGCGACTAAAGTTTCATGCCCCATATGTCAAAACTATAAAAAAGGTTACAATTGTCAGTATGCTGGAGCCCCTGAAAGCAAGTTATCAAGTAAGATAGGCATCAAATTAGTCATCATGAATGAGAATTAAAAGGGACTCACTGGTATATTTGTTGGGAACAACTTTCAGCATCCCCTGTTAGAATTAACTGCCTAAGGTCATAAACATGCTTTCGTTGGACCTGACAGTAGAACAATTAGTAAAACAAATTAGTTTCTAAACGATCATTTTAAGACTTCTGAAAGACTAGAATGCATTCCATAAATTCAACTTCAGATGGATTAATGAATAATGCATGAAATATGTAATTTGTAAAACAAAGAAGAGGGTTAGCTTGGGTAGTTACAGAGGTTAGGGGCATTGGTTTATCCTATTAAAAGAAAGGAGGTCATGTGTAACTAGCTGACTTTAAATGTTAGTGAATTTCAGAATTCTCTCTTGGTCTCTGTTTCTCTTCTCTCATTCTTTCCCTCTCTGTTTCTCTAGCTTCCTCTCTCTTTTTTCCCCTTTCTTACCTATTCTTATTTATGTGCGGGCATTCTTCTTTACCATCCAGATAAATAGCAAAATCCCACAAAAGAGCAGGTGCCATTGCCACTAATTTTGTACTTTCACATGAAGAAAAAGGTAGATTTCACTTAACAGTGAAGATAATCCCCAACATCTAGTCTTCCATTCAAAAAGAAGCCAGGGAAGGATATTTATCCAAATTATACAAGATCCTCCCCGAGTTTCCACAAATCATGAATATGATGTAAGCCCTTTAGTCTGATCTATGAAGGATCAAAACATCAGCAAATACAGTCTAATGGTAAAAAACGACAAAAGTAGAGAAGATTTGAGTTCAATAGTCATAAATTAAAAGCAAGGCTAAACTTTGCATCTTTCTTGTTTCCCCTACAGAATTGGGAGTTTCTTGACCCCAAAAAAACTGTTGCTATAATTAACCAAAGTTTGCATAGGAATAAGGTTAAAATCTTCTCTTATGGAAAATACTCATAATTTCACTTTACTGCGTCACAGAAATCTAAATTTCAATAGCTGAAAATTGTTTCTAGACGGTAAATAACTATTTCAACTAGAGTATGTTTTGAAATATCTACTTGATGGAAACACACCTCTAATACTTCATCAAACTCAACTAGGCTCTTTCTCACACCAAAGAAGTACTTCTCTGCATTAATTTGCAGTGCCAAGAGCTAAAGAAATGATAACTCCAGTTAGTTGTTGGAAGATTATATTCAACAAGTGCAACATACAATAAACGAATAAATATTTTTAGGAAAAGAGGTCTGGGAAAAGAAAACATAACAATAGATGGGAAAAAAACAACGTCCAAATCAATCAAAAGGCAAAATATATAAATCGTGACCTGCTTGACAATGGCATCACCCTCAATTGGCATATCTTCATCATTTGTAATCTTTGATATAAGTCTCACTGCCCATTCAGTATCAAAATTGAACTTCTGAAACATTTCATCCTGCAAGCTATTTTGTGATGATATAGTGTGAGAGTTGGCTGGCTATCCTTGTTTTGCAAACCACACCTTACTCTCAGTCCCTCCCACCATTGAATTGATGGGAGTAAACAATAATTGAGGAAATAAAAAAAGATACAATTACAGTCATATCTTAAACTAAAACAATAGCAGAGAACGAGGTAGAACCCCAATTCAAAGATTTACCTCAACGACAAATTATACTCAAGGCAATAAATAGTTTCTAGCTTGCTGCAATTCTGTTTGTATTTGAGAAGAAACTTTAAATGCGCATAAACAACTCTAAATTCTACATTGACCTTGCAGTTCCATAAAATCGATATTCACACTATAGGGATGATGTTTCTTGATAGCTACAAGTAGACTTATCCATATTAACTACTCAATGCTAATATACAACATTGTATCGTAACCAAACTGCTTCCCTTTATTCCAATACTTGTACTGCCAAAAGTACCCCAGTGTAAAGGAATAATTTGATCGACCACAAATTGTATTATGTCATCCTATCAGAAGTGGGTAAGATGACAAAGTACTGAACAGCTAGGCTCGAAAAAATATCCAATAGCAGTATAGCCACTTAAATGGACCAAAAAATCCAGTTTTTGTATTAACACAAATTTGTTTTTGATCATTTATTTCAGTAAATAAGAAGAGGGAGAATTACAGTAAAGATAAAGAGCAAACTATCCCTTTTTACTGAGATTACAATAATATTTTGTGAAAAAAAAGGGCCTAAACAAGATAATCAATGTGAATGAGAGGACATGACAGGTTGAAACATTTAGACAAGGTTCTGAGGAACAAAAATTCTTATACGGCATGCCAGTAAAAAGCTTCAAAGTCCTAGCTTGGTCTAGAGTTGTGACAACTACCAAGAAGATATATCAAAATCACGTAGTAGTAGTAATATACTACCTGACCATAAATCGTGTTGATCCAGGATCCCCCTGCCTTCCAGCTCTGCCACGGAGCTGGAGAAAAGATTATCATAAATGAATTAAAACCATATGTAACTAAAATTCATGAAGCCACGAGTCCATGGCACACACTGAAAGCTCAAAAGAATCATTGCAACCACTTAGATTATCACTATGTTTAAATACCCACCTGGTTGTCAATTCTTCGGGACTCGTGCAAAGATGTACCAATTACATGAAGGCCCCCAAGTCTTTTCACCTCAGATCCTTCATTCAAACAGTGCTTTTCACAATCCTCCAAAACTGACAAATAAGCAAGTGCTACCGCTGGACCAAGAGGATAGATCTCAAACTCTTCATTTGCAAGCTTTTCCAACTCATCCAAATTATATGACTGACTCATTTCAATAGCCTCAGAGATGAAAGATTTTGCCTTCTGATATGTCCAGCTTTTGACTTCGCTTTTGGATGCATATTTAGCTGAATAATCATGTTGCAAAGAATATTACATTTGAGTTCATTTATATAATAATGACGACTAAAAGGAACCAAACTTCAAAATCGAAAAAAATAAACGAATAGAATCCCAGACCCATTAAGGCTGTCTTGGCCAATAAAGCCAGTGATGATGATCCAACCTTTATATTTGGAAGCACCTGTACAAAAAAGTTTCATTAATTAAGACATAAACTCCAGAAAAATACTAATTAATATAGAAGTATTGAAATTCAGGGTTTACTAATTCTCTGCACTTATTATATTGAACAACAATCATGTGCAAATGTAGAAGTTGGCACATACTCAAAACTAAAAGACAATGTTAATCCTAACCTAATCATAACAGAACACAAACTAATCTTAATTTTAACCACAACAAAACATCTAAATTAGTTCTAAAAGTGAAGAAGTGTTCTTCAAACATAACAAAAAATAAACCTCAATCAAAACAGAACAAATAAAATATGCGAAAACAACTTGATTGAAATAAACGTATTTTCCAACAAGTAACCAAAGGGATTACCTTTTGTGAAATTGCCTCCCCAACAAGTTCAACATTAGAAGCTTCTGGTGTCAAAAATGAAAGTAAGCTGTCCTCTATAATTTCTCTGGCGAGCATCTATGCAAGGGGGAAAGAGTAGGCAGTCACATCCAAGACAAAACTCATGCCAAAGTGACACTTCAAACCAGATATATCATATCGTAGAAGATATGCAAATGCTTTTATGATTTAAGATGTCTGAAAAAATATGCTAGTATATATAGTTCACAAAGAACACTAGCCACAAATAACTCATCTCACTGGGACACCTACTTTTGGATTTCCACCAAGGATTATATCGGTGCCCCTGCCTGCCATATTTGTAGAGATTGTAATGGCATTTTTACGTCCTGCCTGTGCAACAATCTCAGCTTCTCTTGCAGCATACTGATTTTTTTAAGAGGCAAAAAAGGGAACCAAAATGATGAGAGAGGAATAATAAAAAATTATCTGGTAAGTCAAATGACAATGACAGAGAGCATTTGAATTCAAGGATACCAGATAATTGTACCCCACATACCTTAGGTCGAGCATTCAGGACATTATGGGGAATATTCCATTCCTTAAGCAAACCAGACAATAGTTCAGAATTTTCTACACTGCATTAAGAAAGAAGCTTGTATGCAATTATCCTCTCAACAAAAGCTCAGTACAAAGTTGAGGTGTAAATACAATAAATATCCAAAGATCCCATATGGTCAAGTAAAACATCAGAAGTCAAGATTTCATCATATGATCAAAATAATAAATAAATAACTAGAGATGAGGGTGTGGGACCAGAAGATATGATGTGCCAAAAAAAAAAGGCTTTTAACTAGCAAAAAAATAAATAAAAATATGATATAAATCAGATTTTGCAATTCATACCCAGCAGAAATGCCATAATGTCAGGACATAATCATTAAAACCTAAGGGATGCAAAGCCACAAAGGCCACTTTCTTCCACAATGTAACATCAAATAGACAGCAATATTTAAAACTATCGCAAATTATACCACCATTAATCATTTTAAAATTTAACTTCCCTTCAATTGATTCAATTTCCACCCAATGAGAATATGGCAACTTCAAAAAAAATAGAATTACAAATTCTGGCCTGCTTAATACTGATGTATGTATATAATGAAACATGTATGTTGATAGCTCAAATTAAATATATAATACATTATAAGAGCCAGCTTCAAATAATTTTTTTATAAAAAAGAAATATTATCAGAGAGAAGAAAGAAAGAGGATAAATCTAAAGGTATAAGGTATCAAGATAAGGTATCCTCATGTAATTTTATCAAAACAAAACACCTCAATCCCAATACATATCTATCATGATTTTCAAACACCCAAAAAAAGGAGCATATTTTGCTCACAATGAATGAATAAATCCTATCAATATTAGGAGCTGTTGTTTAATCTCCTCGTTTCCGTTCTGACTTCCCCCAGAAACAATGCATTGCTTAGATGAGAAAATGCCATTTATTATTATGAAAAAGAAGAAAGAAAATGCCATTTATATGATAAAATAAATCAACAGGCAACTAACAAAATTTACCTAGTTGTCCCAACTAAGACTGGACGACCTTGTCTGAACATATAATCAACTTCACGGCGAACCTGCTCCCATTTCCCCCGAGCAGTCTTAAATGATAAATAAGAGAAGCATTAAATACTTAGAAAAAAGTATAGTATATTAAGGGAAAATTAAATTATATAAAAAAGTAGCAATTACAAATAAACAATGACCTACAGCAAAAGCTTGGATAGGTAAATCCTTTCGCATGTTAGGGAGATTAGTGGGCACTTCGATGACTGGCATTTGAAACATTTTTAAAAACTCTTTCTCCTGCAATGATATATAAAATTATTCTTTTCAAGAATACATCATTTCACATTTAGAATGGAAATTGCAAATTAACCATTCAAATTTAACAACAGAACAATATAGTATCTTTACTTCTGTTTTTGCAGTTCCGGTCATTCCTGACAACTTTGGATAGAGTTTAAATAATGATTGGTATGTGATCTGTGCGACAACAACTGAATCTGCCTGTACAGGGAGATAATAGTGAAACTCAGAATCAGACAAATATTGATCACAGGCGTCATAGAACAAATGAGAAGAGACAAGAACAGTGTATACCTGAATCTTTAGACCTTCCTTTGCCTCTACAGCCTGGTGAATCCCCTCAGACCATCTCCTTTTCTCTTCAACTCTTCCTGTCAGCTGAAAATTTGCATCAATTATGTTCATCATGTGACCAGATTCATATAGAAGCATCAGCAATAGAATGGTAGTCATTAACTACTAAAATTAGGGTCGTACACTGCTAGTGGATACACAAGAAATCAAACGTCATAGATTAAACTTTTTGCCAACAAGAACACTCTGCACGAGAGTTCAGTGTTTAGATCTTAACAAAATTTTGGAAAACCCACATTATAATTGGTGCAGAACACTAGTTTATTTCACTTCTAAATGGCACTAACAGTACATAAAAATACAACATCAATAGAAAGTTAAGAAAAGGAGAACATCATTATTACAAAAGAGGAGGGGGGGAGAACATGATAAGCCACAATGCACGATGTATGCATAAAAATGCCTTACTTCGAAAACATGAAGAAACCTTTAGAAAAATACCTCATTGATAATTAAGGCCTTCCCATCTCTGACTATGTATTGCACATCTCGGCGATAGAATTCTTTAGCTTTCAAAGCATTCATCACAAATCTGCAGTAACTCACCGCTTACTACCATGCATACATGAAAACATAAAATAAATGTGCCACTAATTAAACCAGAACAGATCCAGTACTTTTGGCCCAAAAATTTTCTGTGATCACTCAAAATCAAATGAAGCAAAAAGGAACGAGCAAATTCTACTTATTCTAGATTTAGTATTATACCACTTCATCCAAGAAAATAAAAAAGTTTAGAGAGAAATAGAAAAACAATCAATTAAGAGAGGATTACCTATGTTCCCAGAGAAAGCAATAGAATTGTGATAGGAACCAACGTCCCTTGTTGGTTTATTCTAGGAAGAGACGTGGCAGTCCTATGTGATGTTGTTTATGTTTTATGGCTTTTATTTTAGTTTTCAGTTATTTGCTGTTATTTTTGGTTTCTTAAGGATAAGCCAAGGTGGTTATAGTTAGTTATTGTGTCTTGTTCTAAATATTCTCTCATGTAACTCTTGGGATATGAAATGAAGTATTATTCAGACATATTTGGAAATACTCCTAACTTGTTATGTTTAGATTCTGATTCTAGAAGAACACCCTTACTCTTCTCAACCTTTTCTTCTTCCCCTTACCAATTTCTACTCATTCTTTTTCAAGATTCTACCAAATTGCAAAACAGGCAAACAAGTGCTATGAACAGTATTTACCTAATAACTAAAGACATCCAGCTTATATGTATATTTACCTAGCCCAGGGGTCATTTTCATCCCAAAGGTCATTTGTTTCAAGAGCCATTTCAGCAAGAGCAATTCCTTCCTCAGTCAACTCGACAGAATTATCTTTAAGCTCCACATTATAATGCTGTCATCAAAATCAGTGCAGATAACTATTTTCTCAGTTTTACAGTCCTTAAAACCACATATGAAAAATATTGCAAGAAATCGTACTCACAATTCCCCGTAAAAGCAGTTCGGCCACTTTTGCAGCAACAGGGTATCGTGCAGCATCTTTACTAGCCTGTGATACAGATATGGCAGCTAGAATCAACCTATCATTGAGCTCCCTCCATCAAAATGATCATTTAAACAACACCAACCTTGATAGATGTTAAAGAAATTGATGGGCAACAACGCTAAATATAAAGTTAATTACCTCACCACTAATTAACAAAGGATTTCTTCCTTCATCTATCAGGACAGAGTCTACTTCATCAACAATTGCAAAATGAAATGGCTTTGGCCTGTTTTCAGACAGAATACTCACAATTATTCCTTTAGCATTCAAAATATATATTAACTGACTGCCCAAGTAATATACACTACCATCTCATCACAAGTTGTCCGCTACTTCCAGCAAGATTATCTCGTAGGTAGTCAAAGCCAAGTTCCTGGGGGAAGAAGCAGGAAAAATAAAAAAGTAAATAAATCAAGTGGAAAAATAAATAACAAGTAAAATGACAACATAAGAAACAAATGAATAATGTAATTACCGAATTGTTGGTGTATGTTATATCACATCTATAATAAGATCTCCGCTCTTCAGCAGTCATCCCCCTCTGCTTGAAAAGATCAGATAATGAAATTTAAAAGTAAGCCATGCTACGATTGTTCATTTAGTAAGATTCTCGTTTACGTTCATTGCTACAGAAATAATAAATATTATTGAAAATCAAAACAGGTTCGTCCATAATTTGTACTGTTTCGCGTTTGCCAGAAGGCTTGTCCATACATTAAATCATTTAAACAAAAGCTTTATTGCAGCCTGCCACCAGACTAACTTTATTAACCTGGTAGTCTTGATTACCTGAATAAGACCCACAGAAAGACCTAAGAATCGATGAATACGACCCATCCATTCAGCATCACGTTGAGCTAAATAATCATTGACAGTTACCACTGCAACGAAAGAGATGGAGAGAGAGAGAGCAAATGAAGAAGCAGGTCCAGTTTTTCTTGTCAAGCATTGAATAGCTGCACCTAAAAAAATACTAGACATGTCAAATTTCAACGCCAACAATGCATACCATGGACACCCTCGCCAGTCAAGGCATTAAGATATGCCGCTAAGGTGGAAACTAATGTTTTTCCCTCCCCCGTTTTCATTTCGGCAATGGACCCATCATGAAGCACCGCTCCACCAATAATCTAGCGAAAAAAATATGCACCGCTGAAACAACTCAGATACCACTGCTCATATCTATGCAAAACATTCGACCAAGTGAGACAGAAACCTGGACATCAAAATGGCGCATTCCAAGTTTTCTTCTTGCAGCTTCACGAACAACGGCAAATGCTTCTGAAAGATTACATTGAATAAAAAAAAAATGACATTGAAACATCGAACTCCGACCAAACCATTTGAGTTAAGACGCGAACCAGCTTGAATATCAGCAAGCGAATCCCCTTGCTTAAGCCGGAGCCGGAACTCCTGGGTTTTCGCAGTCAACTGCGGGCGACAATAATTCGTTTTAAATCCAGGCTAAGTATACAGAGGTGATCATCTTCATGATGAAATTTACAACCTGCTCATCAGAGAGTCTCTGCATCAGCGGCTCAAAGGCATTGACCGAGTCCACCAGACGATAGTAGTCGCAAACAACCCAGTAGTTCAAGCTCGCGTAATCGTTGATAGTTCTTTTAATGCGGCCAATGTTCTCCTGAAACAATATACAATCATCACTTAAGCACAATAACAAACAAGTAGTGGGCAGATAGAGCACATGACTACACCTTCACAGACGCAACAACAGGCGTGCACCTGCCACAACGTCGAGGCAGCCGACGCCAGGGGTAAACAGAAGAAGATGGTACAATAAAGGTGGCATTGCCATTTAAGAGAGTTGCTCTCGGAAGAGGTTTTATAGCAAAAAAGTACGAATTTGAGAGCGCAGGCACAGTGGCCATAGCAGTGCTCCGCTTTTACCTGACCTAAACTTGAACAAGGGGAAGAGATTAAACAGAGCTTTGAATCATTAAATGTGCCAGTTGATAACTAAAATGTCTGACACCGGTTCAGAACGGGCCTGGAGAGCGAAGACCGAAGAAGGAAAGGAAAGAACAATTTGCTGGACGGGCAAGACATGTTACGCCGGACGACGCCATCGGGTCACCCTCAAGAAGCAACAATTTCAGGTTAGACGACGCAAATTCCATCGCTCATTTTCATATTCATATTCATAGTTTATAAATAACAATATTTTTTAGCCTATTGATACAAGATTAGACGGTTCAAATGAAATTTTGCCCCAAAAAAATATGGTAAAAATGAAATAATGTTAAAGAAAATGAGATTCAAATTGTCTTAAATGAAACCTAGAAATAAATGGTGCTACTTGATTGAATTTTTTTTCATTTATTAAAATTATAATTATAAATATAGATGACCATTTCTTAGGTGAAAACTTATGCAATATTTAGTAAAAAAATTATTTTTCAACAAAAGAGAAATATATTTAAAAAATAAATACATTTTCATTTCTTTTTTAAAAATAATTTTCTACTTAATAATCATTACATTAATATTTTAAAAATATTTTCAGCGTTGTAAGATACAAACACAAACATAGATATGCTTGTATATTATTATTATTATTATTATTATTAAGTTAACTTTCACGCATCTAGAGAATTTTTAAATTTTTAAAATTATTTGATTAAATTATTTTAATAATTTAAAAACTTCACGCTATGTTTAAAATGTATTAATACAATAGTAACCAAAAATATATTAATAAAATAGTTTAAAAGTTTTTTTTTTTGCCGAAAATAAAATAGTTTAAAAGATCGAACACCTGCTAAAACTACGTTCGTTCTTTAAAATTCTCCCTCGATTAAGGCGTTAGGGGAGAACAGGCATCCACGGAGGCGCGCAACTTAATTAGATTGAGGATGGGGGCCGTAGCCTTAAAAAGAACAAAAAGGGCCTGAGGATGGGCCGCTGCCCCAGCAATTATTTTTACATACATTTTTTGACAACTGTGCAAATGGACATCAAATTTCATATTATGGCCCATTCTTCTCCCATTTGGGAACGCGCTGATTATTAAAATTTAAAATCAATTATCCAAATTAGATAAAAAACACGCCCTGACGCCCCCATTTTCGGTCTACTGTCTGTCCATCATTCATTCACATAGAAAGGAAGCTGGTAGCCCATACGGATTCCAGAGATTAGATTTGAGAGACTTTGAGTGTGTTTCGATCTTCGGAGAGGTTGAGATTCAGAGATCGCGATTTCGAGCGAGATGAGGAATAGAGAAAACAAACACAGCGCGAGATTAAAAAAAAACTAGTTCAGAAAAAAATCTCCAATAGATAAATCGTGAAACATAAAGCAAGTAAACATGGAACTCAGAAATTGCATTTATCTCTAATTATATACAAAAAGGAGCTTACAATGCATAAAATTACATACAAAAAGGAGAAAAAGAGATGCGCAAATATTTGTTGTAATTTTTATGCATTCCTTGGGGGAAAAATTAAACACTCATGTACTTAAAGTAATTTTTCCTAATCAAATTAGAATGAGTGCATTTTATTTTATTTTATTTTTCTTTTTGCCAAAAATATTAATAACAAGAATTAGCGGTGAGTAATGCGTGTAAAAACCACCTGTCCTAATTTGATTAAAATTACCTTAAGCATATAAGATTAACTACCTAAACTTTCTCCTTGATAAAAAACCATGGAATGATAGATATCAAGTAAAAGAGGCAAGGAGTTTGCTTCACCAGTCATTGATTTCTTCAGTGTTGCAGCTGGAATACCATCTTTTATTGAATGGAAAAAAGAGGGGATACTTTGAGATTGAGAGGAAGCCAACCTAGCAGGAGGGTTAGGACTTGGGAGCGCCAGTAACAGCACTAGTTCTTGAACTTAACAACAATGGGGCATCTCTTCCCCCCACCATTCTTGTTTCTTGTAAGCCAGTCAATTCTAGCTCCACTCAAACAGATTATTAACACCTAAAGGGGGAGGGGGACATGAGAATTAGCATGGATTTGACTCGAATGCGACTCAACGAAGCCAATGTGAAAAACTGATTAGTTAGAAATAGAACCATACCTCGTGAAACACTACCGATTCCAGTGATAAACCTGGAGGAATCAAACAACAAATTATGCCAGCCAAGCGTTGATAATTCAAATGCATAAACAACAACGAATTAAGAGTGATGACAAGTAAAATAACCATAAACTCAAAAATCATTTTTAGAGTTTTGGTTTAATTGCTAAAAGTGCGACGCAAAAATTTTTGTGGCATCTTTACAATGCTTACACTAAAGATTTACTAACAAGTTTAAAATAATTCGAAGGTAAATATTGAAGATCAGACCACACTACATCTACAATCTACAAGTGTATCAAAGATTGATATTACAAAATGATGGTGAAATTGAGGAAGGTGCTACACATAGGATACAAACTAGTTTGGCTCAAGTGGAGAAAGGCATCAGAAGTTCTTTGTAATTTCAAAGTGCCTAAAAAATTTAGAAGTTTTATCAAACTGATGTAAAGCAAAATGATATTAAATGCGAGTAAATGTTAACCATTAAAGGGACAATAAAAACAATATTGGGTGATAGAGATGAGGAAGTTAAAATAGACGTGTAATCTTACAAGAGAAGACAAGATCTGTAATAATTATATATGAGGAAAAGTTCATGTAACATCTATCAAGAGAAAATAGTGGAAAACTTTCAGAAATATTCAAGTAGAACCAAATGAAAAAATGACAACATGAAACATCTGTCATCAATAGAGCCAAATTTCTGACATCACACGGCACTCACTTTACAGCCAATAATAGCGTTTGCATCAGAAAAGTGCAAACTGACATTATTTCAGGTTGCTTGGCTTGAAAAAATAGTAAATCTCCGTTAGTGAGGTGAGACTTACTGCATCACTAGAAATGAACACAATAGCTAAAAATATAAACTTCAAGATAACCAATCTTCAATTTATGCATAACGCATCATCTAGAAGCTTCCTGTCTCATTAAAAAAAAGAAAGAAAGAAAAAGAGCTGAGGCCAGGTGACAAATAATTAGTAGATGATGTGACTTACCTTGACAGACTTATCAGCAAACCCAACAAATAGTTCTCCTTGCCAGCATAGCATAGCTGTTACAACAGAACTGCAAGGAATATATCCAACTGAATTGACAACCCATTGAAACTCATCTCCTGACAATTCCTACAGCAACTTCGATAATGAGCTTATATGCTGGTTGGAAAAAATTTATGAAATAAATATAAAAATGGAATACCAACAATTAATTTTCAAAACAATAAAAGAATTAACAGAGCAAACGGACTTTACATATATTTCGACACAAATAACAGAGCGCAATAGTACATGATTTTGCACCTGCACGGCTGTACCTGTATATTAACTTTTTTGTCCCAACCCCCTGTATAGAGGCAGTTCCCCTGAATACTAATAGCAAAAATGGCACCACTATGCAATGTTTTGGAGTTCATGAAGATGTCATTTCTCCAGACCTACATTAGCAAAGTATAAAACCAATATTACCCAGCAATGGAAGCCATGAGTTATGCCAAATGAGTGCCTGTATTAGTTTCAAGTGGTACACGATTCATCGATTCCAGGAAGTAAATACCTTTATGCATCCATTTTCATGAGACGCAACGAGAAGATGTCTGTCAACTGTGATAGACAGGACAGCTTTCATCTCTCCAGGCACATCTTCCCCCAGCACTGACAACAGGCTGTGATCAATAAGACTCCACAACCTAATGGTACCATCCCAACTACCACTATAAAGAACATCATCACATAATGCTAGTGTGGAGACTACAGATGTATGACCATTCATTGCGCACATTAGAGTTCCATCCTGGGAAAATGTACAGAAATCCATAAAATTCATTTCAAACAAATTTTTCTTTCCAGCTATAACATGAGATAACAATGCAAATCTCAAACTCACCTTCAATGACCAAGCTTTTATTGATTTATCACCACTACCAGTGTAAAGGCAAAGATTTCTTGAAACAACCATAGAATGGATCCCACTAAAACGCCAATCCTTCTGCTCATACCACTTTCTCAATGGGTGTTGCCCAAAAGGGGAAATTATTTCCCAGATAAATATACCCCCTCCGCTGTCACCACTTATGCACAAGGGCTCTTCTCCATCCACATAAGCCAGAGCCATGACTTTATTCTCATGACCTCTAAAGGTATGTAAATGAGAAAAGTCCTACATAATACAGAGAAATCACATTGGTAGAATAAAAGATAAAGAGCTCGTATCATAATAGCCTTTTTATTCCATGGCAACAACCACATAGCCCTTACAACTTTGTCATATTTATAAATCAATTAACGTTCTATGTTGCGTAGCAAGCATTTAAGTCAGTTATTGCAAGCTATCCCTGGGGATTAGGAAATTTAATAACCCAATGCAGCTCAAGGAGTTGTAAATTTGCTTATACAACTGAATCTTCATCACCGACAACAGCAACAATGGCATCCTCATAACAATATTATAAATGAGATTATTCCTCCAGCGGAATGTTATCACTTATCAGACGGTTGTGTTTTTGGAGTGTTACCTGCAATGACCATACATTGATGGTTTTATCAAACGAGGAGCTAAACAGAAATCCCCCTGCAAAACCAAGAACAAAGCCATTTAAATACAAATGTGTGTAATGGTTATGATCCACTCACAATCACCACAAACCCTGACAGATCAGGCACCGCTCAAGTGAAACACTAGCCTTCGCAAAGGTAAAGCAGACATGATGCAGACACTGATGAACTAAGCTTACAATATAGGTTTCAATGTTGCACCGTACCATAAAGTGCCAACAAGCACTTTCAAAGATTTTGAAACCATTTAAGGAAGGTGCCACGTTCTCAAAAGGAAACCCAGCAACACAGAGATTCAGGATTAATATTCATTGATAATTCAAGAGCACTGATAAGGCCTGGTTACACTGAAATTCAGAAGAAGATTGCAAAATAGGGAAATAGCTATGGAAATATTAATATAAGCGGTAAGATAACCAGACCCACTACAATGGCTGCAATAATAAAAAAGGCACAATAACAGAAATGCCAGGGAGGAGAGAAATTCCCAGAAGGTGGGACCAGTGAGAAACAACAGAATACATTCCACTCCCTTGTACGGACACACCATATCCTTAAATAATCACTATTCTTCAAAAACGAATGTTATATATATATATATATATATATAACACACTAAAATTAGGATCCATACCTCCAACAACCAATCCGGTGATACAATCAAGATGGCCTCTTAGATCTTTAACTTCAGTTATTTCCTTCGAGTGGCCCCCTACAAAATCTCCATCAGGTTTCTCCTTCCCGTCCTGAACAAAATTTGGTACACCACCATCTTCTTTGTCCTGCAACTCACACTCTCTCTGCAGTGTTGAGGATTGTCGGGGAAACTGACACAACTCCCCCAGAATCAAGCAGCAATTTGCGCTGTTTCTATCTATTGCAACCTCCAAGGTGCCAACAACATCAAATGGAGGTTTGATGAGCATATCCCAAATGCATTTTCTCACATCTGCCACATCTGGGCGATTTCCTGGATGTATTTTCAAACATTTGCTGAGAGTCTGCCTCAACAACAAATACTCTGATCCCAATTTATCTTCCAACAAGCAATCAATTCTCTCCGCCCAACAAATATAACTAGCTAAAAGGTCAAGGCCTTCCTTCTCCCCATTCATTTCCACTGCATACTGGGGGAGAGCATTTCCAAAAAGGAGGCGCAGCAGCACACAGCCCAATGACCATACATCAGAGCTATATCCAACGGGGTATCTTGTGCGCCCACTCTCTAGAGTAATAGTCTCCTTCAGCAATAATTCAAACAAACCCTCTGGGCTTATGACATCCTCATATTTAAAGACATGTTCAAAAATTGCTTCTTGCTTATATGTATTACTTGTGCCACCAGAGATAGCATCCATTAGATCAAAACGAACCTTCCTTCCCTTCTCTAATGCCTCATTCAAATTAAAATAAATGCCGTCGAGCTCATCAAAACAGAAGCAAGAAAGTCCAAAATATCCAGCAACCAAACCTTCAGTGTGCAGAGCAATCAAAGCTTCACAAATATTCAAACCTCTCATTGAAAAACTAACAAATCCATCTCTATTCAAAGCATCTCCAGCGAGACCGACAAACCCACTTTTCAACTCACTGAACTTCTCGGCAAGACTACCATTGTGTCTCTCACACACTAAATATAGATGACCATCTACTAAGTCGCTCCACAAGCCATAAGCATCACATATCCTATTCTGTTTCATGGACGCTTCGAGAAACAATGCTAACTCATGCCTCTGAACCTCTTTCATCCCTTCCAAACACATCATAATTCGAGCCTCATAGCTAAGCTTTAACTTAGAACGATTGATGGGCCGTAAAGAAGCAATCGGGGCAAGGCTCAGGCTCTGGTTTTTCTTCATGCAAACTCTACCGTTCAAAGAAAAAGTTGAAATGAATCGCCCTCGTAGAAGACGGCCAAGAGCAGGGCCATCGCGGCCAGGGGTTTCGGACTCAATTGAAACAACGTCGTGGGGGAGAATCCAATCCTTCCAGACGGCATAAAACTCGTCTGACCAGAACCGAGGACAAAATTCATAGTGATCATCACCGTTCTTTGCGGAATGATGCTTCGAATTCTGCGAGACATCAAAAGAAGTAGATGGGTGTTCAATACAGAGTCTGAGGAGGTCGATGTTCTTGGGAAGGGCGGAGGGGCCTTGCTGAGCGGAGTACTTGACGAGTTGTGTGCACGCAGGGCAGCGGATGGTGGTGGGATAACGCTGTGGAAGTTCAACAAGGCAGGCTTCACAAACCGAGTGGCCACAAGCAAGAACCCGAGGAATTGTATTATATTCGTTGTAGGTTTGAAGGCAAACGGGGCACTCCGGTAACTCCATCGGAACTAAGATTGTTCGCCGTCGCGGAGACTCAATTCTAAGCTATTAACGCCGGCGACGCTTTACACACGCGGTCCCCCCCCCCCCCACAAAAAAAAAAAAAAACTGGCCGCTGGTTTCCTCGACGGTCTATCCTTGGCGGCTTCACAGTTTGTTCGCGCCAACGTTAAACAACGTTTTTTGGCAAAATACGTCGTCGCCCTTCAACTTTTCTTTGCCTTCGATGGGAAATCTTGAGAGGGGAGGAAGGGGAGCCCTTGTTTGTTGAGTCACTTTAGTGTTCAATTTGAGGTTTTAAAAAAAAAATAAAAAAATAATAATTAAAAAGATGATAATTTTAAATTATCTTTGATGTTGAAAGATTACTCCTTTAATTTTATTCATAGGAGAAAGAGAAAAAAAATTTGACTTTATTTATAAAATATTTGTTAATTTTTAATATTTTTCTTTATATTTTTACTCTTATTTTATATAAACAAAATTATATTTTTTAATAAATATTTATTACAAGCTTTTTAAATTATCATTCATAATTTTATTATTCATACTGATAAAAAATAGTTAATGAAAGCTTGGTTAACATAGTTAATAAAGAGTATTATAGTTTGATTTTTTTATTTTTAGATATAATTAATATAATTAATTGATTTTTTAAACTGTATAATATATATTTTTTTCTATAAATAAAAATAAAGGAAATATTTATTAGAGATAATGATAAAAACTTGTTAAATTTTAAGATAAAATTAATGAAATTTAAATTTTTTTTAATTTTAATAAAATATATTAAAAGTGACTTATAAATAAAATTAGAGAAAATATGAGTTATTTTTCTCTCTCTTTTTTTATAATAAAATAAATTTTATCACCTTACAAAAATTATTATATAATTTTTTATAAAATTTTGATATTTTTAATAGACTCGCAGATAAAATATAATATTAATGTATTTTTTTAAAATTTTTTATTAATATAAATTCATATTCTTAAAATAAAAACTTAATAAATTCTAATATCATAGATTTTTTCAAAGAAAAAAATAAAAATCAACTTAAATTTAATAAAAATAAAATTGTTAACGTATTTTTTATTCTCCTCCCCTTCCTTCCTAAATCAAACAAAGATTTATTAAAATACCTCCCCTCCCCTTAAACTAAATATATTTTTAGGATTGCGTCCTTCAACTTTATCTTTAAAATTTGTGAATGCCTTGACCTGACTAATGATAAATATATGTTTGGATTAAAAAAAATTATAATTGAAGTTATCAAATTAAGATTAGGGCAAAAGTCTGCAATTATAACTTAATTTGTAATTGAATACTTATTTTTTTAAAAGTCAGTTAGATAAATTAAAATTTATTTTGATAATTTCATACAAAAGTCAATTAAGATATATAATGACAAAAATATACATGAGTTTTTTTGCATATATTTTTGTGAAGAATTTAATATTTTTAGGAAAAAATATTTACCTTAACATTATGATTTTTTAAAAACAGTCAATAGTAAATAAAAAATTTATATATTTTTATCTTTTTTAATTTAAATTTTAAACATTTATTTGAATTTAGTTGAATTTAATTGAATATTATTTAATTTTATTAGTTAATATTCTATTTTTAAATTTTAACTATTTAAATATTTTATTTTAAAATATAAATTATATTTTTGATATTTTTGCATAGTTATTATTTTATTTTATTTTGTTTGTATAGATCTTGTGGATCTAATTTAAAAAATATTGATAAAAATTATTTTAAATAAAAAAATATGGACACATTTAAAAATTAAGTCAATAATTAAATCTTTACAATTTTATTTATATTTACTTTGAATTTTTTAGTGTAGTTTTTTATTAGAATTATTTAAAATAATTTTGATATTTTATTAAATTATTAAATTTTAAGCATGAAGAGGTGGCGGAAGCGACGCACCACTTCTGAATAAAAAGGAGGAGGAGCAGAGGCACGGCGTGAGTTCCTCTTGCAGCAGCGATCGCCAGGCGTTTAATATGCAGTGATGTTTGATTTTTAATTCTTTAAAAAATTAATTTTTTTTGATATAAAATTACAAATCATAATTCTAAACTTTAATCAGAATATTTAATATTTAAAAAATATTCTATTATAATTTTATTTTAATTTATTTTTTTATCTATCTCTGAATTTTATGTTTTAATTGTTATTACTGATTAGAGTAACTTTGTTGCATGATTCTTAAATTATATATTTTATCTGAAATTTTGTTTGCTATAATCGATTGATATAATAATGCAAAGGTAATTCGGCTTGCTTAAATGATTACTCATGCTTTATTTTTTATGTGACTAACTTAGAACAGTTATTAAATTATAGGTTAAAAAATATTAATTAATTTATTATTTAATTCTTGAATGATAATTTAAAAAGTATATAATAAAACCAAAGTAATAGAGTTAAATAAAATTAATTTATTTTGTGGATGAGGAATATGAAGTTTAGCTGATTGGATTGTGTTATTTGTATTCGATAATTTTATTAATTGAACTTACTTTATTTATTTAATTTTAATTTAGTTTTTTAAAATTAATTTTGTTATGAAAAAACCTCTTTTTATAATCATAATTTGAGTAATTAATTCAATGACTCTTAAAAAATGATCTAGCTCGTGCTTTACTGTAAAACTTAATTTTTATTAATTTTAATATTATTTAATAGTAGTGTTAGTCAAATACAAATATAAAATACATTGATGAATAAAAAACTATTAGAAATTTTAAATTTAAGAAAATAAATAGAAAGTTATTAAAATCAAAGCAGGATTTCTGCTTTTCAAAATTATTTATCTCATGGAAAGCAATGAATTAAGATATATGACTAATTATGATTATAATATAATATAAAATTTTATCCTCGAATGATTTGGCTTGGACTTGTGATAGTGACAGAGCTTCCCAATCCTTCAGCCAATTGTTCACTTTCTCAATACTTCATTTTTGTGTTCTTTCTCGGCCATTCATCGGAAGCCATTTCACTGCCTCCATTCCATGTCGCCACTGGTAATCGAAGGAGAGCCCAGATTCAGGCCAACATTTGGGAAATATTTATGGTGGCGTTGAGCTCAGCAATGACACGAGAAGAAAGAAGGGACGAGGCGAGCAAACTGAGACAGGATAGGCATCGATGAGACATTGAGGCACAGCCAACGAAAGATCAGATGGCGACAACGGTAGTAAGCATAATCTCCTGTCAGATTTGCATCGATGAGAAGGAAGTGAAGAGCTCAAACTCGTGAATGTTTGGAGGCAGGGCGAAGGATCAAGCACTTAAAGATAAATGAAGAGATAGAAATCCAATGAGAAATTTAAGCTAGATCTAAATGCTCGGTGGCTTCGTTAAAAGCCCTTGTTTATCCCTGAACACCTATTCACTTTCTTTTTTTAATCCAAACAAGATCAAATAAGTTTTTAACTTTCCAACATTGGTTTTGGCCATCCCAACTTAACCAAACATACCTTAAATCATTTGTGTCTTGAATAACTATTATATAAGTCATTTTAAATCCCACATGTTAATGTGCTTGACAACCATTATGTAAGTCTCATTGTTTGCATTTTTTAAAACTTTTTATATGGATTGAGAAGTTTTTGCCTCCAACCTTTTTTTTTTTTTGAAATCTATGAGCATTGTGAATTTAATTTTGGATCATTTTTATTCTTGAAAATTTTAGATCGTATTTTTTAGAATAAAATATTATAAGCAAGTCCCAATCTCTTGCTCTCCCTCCTTTATGTTCCCTGCTTTCTCTCTCTTTTATTTATCAATCTTCTTTACCATGCTATGCAATAAAATTAATAATTTGAGCTAAACTTAAAAAAAATTTAGGATCGAGTTTAATAAGATAATATTTTTTAAATGTTCCTCAATCTATACTTAGTTATAATTTTATGTGCATTTTTTAAAAGCAATAAAAATAAAGAAAATGATAATAACATCCCAAAAGTATGAATTAATTACAAGTAAGTTTTTGACAAGGTTTTTTGTAAAATAAACTGTAAATATTAATTCAAATGATTATAAATAAGAATTTGAATTATAGACTAATTGTTATATTTAGAATTTAGATATCATATTTGTAATTAAAATTTTTAAATTTATAACTATTTAAATTAATATTTACATTTAATTTTTTTAAAAAGTTGTCAGGAACCTAACTGCCCTTAACCTCCTCTAAGACTTGACTCTCATTTTCCCATTGAAATATCGTTTCATGACTCAAATGTTAGATTGAGTATTGATGATTAATAATTTTTCATGGAATAATTAATATGTTTTAAATATGTGTTCTTGAAATAATAATTAAATAATTATTCATAGTCATAATATGATTATTAACTTAAAATAGAAGTAAAATTTAGTGCAGATATATTAATATTCATTTGTCCATTGTTCTTTATTTCCTCTTGCTCATTAGGTTAAAAGTATACAAATTATAAATCAAAAACACTAATTAAGCAATGTGAATAATTAAGGTTTAAATTCTCATTAAGAAAGGTGCCCACACTTAGTATCCAATCATACTTTGAACAAGATTGCCTCAAATAAAAAGAGATATTGAACAATAAAAAATATTAATTACTCTTTTAAAAATAAAAAAGAATAAAATCATTAGAGTAGTTGGCAGTTCAATTGAAATTACCTAATCCCTCTCTATACATATCTAATCCGAGTAAAAAAAAAGAAGTATGGCCATGTAAGACTAATTCAATTGACAATGATGGAGTGGAGCTTATTATGGATTGTTAAAAAAAAAAAAAAACACTCTTTGTAAACCATTAAAGATTTGGCTATGCTTGGATTGCCCTTGAGCTAGCTTTTAGTGACCCTTAACCTTAGGTTAGGGGAAAAGCCCGCTGCAACATAAAAAGTCTTATTTGGGCATAAAAACATTAAAAAAAGAAAACATTAGAGGAGATGTCTGTTTCAGTAGAAGTTATAGATGGAACTTTTCAATGCTCATTTTGAAGCAAGTTAGGACATTTAATATTTTTTATATTAAATTTGTCTCTCATTGTCCTCTCACCTCACCCACCCATTGCTTCACTTTTGCCGTCTTCACCCTTTAAACACCAACCATTGCATCCGACCTCTTCTTATTGCTATCATTGACAATGTCCATGCTCATTGCTGTCATTGCCCGTGGAGGTTGTGTTTTCCTTCAAGGCTCTTGGTGTCTCCTCAATCTTGCTCTACTTGCCCCTCGCCCGTTCATACAATATAGGTCGCGAGATCCTCTTGTCATCCATCATCAAGCCCTCAAACCTACATGGTTGGTCATCTACTTACATGTCTTGTTCTTGTCTCCTTAGTATCTTCTTGTTGTGGGTTCCTTGCTTGCCTGGTCATCGTCTTTTGTTCAAAATCTCTAGACTCTTGACTAATTAAGAATGGATGTAGATTTGATAAAATAATCATTATTTTTTTTTTAAACTTGATCAATCAATATTCCAAGACTAATTCGACACATTTAGATGAATTTTTTTCCTAATGTTGATTTGCTAACATCAATTAATTTTAACTTCAATTGCAAAATTTGCAATCTAAACATACAATTAGACTTTGACCTGAACATTTTAAAAAGTTTAACTTTTTAACTAACTTAGTAATCAGCAATTGGCATTTATTGTTTTTTGAAAGATATAATTTCCTCTTGAAAAATCTTTAATGTATAAATGTGTGTGATTTAAATCTTCTGAAGTTAGGTTTGGTGAATTATAGTAAAGTTTTCATTCTTTAATATTTAACTCATTTTTTTAAATATAAAATATTCTCTCCATTTTTTAAAAAAGAAATGCCATTTTATCTTATCACAACCAAACTTTTAGGTGAAGAAATAAGTCATGTTATTTATAATTTTAAAAGAGAATAATTAATGAGTACTGTTTTTATATTATGCATAAATCCTTCTCCTTTCCCACTTTAGTACTTGACGACCTTCTTATTAATACATTAAAGTTTTGGAGGCCACAAACATCCAGTAGGGGCATGAAATTTCATATCTAAGAGATTGGACATACGTTGAAGCAAAAGTAAAACAATTGGTTTGGTTGTAACTATTGACGATGACAATTGTTTGATCGGGCCATGTTGTCCTCCACTACAACTAAGCAGCAAGTGAAAAAAACGACAAGCGTTTATCTCTGGGGTTACACTCATGGCAATAAATAATTCGAGTCATGCTCAAATATAGAAGTAGATTCTGCAGTTCGAGTTTAATTTGACTGTAACATAGAAACGTATTCAAATATGCCTTCTTCTGTATACGTTCTCGCTCGTATCAAAGATCACCACAATTACAGTATTAAAAAAAAATAGGGAAAGAATTGTGTCGGATATAGCACGCGTTTGAAAGTTAAATTGAACTTTCAAATCGTGGGTGGGGGCGTGAATTTCTGACCAGATGTAAATTAATTCTGACCCAATCTAAACTGCGCTCACACTTGAACGGATGAACTGAACGGTGTAGATCTTCCACTCCCTGGAAAGCCATACAAAAGAGAAGATTGAAAGGACTCGTGGCCCAGAGGCACTGGTCTGTCTGGTAAATTGGGAATGTCAATGTCACCTTCTAGCATCTTGAGGGCCTCAGAAATAGTAGGCCTCAAAGCCACCATCACATGAGCACAGAGAATCCCAACGAAAACAAACCTCTCCATTATCCTCTTCGGCCCTCCTTCTCTTATTGACTCGTCCAATATTTCCTCTATCTTGCCTGATTTCGCATGCGTCCAAGCCCAGTCTGTGATCAAAAGAACCGATGAATTTGAAGTGTCAAGCACCTTTCTTCCGCTCATGATTTCGAGAATCAGAATGCCAAAGCTATAAACATCACTTTTCTCGGTTAGTTGCCCGTAGAGAGCATACTCTGGTGCTAAATAACCATAGGTGCCAGCAACCCTTGTGGTGAGATGAGACTGGCCTTCATTGCCTTGCTTGGCCAATCCAAAATCTGCCACCTTAGCTTTCATTGCGGAGTCTAGAAGTATGTTCGTGGCCTTTATGTCACGGTGATAAATTGGGGGTTTGATTTCGTAATGCAGATAAGCGAGCCCTTTAGCCACATCGAGAATTATGTTCTTTCTCTGTGGCCATGTTAGCCTGTTAGCTCCGGAAACGGATAATTGGTAACTGAGGCTACCATTCGGCATGTAATCATAAACCAAAAATCTCCTTTTACCTTTGGAGTTGTCACTAGTGACACAACAACCTCGAAGAGCAACAAGATTCCTGTGCTTTATTTTGCTGATGATCTCCACTTCATAGCAAAACTCCTCGTCCCCTTTGGTTTCCAAATCAAAAATCTCTTTAACTGCTACCAAAGCACCATCCTGAAGAGTCCCTTTGTACACAATCCCATCAGATCCTTGACCGATCAGATTCCTTTGCGAAAACTTATCGGTGGCTTTTTCAAGCTCTGACAAATGAAACCATTTCGCCCCAGTGTAAGGCAAAACGCTGGCCCTCACGCTGCTCACAACTTCCCTGTGATAAATATTCTCCCTCCTCCTCCTATCCCACTTCCTGTAGATAATAATCAGAACAAAAGCAAGAAGAATACCAATAACAGCGCCCAGTAACCCAAAACTCAGCTTCAGAGTACGTTCTCTGTCAGACGACCCTTTCCTTCCAGCACTAGACAGAGGCATACCAAGTATGCAACTAGCTGTTCTAACATCTTTAGGACCAAAGTTGTTAACAATAGCAGCAGCATATAAGACTGTGAAGTAGAAACATTTAGTGGAGTTTGGATCCCTAGCACTCAATTGGGAAGTGACCTTCAAGCCAGCATCAAGGCAAATACCGCACCGAGTTAGCCCCGTGAGGTCACCATTACAAGATGTATCAAGAGGTGACATCAAGCCAACCTTTGAATTAAAATCTTGGATGGTTTCAATTCCTGCACAGCTCGAGGTATTGGTAACGAACTGGGTAGAGTTATGGAAGCAAGTAGAGACCATATCGGCGTGGATTGACAGAGCTGCAAGCTTGGTACTAAAATCGGAGAGGCAAGAAGAGGAAGAGTTTGCATCGGGAAGTTCGAAGACGGAGGTATCTTTGAGGTGCTGAGCAAGTCCAACCCCGAAGAGGCTGAGGAGGGTTTGGCAGCAGTGTTGGGTTCCATTTTTTGGGTCAAGTTGGAGGCAAGTTGAAGTGTCCCAGGGGAAGGTTAGGACGTAGGTGAGATCAAAGGGACAGGAGGAAGAAGGAGGAGGAGGTGAAGCAGCAAGCGAGATGGTGAAGATGAGGGAGGTGTGGAGGGAGAGGAAGATCAATGGCTTGGCCATTGTTGACGGAGGATACTGAGAGAGAAACGCTCGTGTTAGGCCAAGTGAGCCTTTATAAATACTTAATCTCTTCAGTCAACCCCGGCATGCTGTGACATCGACGCTGGGGCACGTTAGTTGAACAGGAGCGTTGAGAGAAAAAAAATTATATTTAATATATGTGTCCTCTAACTATTCATTGAAAGGATGATTAAATTAATTAACTTTATCTAAAAATAAAATAAATTTTAAATTTTTTATATAAATAAACTTTAGATTATATTTCTATTTAATTAAAAAAATTTAAATGTTGTACTTGATAAATTTAGATAGAGATGATAATGATACATCAAGCTTTATAACATCAACAGGAGGAGTATATAATATGGACTCTCAAGTCCGGAACTTACGCAGGCCTTTCTCTTTTGTAGTTTTCTCAATGCCGCTTGGAGACCATTCTCATCAGTCAAAGTATTTGCACTTGTCTAGTTTCCCTTTAGATTTTTTGTTTTGTTTAATCTCCTCGCGGTTTCAAAGTTTGAACCCGTATGTTCTCTAAATTATTCAAAGCGTGGGTATATCTAGAAAGTAATCCTTTTTTTTTTTTTTTTACTTAGAGGTCATCTTTGACTTTGCAAGTAAACAATTTAAATGCATCTTTTTGCCAACAACTTTAACAGATTGGGGAAAAAAAACAGTTTTTTTGAAGAAAATGTATTCAAATCTTTTAAAATGTATTTATCCAATTTTTTTATAAATTATTTTTATTAACTTTATCGATATTAATGTAAAAAATATAAAAAATAAAAATATGTAAAATTTTAAATATAATTTTTTATAATAAATCTAAAAAGAAATTTTATATTATTTTTTTCAAAAATAATTTTAAAAACATCTTTTTAAAAATTTCTTAAAAAACTACACTGTAATTTATAAATAAAATTAAATAAATATTCCTAAAACGTGTGTCATAGATGAGAGTGGAGGAAGTAAGAAACTAAAAAAACAATTTGCAGGTGTTACTGATCTGGCCGAAATGTTTGTTGGGGGGATTCTCGGTCAACAATTAACAAAAGTTGTCGGTCGAAGTACACCAGTTTCTACGATGAGGAGTGGCTGACAACTTAGTTGAGGAAATGAAAAATATAACTGGACGCTGTTCAACTGATGTAATTTTTGCTGCCATTTTATTTCCGTTTTTCATTTTCATCCTTGCACCCGGCGGTAAAAAAAAAGTGAATAAATTAGGGGCAGCTTCTTTCAACTTATTTTATAAAAAAAAATACTTATTTAAAAAAATTATGGGAAAAAACCAATTTTCTGGTACTTATACTTTTCACTGATTTTTAGTTAGGTACCTAGACCATTTTTTTTTTTTTTTTTGCATTTTATTCACTCCTTTAACTTCTGCTGGCTAGTTCTATTGGCCCCTACAAATTAGAAGGTGCATTGAAGGGCAAACGGGAGATAACGGACGTTAAATTCGAAAAGGGGGAAGAAAGATCTCCATGCGATAATGCTTCTACAGCAGAAAACAAGGCTTCAATCTTCGATTGACCGATAAATTGTGGATTAGGACGATTAGGAATTTTGCAAAGCGATGATTGTCATGCGATTAATTTGAATCTATTTTCGTTCATTCTCCAACAACCTAAATGCGATCGGGTGATCTCTGTTCACCAAAAAGTGCAGCAATCCCCATCGATTTGAATGGGTCAGCTTCATCTCTTAGTGTTTTTGGTTTAAGGATGCATCATAGGCAAACTTCGACAAACTAATCTTATCATACATGCAATGAGCATTTGTCTTCAATTACGTTGCTGGGCTTCAATTAAGTCGGGATTCACTCTCATGCGTGCACTTCGTTCATTCGACTTTTTTTTTAAAAAAGTCTTCTCTCTCATTGCTTGTCTGTTCCTTATAACTTCTTTGCTGCTTCTTGTTATGTGACACGACTCCTTCTGTAAAAAACTACAACGTTAGGTTTCGGTGTACTGCTGCATTCCATCGTTCAATAATCCTAAATGTTCGTCTCTGAGTTTTAATAAGACGCTTGGACGTTCTGTGATGGAAAATGCTATAGTATAGATTATAGAATGATCGAAGTCGAGGTTCAATGGAGTAAAAAATGAGCTTGAAATATCGTGTGCGTCTTCAATGTTACCTCAATGTTTTAGATTAATTGGGGTCTTCTAGTCCATTCAGCTCTAAACCATTTTTTCAATCTGTAACGGCTATCGGAGCTTATTGAGGAGAGACAAAGGAGTGTGTGAAAAGGACAAAACAAAAGCGCAGGTGTCTAATTAAAAACGAAGGAAAAATATATGCATTGGCAAAATAATTTTTCCAAAATTTATTTTGTAAATTTTTATAATGGTTGTTTAAATTTTTGAAGTTACTCGTGAAAAGGCAGATGAGAGATAATATTTTAAAAGGGTAGGATATACAAAAATATCATAAAATTTTAAAATAATTAAAAAACAAATTATTTTTATAAAAAATCAAAGAAGATATTATAATTTTAAAAATAAATATCTAATAATCACTTTTTTAATAATTATAACTAAACATAAAATAATATATATTTTTTTATAAAATTTTTACAAAGCTTATTTGTTTAACATTAAAAAATAAGTAATTTTTAAATAATTTAAAAATTTTATAAAAAATTTTTATCTTATAGAGATTTTATAAAAAATAAATATTTTTTTATATTTGGTAGTAATTATTAGATATTTATTTTTAAATTTTATAATATCTACTTGATTCTTGTTTTATGATAAATAATTTATTATTATATTATTTTAAAATTGTATGATATCTTTGTATATTTTATTTCTTTAAAATACTTTCTCTTTCTCATATATCGCATTATGGCCCATTTATTTTAATTTATTTCATGAAAAATCACTCATTTTTTGGAAAAACAATCTATTTGATAAGTTTTTATTATGTTTGTTTTAACTTTTGTGAATAATCAGAATTTAAAAAAATAATTTTTTTTATTATTTTGAGAAGCTACTCACACTTTGAGTAGCTTCTAAAAATAATCTAATGCAGTAAAAAAGAGATAATATTTTAAAGATGCGAGATATGTAAAAATATCATAAAATACAATTACTAACTAATAATTATTTTATTATTATTGTAACTAAATATAAAATAATGTCTATTTTTTTTATAAAATCTCTATAAAGTTTGAGCTCATTTGTTTTATGTGAGTTTTTATTATATTTGTTTAAACTTTTAAAAATAATTAGAATTTGAAAAAAAATTCTTGATTACTTTAAGAAGATACTTTGGTAACTTCTAAAAATAATATAATGCTGTAAATGACAAAGAGTGTTTTAAAGAGGTAAAATATGTAAAAATATTATAAATTTTTAAAATAATATAATGATAAATTATTTTTACAAAAACAAAAATCAAGGATGATAGCATAAAATTTAAAAATAACTAAGTAATAATTATTTTTTATCACTGTAATCAAACATAAAATAATGTTTATTTTTTATAAACACTGCACAATAAATCTCTTTCTATAAAATATCTAGATTTAATGAGTAAATAAGATCTTAAACTCTTACTTAAAAATTTCTCTAGACCTTTAACTCTTAAAATATGTAAAATAAATCTTAAATTTTTAAATTCATAATAAAATAAATTCTAACCGTTAAATTTTTTATAGTGTTATTGTCCATACAAGTATTGTTTAGAGTTTATTTTTTAACAAATTTTACCTTGACTGTTACAGTACCTAAGTGGATAGTAATGATGTTAAAAAAATTAACGGTTAAAGTTTATTTTATTATAAATTTAAAATTTTAAAATTTATTTTGTATATTTTAAAAATTCAAGGTCCAAGGTGATTTTTTTAACAATAGTTCAAGATCCTTTTTCTCATTAACCCAAATATCTAAACTATCAAAAAATCACTTATGTTTAATCTTAAACAAATGGGCACTAAATCTCTTTTTATAAATCTCTAAAGTATCTAAAAATTACTTCCTCCATCCAAAAATATAAGGTATTTTTTTAAGAATTGAATGTTAAAAAATGTAAGGCATTTTTAGTTTTTTGAGGTGTAATAATTACTTTTTTAAAAGTATTCCTATTGATAAATGACTTTATATTTATTGTATGGTATTTAGTATAGGTAAATATAAAAAGATAGGATTAGTTTAAAAGTAGATAACTACTTTATTAAAGTAAAATTTAGTTAAAAATACGTCATATTTTTTAATAGAAGGATTATTTTTTTTAATCCTAAACAAATGGGACCTTTACCTTTTTTTATAAAATCTTTAAACTACTTAAAAATTATTTATTTTTTTAATCTTGAACAAATGGACCCTATAACTTCTTTAAATAATTAAAAATCTTCCTTTTTTTGAATTTTGAATATTTTCAAAATTTTAAACAAGCATAATAAAATCTCACAAAATAAATTTTTAAAAAATTAACTGATTTTTTTATAAAATAGAATGAAACAAATGGCTGCGAAATCTCTCTTTATAAAATATGTAAACTATTTAAAAGTAACTTTTGTAATCCTAAACAGACTAGTAAGTTAAATCGAAGCTGGAAAGGAGTAATCAACCTAGTATCTCTGTATTTTTTTCTCCCTTATCTTGTTAGGCTATTCGAAATAGATTAAATTTTGACAACTAAGATTTAATTACCTTTTTTCACCCAAAAAAAGACTTAACTGCCTTTTTCCGAAAAAATGACTCGTTAAATTTAAAACATCTGAAGTTATTATAATTTTACAATTGCAGTTTGCTTTGCTTTATTTTTTGAATTGTGTATATTTATTTTAATAATCTCTGTAATGCAGGGAGTTTTTTATGTCAGAATAAAACAAAAATAATAATGAAAGAATAAGCATAGTATTTGAATGTTATGTATTTGTTAAAGGATGAAGTTCTCAAATAATACTTACACAAAGTATGGTAGAGAATGCGTGAAATTTATTCTCCCATTGAGGAGATTGCCAGAATTTCGTTAACTAGACGTTTATAGTTTCATTGTCCTGGCACGT